TAGATACTCTTTATTGTTTCCTCCAAAAGATAACAATAGTAAACTTGTTATAAATATAAACAATTACAAGAAATAATCACAATGAGAAAACAGTGGGCGACCTTATCGCTAAAAGCGATCTCTTCCAGGCAACCTTTGGATGGAGAGGAGTAATTAATGACAGAGTACTTTTTAAATAAACCATCAGTAATATTGACAATGAATATTGACAATTATTTTTGAAAACTAAATTGACAATTAATTCCGACGTTGCCGCACTTTGACAAGCTTAAGTATGAACGCTCATAAGATGGAATATCTTAAATGATGCATAAACTAGTTTACTATATAATTGTAGGATCCATTACATCGGTTACATAATCCAAAGAGATTGTATGTTTTGTTCCATTTATTGCTGTAGACATAAACATAGACAAATGCAGTGAACCACTTTCGGCACTACCTGCTCCGCCCAGCTAATACATCTAGTTATACATAACACTGATTACTAATCTATTCACAGTCATACACTTCGAATTTTCTTTCCGGAGTAAATTATAAATGTGTTTTTCAAATAGAGTGAACGCTCTATATAATCAACTCATTTGAACCGATTTCAATAAAAAAAATTCTTATTAGGAAAAGTCGCTTATAGAGAAAAAAGGAGTATAAAAATACTTACCCTATTCCTTCTTCCCCCTATGTACTTAGTAAGGATATAACCTACCCGTGTACCAAAATTTCATTCAAGTCCGTTAAGTAATTTTTCCGTAAAAGGCTAACCAATACTTATCCATCTCTACAAATTTTAACATGTATAATATTTCTTTTTTAATATATTTCTATTGCACTAAAGCATGCAGTAATAATCACAATTAGAAACAATGTAAGCAGAGTTGAACTTATCTCTAAAAGAGATCTCTTCCAGTCAACCTAACACAGTGGCATAGAAAGTAGTTAGTGGGCAGCAGTAGTGTAAAACAGAAATCAAAACAATAATAATAAGTATATATAATGATATGTATAAAATTTACATTATACATTTGAAATAAACAATATTAATACATATATATATATATTAATATATATATATATATATATATATATATATAATCAAGTAACAGTAGAAAAATAATGTGATTTTAAAGTTGAAGGAACCAATAGAAGGACGTTTTCGAATATTCACGGGAAGTTTATTCCATAGCTGTGCAGCACAAAATGCAAAAGAGTTACCCATAAAATAAGTTTTATAACTGGAAAGCATCTAGGTCTGGGAGAAGGGGATTATTAATAGGAATTATAGTTTTTTTTTTATACGGCTTAGAATAACAAACAAGCTGACGGCCCACCTGATAGAAAATGGTAACCGTCGCCTATAGACATGAGCAGTACCATGGACATAACAGTACACACACATACTATTTCGCAAATGATAACCTCCATGCGTTACCATTCCTGAGGACTCAGGTGTTATTCCTCTGTACCCAGTAAATTCACGCCATATCCCGCCCTTCAAGCCGAAACAGCCATGCAAACACAGCTGCTTCACGGTTGAAAATTTTTATTTATAACATAATATAGACTGAATTTTCTATTTACACTTAGATACCTACGTAAATCTGCACGACTAGTCATAAAGAATATACCAAACCGTAACCAAGTAATAATATTCATAAAACAACGTTCCCCTAAGAACAGATTCGAAAAACTCAGTCAAATTATTTTTCAACCGACTTAAAAAAAAGGAGGTTCATAATTCGGTTATATTGTTATTGTATTTTTATGTTTGTTACCTCATAACTCGGTCAGTTTCAAACCGAAGTGAACAATTCCTTTTCTATCTAAAATATGCTTTACACTTTAGTCCTATAGAATTTATCTCAAAAATTATTCTTTAATTTAGTCTTTAAAATAACCGGTTTTGCCGCAACTGAAATCGGTTTTTTTTTTTGTAGATGACATTTTTTTTTAAATTTCCATACGTACTACGCAGTCGCATAAAAGCAATTGATATGACAAGCTACAAAATATTTTCAGATTTCGACTACACTTTTTGGGCCAAATTGTAGAGTTTATTAATAGTATCATTTGGCTTCGACTTCGTATGCCCTTCACAACTTTGATTTGATTTGATTAACCCTGTACCTATAATAAATAACCAAAGTGGAACTTACACACCGAAGGTTCCGTACATATATATATTTGACATAAAATGATCTTTATTGAATTTGCAATACGAAGTCGACACCTAATATTTATTATTGTTGATACTACAATTCGTAATTTATTTTGGACCATAATTGTGTATAGAACTGGACTGCTTAACTCAGTTTGTTATTGGAGGTCTTTTGATAATTTCTCAAAAACGGTTCTTGTTAGAAGCATCGTCTTATTTTTTCTATAACATTTACATATACTTTTATAAACTTTACTTATTTTAGATATTTACTTCAATAACTTCGGAGATAAAGGGAAGAAAGAATGGTTTTTTCTAAGATTATTTATTTATTATTTTAAGATTATTATTTTTATAAGGTTATTTACAAAATTTCAAATTTGATCTACTGATCTAAGTGGGATGCCACAGGTGGACCAGTGATAGTTTTTAAATTTTGAGTATCCATAGAAATCCCTAGTAAAGCAAATAATAATATTTTTTCAAATATTTCCATTGCTAAATGTGCGGGCCGATGATATGTAATTCCAAATTTTAAGTCGACTATATTAGTACTTCCGCTGTAAAAGACGGACAGACAGCCGAACAGACGGATGGGCAAAGTCGCACCTATAATCCATTCGCACCAAAAGGGTTCCTGTTTGGTACGGAACCCTAAAACCCGTCGATAACGAAACTATCAGTGTAGAACTGCAATAAATAATTAGTGGATGTTCACAAGAATTTAAGCGTTCATTACGATTTATAATTGCTTCATTTTATACGAGTACCTAATGATTACTTTACCGTTAGCACAAAATTAAACTCAATTGATAATGTCCTTTTTTTGTTTTTTTTTTTTTTGAACATAGTTATCCAATTTTGTTTCAATAACACAACACACACAATTACAATTAATAAAAGAAACTATATTTTTTTTCATTGTTTTATAACTTAAGTTCATTTTTTAAACTCCAATAGAATAAGCTTCAATATTCATTAGCAATCACAATTATTATTTACTTACATCTTATAATATAAGTTATACCCATGTGCTCGTAGTACAGGTTCATAGCAAATAGACAAAACAAAAAAAAACAAAACCATAGACAATGAAATATGCCCTGCCCAATAGACGCGACACTTTTGTATATAAAATTGCAGCTGCTAAGAACAAAAATTGTGTACAACTTATTTATATTTTTATGTTTACATAATAATGAGGCAAAGGAAACTTACCCGAAATTTCCAGGATAGCAGATTGGATATCGTCTACAGACATGAAGACTTTGTGCCCTCTTCCCGCTGAAATGCTGTCCGCCATTAAAGATCACTTCAGAGCAGCAAGGAGACGAGCACCTTCCGCTGTCTGAACATTCCGACCCACAGAACGACCTGGAGGCTTCCGTAGCATACCAGTACTCGTCACACGGCAGGGAATACCGCCACTCCGGCGATTGTTCCCTGTAGTATCTCTGTTCCCAATGCATTGTGTTCAGGTCAGTGCATCTTTCGACGTAAGCGCCTGTCAACTGCTCCATGTATTGCTTGTAAAGACGCTTCTGCCGTTGACTCTGTGACACGTGCAGCCGTAGAACGTTGAGGAAACACATCTTCAAACTACGCAGGAGTCGGCTAAACGCGCCAGCACTCTCCACCAACTTGTACGTAGGCATGTGCCCGACTACCCGAAACGGCGGACATAGCGCTCGTGGAATCTCAGAGAAAACTGAGACATTTTACTGTCGCTATTTATCTGTAACGCGAACACTTCGTTAACAAGGCATTCCAGTGTGATTTAATAGACAATCTCCCATGCGATCAGGTAGAAGTATAAATTACATATTTTGATTGTAGCGACCGAAAAACCAGTTTAATGTTTATCGACATTCATTTGATAAACTTTACGTTTAAAAAGTTTACAATGAAATCTCATTTATTTTTATAGATATCTACATTTCAAAAAGCCCGCCAAAAATACAAGTCGCTATCAGAAGTGGAATGCGATCAATGCGCGTGAGCGCGCGTCGTGTCTACCGCTACACTGCGCTGGCCAGTAACTATTGTACAGCCGTAATCATAGTCTCTACGTCAAATTAACTCGCATTTCCCCGAGAGTTGAAAAACGGAACTGTTTACGGAGAAAATACGCCAAGACTGATAATATTTAGGGTCATAAGCCGTAACCGACGACGCTCCATTTTGTCTATGCTTCGTTCCGTAGCCGTTAAAATTGATTTAAATGAAACAATCATTTTGACATTTTTTTTGTAACTACCTATATGTTTATGTTTTTATATATTTACATGTCATGTTTAAAAAGAAAATTATGTATAAATAGAAAATATTTCATGTATAAATAGAAAATATTTCAAAAGTCATGTATAAATAGAAATTATTTTTCTTAATTCTGATGTAAAACATGAATTTCTGTTTCCCAGTTTAAACACTTATCCTTTGAAATGGCAATACCGTAGGCATTGAGTGGCTATTCCTGTTGTTTCCCGTAGGTGTTAGAAGAGATGACTAATGGAACTTAATGACCGAGGTATGAGTAGCAGTGTCCCACTTAAAACATCGCCAAAACCTAACTGCGGTTGCTAATTTGCCTATGAGGCCTATGTTCTGCAGTAGACAGTTCACAACTGATATAATGATGATGATAGAAACAAACAAATATTCTAAATATGATTGAATTAGTATTTTTCAATTATGATTTTTAAATATTTTCTATACAGAGTACGGTCGTTTGCAATTTTATACTTTATTATTAAGTAGTTATAGATGTAAATATGATTGACATATTACAATTTTATTAGAAGTAAATATTGTTTTGCTTACAGCAGAAAGCCCCTAAATATAAGCAGAGACACACAATAAAGCGCTTATATTACATGGTTGCTATAGTAACGGACACATGTCACGAATCAAAAAACGTAAACACAACTGGTCTTCATCTACGGTAAACACGAAGTAGACGACTAAAGAAATAAAAATTAAAGAACAGTCACTATTTGCACTATTTTAAATGTGGAATTCCTAAAGAAAATAATTAGCTTGGTGATTAAATCAACAACGTTACAGGTCATTCGCAGGTAAATAATTTGGCGTCTCTAATATCTAAAGAAAGTGCACTTTTTTATCACTGAATAGTAAAAAGGAATAAGTCTGATACTTGTTTCCTTTTGTTACGAGCATACGGTCCGCCTGATGGTCAGCGACCGCTGCAACCATGAATTTGTATTGCGAGGTAAATACATACTTCCTTATTCATAAAAACTAAAACTTTCAATGAATCTATTTTAACTATTACATGGTTTTGTCACTTTGTTTTAAATTGGAAATTTAACTCAAAAGAAGGAAACAGTTCAATAATCAAACTAAATTTATGAGAAATTTAACAATTTATGAATTAAGGGAGTTGATTTTCCATACCAATATATATCAAGCTGACTTTTTGTACATTATTTCGTACGCGTGAATTTTAGAAGTAGATAAGCTATTGAAATAAACTAACTGCTGCTAGATGACGTATTTTTTTTTATATCACTAAGGTGACAAACAAGCATACGGCCCACCTGATGGTAAGTAATCATATTTTAAATTAGACCTACAGGAATAATCCTGTAAAATCCTCATATAATTTAGTGTACTAGTTTTTAAGTGACGCCGGATTAAACATACGTACAAACAGACATACAAAAAAATTCTATAGATTGTTTTAGCTTTTATTAATCTACTTTATAGTTAAGAGCTCTCATATTATTTTTACCATTACAGACAGACAGGGAGACTTTGTACAAAAGTCGTTTGCTTGGCTACCTCTGTCCCATTCGTGTTTCAACCGTAAAGCAGTTGTGTTTGCATGGTTGTATTTTGGTTTGAAGGGTGGGATATAGCGTGAATTTACAGGGTACAGAGGAATAACACCTGAGTCCTCAGGAATGGCAACGCATGGGGAGTATCATGGGCGAAACAGTATACTCTGTTATGTCCATGGTACTGCTCATGTCTATAGGCGACGGTTACCACTTTCCATCAGGTGGGCTGTCAGCTTGTTTGTTATTCTAAGTTGTATAAAAAAAATTAATATTTTCTTAATCGTACAGATATCACCTACTTTATATGCATCCACTATGGAACGTTTTTAGAATATATCCAAACAAACGTACTTGTTGGGTCCCTGCTGATTTTGTTTCCCTTGTTATAATAATATATACTATCTTTTACTCGCGACTTTGACCGCGTGACTGAGATAAAAAATTTCGTATTTCGTCCTAAACAGTAGGTAACGGGGGGAAAAGGATTATTAGTAATGGCCTCTAACTGCACCATTGCTAACAATAAACCCTATCAGGTCGACATCCACGCGATTCCTCCTAGAAACACGTAGTTAACTCTTGTGGAATTCGTCACGATAGGCTAACTGTCCTGGTTTTATCGTCACCTATCATCCCTCGCTGATGCCCCGCCAACGTATGCCGATAGCGCAGACGGGGTTACCATTTCATTATCACCTATTAAAAGAAACAGTAGGTAACATACCAAATTTCATGAGGATTGGAACAACCAACTCCCTTTTACATTTATAATATCAGTAAGGAAGTAAGCATATAGAAAGTAAGTAGTGTTGCATATCCGTTTTAAGATGCAAACTGCATGCGTCTTTCGATAAGTAAGCAAACATTAATATAACGTATGTCAATACTTACTTACTTAAATTAAAAAAAAAAACCTTAATTATGAACATGAGATTTATTCTCTTTGAGGCCTTACTTTAATTTTATACTTTATATTTTTTAATTTTATACTTTATACTTTATATTTATATATAAAAATTAGCATACTAGCTAAATGGATTTATTAACTTAATATATAAAAATAAAATACATATACATATATTTTATTGATCTTGAATATGGCCTGGTATAATTTAAACTTGAACCGTCTGTTAAAGAGATTTGTTGTATCGTATGAATACATGACGAATATTTCAGCAGCACCAGTGTACTAAAAATATGTGAGTAATTAAGATCTATACTTTTTTTTCAGAAAAATATCGTCTTATAACTAAGAACTCGTAAAAACGAGTGCCCTTTAAATGGTCTTGAAGTTAGTGCAACAATTAGATAATAGAGAAATTAAAAACAGTGTGTTAAGTGCATAGATAAAGAACGAGTATCTGAAATTAATACCTACTTAATCCTAATCGATCAATAACAGTTCAGACATAGATTAAAAATGTCAATCAATGGCAATCAGTGCTCAATGTCATTTCGTATCGTTGGAAATCTGTCGGAATCGCCAAATTTTAAATATTTTAATAATTGTATAAACAAAATATGAGAATCATTTTAAAACTTCTTTTTGTGAATGATTAATGATATACCATAGATGGATCAAAGGCAGCTACAATCCCGAAATATAGAAAAATATGATTTGAAACTAAAATCGAGACCTAAAGATGGGGTAATACTACAATTACACCACACAGTTCGTGATTCCAATGGCAAAAATAGAAGGATTCGATTCTCATCTGGTACATTCGATGACCTACACGAGAAACTAGCATGTGCCGACAACTTGGGTAATATTTTCATTTTGGATTTCACCGATCTTAAATTCTGGAAACTGAGCAGTGTAGGAACTTGTACCGCTTTATACTTCCTTCCCAATAAAGAGGACATTTTAATTGTTGCTAATGCCAAAAAATATGATATAAGCTTTTTGGATATAGATAACGGAGAAACAAATTTGACTTTGACCGGTCATACAGCACCTGTAAAACATATCTCTTATTCTAATAGTAAATATAATAATTTACTTACTGCCAGTTCTGTAGAAGCTATATTATGGGAACTTCGTAATTACACTAAATACTTCACACTTAACACGTATCTAGATGCTCAAATCCAGCAAATTATGTTCACACCGGCTGGTGATTATCTTGTCGCGTGTTTTCAAAATGATACAGTGCAAATATGGAAAAATGAAACTATGAAATCTGTGAAGCAGATTATACCAAGTGAATTAAAACATTTGAAGAATATTGCGTTCACAATGAATGGTCGAGCTATGGCTATGGCTGGTCTCACGCCTATGCTAATATTATTCAGTATGGACACATGGAAAGCTTTAAAATCAATAAATTTAACAAAACACAATATAAGTGGGGCTCAGCAAATAGCTTTTATACCACAAATATTTGATGGCGGAGCCAATAAAATCCTTGCTATTTTAAGTAGTGATTGTACTCTTCATTTATTAGATCTGGAAATATTAAATGTTATACACAGTATTTGCCCAGATTCATCATGTATAAAAAGATTTGTAATAAGTCCAACCGGAAAATATTTCCTTTGTATTTTACAATTAGGAGAGGTAAATATTTACAACTCATCATATGTCATGGACTTAGCACAGAATATAAGTGATTTAAAGAAAGAGAAACTATGTACTTCAATGCAAAAGTTAGCGAGACAAGATGTATCTTCTTCTAAAGCTGAAGTAGAGCAGAAGATGCGGATATGCATGGATAGTGTAAGATTGAGAAGAATATTAATGCAATACGGCGAATACCCTGACAAATTTAGATCAATTATATGGAGGTCTCTACTTAATACACCTAGAAATAGGAATGCATATTCTTCTTTAATTGATAAAGGGATACATCCAGCTTATAAAGATATCGAGAAACAATTTACTATCCATAGTTCTGTCACGCTTAAAAGTTTGAAAAGATTGTTATCTTGCCTTGCACATTGGTGCCCATTATTTGGAGTAATGAAATTTCTTCCTGCATTTGTTTTTCCATTCGTAAAAGTATTGCAAAAGGACCCCTTGTTATTATTTGAATGTGTAGCTACAATATTATTAAATTATTGCCAACTTTGGTTTGAATATGCACCATTCCCTCCAATAAGTATTTTGGCTATAGTTGAAAATATTTTATCAGAACATGATCAGCAACTCTTAGATCACTTCTGTGAAACTGGTATCACAAGTCAAACGTATGCACTCAAGATATTAGAGACAGCATTCAGCGAAGTACTAACTTGTTCTGAATGGCTGATTCTCTGGGATCACATACTAAGTAATGATCCAGCTTTCGTTATCATGGCAGTGGTATCATACAATATAGTTCAAAGAAATGCAATTAAAAGATTAAAAACGCATGAACAATTGGAAAATTTTTTTCGAATGCAAAATCCCATAGACAAAAAACATTTTTTAAAGAATGCTTATGTGTTGTTAAATGATACTCCTGATGACATCCATCCAAAGAGATTTTTTAACACCTTTATATCATTGGATAAAGGCAACTGTTATCAACAATTTACCGGTTACCCAAAAGCAACTATTTGTATGAAATTAGCCAAGAAGAACAGAAAAATGAAATTGCAAAATGACGGAAACACTCTGAAAGAAATGACTATATTAAATCAAAAAATACAAATCAGCGAAAGGTCTAAAAAAGAGAATATTCATAACAAAGAAAAAATTAACAGTGAAGATGAAACCTTTCATAAACTTATAAATAAGAACAATATGAAAAGTATACACGATATTCAAGATAACAGAGATTTATGTAGGAAACAAAACATAGATACTGTAGCATATCCTACAACAATTCACATACAGCAAAACAAGGAACATTCAGGTACTAAATCAAATAAAAAAGATAAGGACTATATTTGCAAATATTCATCAAGATCAAAAACAAAGAAAAAGTCTAATGGTAAAAGGAATGCCAATTTAGAAAAAGAAGTAGAGGAATTGATTAAAATATATAAAAACTCTGATTTGTCTGATTCATAACTTAAGATCAATTGTATTATAGCGTAACCAAAAAATTTTGTTTACGTAATTAGATTGTAAATGAAAGAATTGTTAATAATTTCAAAAACGACTTTATTATTTTCTTTACAAACACGTTTTTAATAAAATTTATGTGTTTTATTTGTATAAAAATTAGCTTTCTTAGTTCACTCTCTTTTTGTGGGCCTTGGTATAGTGGATTTAACATGACTAAACTTCTTTTTAGAAGAGCTAATATTAGGACTTGATTCTGATTTGCCTCTTGGAGTTAGGACCGGTGTTACTATTTTTGGCCGAAATAAAGCTGAAAGTTTTAAAGAATTACAAAATTACATTTCAACCGGATTATATATAGGACAGAGTAACACTACACTATATGATGGTATATGTTAATTTGTATTAATATTAAAACGTTAAGTATTATTTTAATGGGAAAGAATTTTGGATCCTAAAGTACCCGGATAAAGCCAGGTGAAACAGGACCTTAATAAATCCGGGTATACTATAATTTCTTTATTTGGGCATTTAGTTTAATTTTAACGTGAACTATAGAAATTATTATTAATGCTAATCCTATTAATATACTTCATATACTGATTCATACAGTCAATGTCACGAGAAACAATATAGAATATGGCCTATCTGTGTGCCAAAATTTCCTTTAAATCCGTTCAACTGTTTAAACATGATTGAGTAATAAATATTTAAACATCTTTACAAAATTTTACACTTCTAATATTACAAAACACTGTCACTCCAACCATATCAACTAAAAAGCAGAAACTTACCGTTTAATTTACTTTTACTCTCTGTTGCTTTGAAATCAGTCTTTATAATCGGGCTGTCTTTCTTGGCCTTAAACAGACTAGGAGACAAACGACGCAAACGTGAAATTTTTCCATCGCCTTTTGCAATCTGTTTAGTTGGACCCAAGTTAGAAGTTGAAGCACTCTCGAAACGCTTCAAACGACTCTTCGGGAAGTCTTCCTGAACAGAGTCCAACCCTGAAAGATTGGGACTGGAAGCGAATTGAGCCTTTGATGTTTCTCCCTGTAAATAATTGTACTTCGCTTGTATACTTCACGATAGAAATTAATTTTCGGTTTTTTGAGATATCCCCAAACTTTTGTTTATGGGAAAGGAAAGGGTTGCGGGATAACGAACTTACGATTCACCCGATGGTAAGTAATCACCACCTATAGACACGTTTGCTATAGCAGGTATATTGAGTGTGTCTTGGCGACGTTTTAGTATTTTAGGAAACCTTATAGTTTGGTAATAAAAGCACCACAGTACGTTGATTAGTACTACTCCATAATACTGGAAGGTCATTTCCTGGTACTCTCACGAGCTAACTTCTTTATTCTGTGACTCAAATATGACCGTTTGAAATAAAGAACGTAACTTGCTCGCTACATAAACACATATTAACGCATATTATAGACACCATCTGTTCATAGTGACAACCTTAGACTACACTGTTTTCAACCGACTTCCAAAAAGGAAGTTCTCAATTCAGTTGTATTCTTTATGTTTGTTACCTCATAACTCCGTCAGTTCTAAACCGATTTGTAAAATCTTTTTTATCCAAATGGATATACTTACAAATTGGGCCTATAGACTTTTTATCAAAATTAGTTCAATAGTTTAGTTTTGAAAAAAAAACTGATTTTGTCACACTTGAAGTTAGTTTTTTTATACCACTGAGGTGGCAAACAAGCATACGGCCCACCTGATGGTAAGCGGTTACCGTAGCCTATGAACGCCTGCAATACCAGAGGTATTACGCGCGCGTTTCCGACCCTGAAAAAAACTCTTTACCCCGCTTTTGAAGAACCCCATGCTGTAGTCTCTTGGGAAAAGCTCGGCAGGGAGCTCATTCCATAACCTGAGTATTCGTGAGAGAAAACATCTCTGAAACCGCGTTGTACGCGACCATTTAGGTTGTAGGGTATGAGAGTGAACTCCCTGTCGATAGCGAGCCGTACGATGATAGAAAGTGGCCGTAGGCATCATATTGAATAATTCCTCTGAGCACAATCCGTAGTACAAACAGTAGAACACGCAGAATTGTTAAACACAATCTTACATTACTCTTTTTTATATCCTACGTGCTATTCCACTTTTAACACACAATTAAACTACTGTATTATTTACCTTTAATATTGATATTTTGGATACATCTAATATCATTGAAGACATAGAAGAATCATCCCTTCCTTCTTCTACAAAATCTCTGATCACTGACGATAGTCTGCTGCGTAGATCTTCAGCTACTTTCTCTGCGGCTAACAATCTATCAAGAATGCCGCTTTGACTCTGAATCGGGCTAAAATCAAGAATAAATTAATAAATACCTTTTAAGCACGTCAAAATTTAAATCTACACTCTTTCCAAAAAAAATTCCAGTAGGTAGATCAATCAAAAGCATTTTACATAATATTTGCAATAGGTGTATTCATCACTTCATATATATTGAATAAAAACACCTACACACCATAGAAAATTAAAGTTATCTTTGTTTCGTGTTTGAGTGTCTTTACCTAATGAACTCAACTCACCTTGATGTTTTATTCCGTCGCCTTACGCTACTACCAGACATTGAAGAAACAGTGTACGTACTCTGCCTGCGACACATTGTCTAAAATAAAAATTAAACTCAACATAGATAAAAAAACTCTTCATTATTTTAAATACACAATCGGAACTTAGCGCGATGTAAAAGCCTTTACAGGTATAAAGCACCTACATACCTGCTTCTTTATTGACGACGTTTCGACGTGAATTGCACCACGTCGTGTTATCGTCGTGGACCACGTGATGGTCATCACGTGTATGTATGTAAATATATATAAACATGCGCGAATGTTTAAAATTAACACTTTAATTAATTTACTAGCAATTCCACAATGGTAACAATGTGCAATTAGTAACTAGTTTTTGTCTTTAAGTCTCCATACAAATTTAATTGGAAGGTCAATATTACTATTTACTATAATTTTTTGTTACATACATACATACATATCTGCCACGCCTGTCTCCCATTAGGGTAGGCAGAAACAATAGAACGCCAAATGTTTAGATTTTTTTGATAATTAAACATTTTCATGTTTTCCCCCAAATCTCCGGTCTAACACAAAATTGTAATAATACCTGTACTGTTTGATTTTATATTTGGTATTATATTTAATTTAAAATTTAATAAATATATCAGGAGAATATTTTATTCCCAAAATCAACAACATGACCGAATCTAAAGAGTAAGATTTTTTCAATAATTCAATAAAGTTTAATTTCTTCTCTGCCAACTTCCTTTACTCACCCCCAAACTATCTCACCTCCATAATGTAAGTGGCGGATATAACCTGGCAGGCGGCCGGCTGTAAAACTAAAAGCCAAAATCTTGGATAATATGTACAAAAATATATTACGCCAATCCCAAAATTTATATAATTGCGATAAGGGTAAGAAGATGATCCAAAATAAAGTTATAGATTCTAATTCTAACAAAGTTGGCTTCAGAAGCCAGGCTCAAAAGGATGACAATTTTTTTATATTTAGGTACAAGTGTGGTGTTCACATCACATTCAAATTTTTGCCCCTGTAGGCGTTATTATACGCCTACAGGGGCAAAAATTTGGATAGGATATTTACATACTTTCTTAGAAATGTCATCAGCATACATGCTTGGTGTCTGCCGCTGCAATGGGCCTGGAGCCGGTAATGGCTGCTCAGCTTCCCTTTTTGGATTAGTCAAGGCGTCCAAAGAGCGATAACGGGTTGGTGTATCCACTTTAGCTTGGCACAATCTAACAAACAATAATATTTTTAACGATGTATATATGTAATAGGAATTTTATAAAACTTTTTTCACAAGACTCTGCAACGTACAGCACCATACTCATCCTTAAGAAGACTTCCGGATGAATTCGAAACGAAACAATTTTCGGAAACGACAAACATAGTAAGGTCATAAAATTTCCATTATACATATAACTAAGGTAATATAAAGGTAAGCATTCTCTGCCTATCCTATAAGAAATTTGGTATGTAGATAAAATCTAGTTACTTTTTGTCAGGTGTGCCGAGTTCAACCATACTCGCAGACTTGTCGACAGGTTCCAATATGGACTTGTTTAGTTCAGAATTATTATACTGCTTGATACATTTAATCATCTCCCGCAGTTCCGCGGCGAGACGCTCGCGGTAATCCCTCGGTAACGAGTCGAGAAGAGTACATCCAAATTCCTGCCAAAAAATATTACTTCATGTACCTACAGCATTTATATGTATAGAAATCAAACTAGAGCGTAGAAATCCGCAGAAGAACTAAAGTCACCCATAATCTCCGAAGAATCTGCAAGCTGAAGCAGTAATGGACTGACCGTATAACTCGAGCAATTGATAACCATTAGGATAAAAAGTTTCTAGCGAGGTATTATATGTAAGATATATATATATATATATATATATATATATATATATATATATATATATATATATATATAATAAATATATATATATATAATAAATGAATAGGTAATATAATGGTATGGCAAATAATTACATTGGAAGTATATTTTGTATATCTGTATGGTACTGTTCATATCCATACACGACGGGTGTCACTTTTTATAGCTGTCAACTATTATGGCCTTCTAAGCGCCATGAAAAATAGAACTGGTTAGAACAGGCGTATGATGAAAGAAGTATTGTATATACACGACTTTTGGGTGAAATATGGTAGTAATATTACAAAGTACGGATGCATAACGCTGTAGTCCTCAGGAATGGCAATCCACATGGGGTACCTTGGGCGTCACAGTATATTCTTTAAGTCTATGGTAGGTACCGTTCATGTCTATGGACGACAGTTAACACTTTCGTTCAGGTGCGCGGTCAACTTATTTACTATTCTAAGAGTCATAAAAATGAATTAATTAAAAAAAAAAACCTTATCATGTAATTTCCCGCCAGTAATGCCCGAAATCTGCCACAATCCGCTATTCTGCTGGTTGGTGGCGGGGCATGAACAGGACACGTTGGCACTTTCCAGTACAATATGTAACCCCGATGTCTAATAAATTCATAAAAAGAATTTATATAACTTTGATTATTTTTTTCAATAGATGAAAATGGAATGGTAAACCCTCCTGCGCTAACGATATACGATGACGCAGGTCAGTTGGGCCTTAGTAATTAATTCATCTAAAATTAATCACGACGATTTCCAGGAGGAACCGAGTGAAGGTCGACCTGTTAAGGTATATTGTTACTAATGATCCTGTTAGATCTCATTACTGACAATCCCTTTCCTCCCGAACCATGATATTTTCATTATAAAGTGATAACTGTGTAAGTATAAAAATAAAGACTAGATCTAGTCTAACATAACTCTATAATAAAGGGGGGAAAGGGATTGTTAGTAATGGAGACTGAGAATCACATTGCTAGCAATATACCCAACCAGGTCGACCTCTTCACGGTTCTCCCTGGAAACTATCATGGTTAATTCCTGATGAATTCATCATGATGGGCTAACTGGCCTGTTTTCATTCTCATTTATCACCCTTCACTGGTGCTCCGCCAGCGTATCCCGTTAGCGCAGGCGGGGTTACCATACCATTATCACCCATAAAAAAAAACTCTAAAATAAACGTTAGTTAAGTATTATGCAAGAAGGAGCCGCAGTCTGCTTTAGTATCTCTGTCACACTCATGTTTCTTATTGATTTAGAACTAATGGAGTTAGAAGGTACAACCAAACAGAATACAACCGAATTGAGAACCTCCTTTTTTGAAGTCGGTTGAATAAGACATACTGTGATACTACTCTTTATAGGGTTAGTAAAATTAATTGTTACCAATTGTGTATGTCAATCCTAATAAATGATTCATCGTCATCATATCAGCCGTTAACCGTCTCCTGCTAAACATAGCCCTCCCCCATTATTAGTTGTCACACTTGGTAGACGGGTTGGCAACTGCAGTTTCGCTTTGATGATGTTCTAAAAGAGACGCTGCTGCCCATCCCTCAAGCATTAAGTTCCCTTAGTCGTCCTTTACAACACCCAGGAGAAAGTAAGGGGTGGCACATTCTATGCCAAAACCACACAGAATAATAAATGGATATTACCTGACAATTGATAGTAACAGTCCTGACACCACCTCCATCCTGGCTAGCATTTGCATCATTCGTCTCCAATGACTTCAGGCTAAATCCTAGACATTGAATTAAAGCACATATCTCCACTACATCTGCTAATGCGTCCTAAAACGATAAATTGATTTTTAAAGTATATTCATTTTTACAAATTTTCAACAGTAAATAATTCTTGCCTGTGAAAAAATTGGCCTATAGGTAATTATTATCTACCTACTAGGTAGTTTATTTTATTAAGTGAAATTTAATATTTTTTATAAAGCTATATTGTTCGAAGAGAAAGGTTGTTTAAAAAACTAATATAACTAGATACTATAACAGTTAATTTTAAACTTCTGCGTTGTTTACACATATTTTAAATACACAATCGAGACACAACCTATTAGGTACTATTTACCTACAAAGGTTTTTTCATCGTGTTAAATCCCGATTGTGTATTTAAAACATAGATACTACATATTAGCATAAAAATGCATCATAATTGGTACAAAATTAAAAACTGACAGACAATACTTACATTTTGCGGCATAGTGAAATAAAATTATTTGAACGCAACACTTTCGATGTATGAAATTTAAAAATGAACTTGTAAAATAACTACAGAAATAAAAACTACCTAACAGACTGTAATGTAAATATTAATTTGCATTAGACCATCAGCGACAAACTTATCAGCTCTAATTTTTTAAATTTTCCTTAGCTTTAATTATTGGATAACCACAAAACGAACAGCGTCAAATGTGTGTTATAAAACCTTTATTCGGTTCTTTAGAACAAAGAAATTTAAACTACCCGCAAAATTTCTACTAAATCGTCATGTTGTAAAACCAATGCTGAAGAACTACGGTAGGTACTTTGGTGAACGATGTTTTGACTTAGATTATGGTTCGAATCAATTTAGTAAACCAATTTCTCAAAAAATATTGTTCTAAATTCTGCGTTAACAAAATATTCTGCGTTGTCCAACAAAAATATTTCTTATCTGGTTTACAAATAATCAGGATATTGTAATAGGAAAGTCATGCATTATTAGTCTTGGAGAATTACAATGGTCATTTTTTATGCAACTTAAAATGGTAATCAAACTGCCGGCCCGAAAATGGAAAGTGGTAACCGTCGCCTATAGCCATGAACAGTACCGTGGACATAACAGAGTATACTGTTTCGCCCATGAAATACTCCATACGTTGTCATTCCTGAGAACTTAGGTGTTGCCTCTGTACCCCGTAAATTCATTGTCATATCCCACCCTTAAAACCGAAACACAGCCATGCCAACACAACTGCTTCACGGTAGAAACACGAATAGAACCAATGACTAAAATAAATTACTTTTGTACAGTCTCTCTCTGGTCATTTTGCCCGCAGGAAATAATACGCATTCTAAGCCTTAAGCAGTGTACCTACTTATTTCAATATCCGGGCATTGTAGCATAAAATTTTAGGGATTTTATTATACTTGAACTAATATACACACAGATAATTGTCTCTCATCATACCCCGATTCCAAAGATTGTAAATTTATAATATCTTTCCATGAAGGAGACTATACAGAAATTGGCAGCATCAAAATCCGTTTCGGTCGCGTTTCTGTCCCCAAGCATAACAATACTTGCATGGCTGTTTCATTTTGAAATTGAAAGGATCCTATCCATCATGCCTGTGAAACTACAGAGTACGAAACTTAGATAAAATAAGAAAATATAGCATTACAGTCCTCAGGAATAGCAACACATGGGGGGGGGGGGGGCATGTGTTGCCATTCCTGCGGACTCAGGTGTTATTCCTCTGTACCCTGTAAATTCACTGCCATATCCCACCCTTCAAATCAAAACACAGTCATGCAAACACGACTGCTTCACGTTAGAAACACGAATGGGACAGAGATGCCCGAGCAAACGACTTTTGTACAGTCTCCCTCTGATAAGGTAGAAGGCACAAATAGTAATAATATAAATAAAAATCTTTTTTAGATAATTCTATTTATTTTATTATCAGAAATACGTTAATACAAATAACTTTACATTGATTTAGTTGTAAGTCATGTAACGCGGCGTGGCCGAGAACTTGGCGTATGACTTGATGACTTTGTTGACCGCTTCCAAGAAGTCCTTCTCGGTGGCGACCTTGCGACGAGCGCGGATCGCGAACATGCCCGCCTCTGTGCACACAGACCTGGGGAATACGATGACGATTATAAGAAGCCGTTTTACTAAATGAAATTTAGTTGAAATTACATTAAAAAATAAAAATCATATTTTAATTTATTTTAAACTAATGATCCGGCTTCGCACGAGTAGACAGAATTTACGAAAATCAATACATATAATAAAAAAAAAACTTTCAGCCAATTTAACTGATCGGTTATTTTATAGCGTTTTATATATGATTCTTTAGATTGATATAACTTTTTTTATTTATAAACCTATTGAAATAAAGCAAACACTAAATGTTAAATTGAGCAAACCGCAATGCAGTAATGAAAATCGCATTCAAATCTGTTAAGCCATTTCTGAGATTAGCGTGCAAACGTACAGATGAAAATTCTAAAGATCATTGTTTTGGGTTCTATTGCGTATTATTATTTTTTTTTTACTATTTTTTTTATATATCTTCCATGTGCAGACAGTGACCAGTTAAGACTTTATTATATGTATTGATAAATAATATTTATTGTAGGGAGGGGATTGTTAACAACTGCTAGCAATGCCACTCATATTGTGGCATTGCTAGCAATGTAGGGGAATATTGCTAACAATAATGCTACTAATCTTAACCTCGAGTCGGCCTCCATACGATATAATTTGATTTTTTATTTTTATTTTTTATACAACTTAGAATGGCAAACAAGCTGACGGCCCACCTGATGGAAAGTTATAACCGTCTCCTATAGACATGAGCAGTACCATGGACATAACAGAGTATACTGCTTTGCCCATGGTACCCCCCATGCGTTGCCATTCCTGAGGACTCAGGTGTTATTCCTCTGTACCCTGTAAATCTACCCTTTAAACCGAAACATAGAAAGAAAACATTGATAGTGAGAACACATTCGTTAAATAAATCATAAAACTTTAAATTGCACTTTAGGAGCGGTCTGTTCAGGGCATTACTGTCGTCGATAGGCGCCGGAACTTTTTAATGGAATAGCAGTTATATAATATATAAAATGTAACAAAATTTTTATATTTCATTGGCATTGACATTTTTGTTTCTTTAAAAAAGTGCTGGTCCAAAAAATGTTGATAACCACTGATCTTAGAACCTAATTATGATTATGAAAGGGAGGAAAGGGATTGTTAGTAATAGGGACCTAACAGTCCCATTGCTAGCATATACCCTAAAAGTTCGACCTCCACACAGTTCACCCTAGAAACCACCGTGGTTATATTCTTATCGAATTATTCACGATGGGCCAACTGACCTGCTTTTATCTTGACCTTTCATCTCTCACTGGCACCCCACCAGCGAAAACCTAAAGCGCAGGCGTTACCATTCCATTTTTTTTTTGAAATTCGAACCATTCTTCCTTCATTCCATTTTTTTTTATAATTAACGTTCCAATCTATGCATATAACATTTATATTCAATTATTGATCATTCCGTTACACATTAGTATCCCACATGTATATATTTTGAGATAACAAGAGAATAGTACCATGCTTCTATAGTCATCGCTCTAGATACGTGTCTATTCGCCGAACGCTTGTGTGTTGTGCTAACCGCGAGTCTGTCCCTAGGTATGGATATACCGATGCAGTACGAACTAGCCGCCGAATTGAACAACATTTGTTAGTACCAATCACAACAGTAGCATGACAAAATTGTTGATAATTAAACATTCTGGGAACAGTCGACTGTACTAATCGGTATTTGTTTGCAAGGTTCACTCTTGAAAATTCATTGTATTTTTTTTAAGTTGTATAAAAGTTTTTTTTTTTTTTATGCGTGAAAATGGTATAGTAACCCCGCCTATGCTAACGGGATACGCTGGCGGAGTACCAGTTAAGGGTGATAGATGAGAATGAAAACAGGCCAGTTAGCCCATCATGATGAATTCATCAGGAATTAACCATGATAGTTTCCAGGGAGAACCGCGAGGAGGTCGACCTGGTTGGGTATATTGCTAGCAATGGGATTCTCAGTCTCCATTACTAACAATCCCTTTCCCCCCTACCATTCCATTTTCACCCATTAAAAAAAATATGATTATGAAATGAATAAAGAACTACATATACCTGATTTCAGCACCGGTGGAGTTGGGACACAAGCGTGCAAGCAGGTCGAACCTAATATCTCTTTCGACGCTCATCGAACGGGCGTGAATGCGGAAGATGTGCGCTCGCCCCTCCAAGTCCGGTAGACCGAACTCGACTTTCCTATCGAGACGGCCGGGACGCATAAGGGCAGGGTCCAGTGTGTCGGGCCTGTTCGTAGCCATCAGAACCTGGAAAACGAGAGGAAAAAAGGATTGTTAATATATTGGTAAAACAACACACATTGGTAGTAATGCAAACTATCAGGCTGACCTGTACACGGTTCCCCCTGGAAAACATTGTGGTTAATTTTTAAATTAAGTCTCGATGGACCAACTCTCTGGTAGTCGCCAGCATAAACTGCTAGCGCAAGCTGTGTACGCTCATTTCTCTACATTTTTTATACCACGAAGATAGGAAACAAGTCTACAGCTCATCTAATGGTATACTAGAAACACTAAGGGTATCACGTGCGCGTTGCCAACTCTGAAGAAACCTTAAATAATACCCTTTTTGAAGAACCCCAAACTGTAGTCTCCAGAGAAAACCTCAGCAGGAAGCACATTCCACAGCCGGAGCGTTGAGAAAATTCCTATCATACGAATAAAACCGCCAAATGTACACATATATTTATACAGTGCATTAAAATTACAATAAATAATTAATAAAGTAAATATTGAAATTTTATTACCAGTAATTTTGAATTATATTACTGTACCTTAATATTACCGCGTGGATCAAATCCGTCGAGTTGATTGATCAATTCTAACATAGTACGTTGAACTTCGTTATCACCACCGGCTCCGTCGTCAAACCTAAGTAAATTAATAATATAGATAAATAAATAAAAGCACTTTAAAATATAGTACAACGCCATCTAGTTCCCAAACTAAGCAGAGCTTGTACTATGGTTACTATACAACTGGGGAAAACTAAAATAAAAAAACTTTACGAATTTAGTAACAGTCAAAATTTATACCACACTCTCTATCACGTATCACCACACCTATTCATCTCTTCATCTCCAGGATTTCATAAGAACATCACAAACATTTATCCCACCATGTCGTAAGGGATGGCTAAAGAAATAAGACACAAGACACTCGTGTAAGCGAAGTAAAACTCGAAATCAAAGCCTAACACGTCTGTCTGGGAGGGAAGGGATTGTTAGTAATATGAACTACCAGTCCAATTAGGCAATAACTTTAAATACTTTGAGCAATAGTGTTGTCTGTGTTACACATGCTTCTAAGTATTTTTAAAATAACTATAATAAAATTATTAGCAAATTATGGTGAATAAAGCAGCAGAGAAGAGCAAAGCTTACCGAGCTCCGCCAATGGCGTCGATTTCATCAAAGAATATGAGACAGGCCTTTTTGCTGCGCGCCATTTCAAACAGTTCGCGCACCATACGAGCGCCCTCGCCGACATATTTCTGTACCAGCTCCGAGCCTGCATTCAAATAGAAACACATTTATATAACATATCATTTGAAATACACTTGAGCAATAATTTTAATATCTTACTAAAACTAATCGTATACTGCAGCTTCACCCGCATAAAGTAACGAAACAGATTTCACAGAAGTATATAAATTACTATATCCTTCATTAAAATATGCTCAACTGTTTAAGCGTAATTTAAAAACAATCATAAAAGGTTACATTTCTAACATTTATTTATTTATTTATAAGAGTGACCAATAAAACATCCACTATGATCAGTTTTTATCTCATACAAAAAAAATTAAGTCACTGCATGCATTTCATTTCAGAAATATTGTAATATTTTATAATTTAGTTATTTTAGCTCATTCATTTTCATTTAAGAGTTTCCTCTTGTCGGTGCAACTAATTCATGCATCTTCCTCCAGCCAGCTCTATCCCAGGCCATATCCTTTATCCCCCTATATGACATGACGCCTAGTGTTTCCTTTATCTGTCCCATGTAGTTAATCCTCGGTCTTCCTCTTCCTCTTTTGCCCTCTATCTTTCCTTCTATTATGCTTATTATTATTTTAGCTAAACAACAGAAAAATTGTGTGCGCAATTATAAAGGTGTATTTGAATATTTTTATAAATTTCCTTATTTACTTCATATTAACCTTTCTTTGCATGACTTTTTTTATTGGTGAAATAAATCAAGCTGATATAATTCATGTTCAAAATAAAAGGAAAAATGGTTAAAAAAATAAATTTGACAGCTATGGTTTTTTTTTCCTACAATGGACATTAATAAGGTATCCAGACACGATCAACTTACAAGTGAAATTGTTCTTTAATATAATTTTTGGGCATTCAATGTTATGATGGAAATTTCCACCAGTATGCAAAGAAGGGTTAAAGGTATTGATTTTTACTTTTTTATTATAATATTCCAGAGTGACAGACTTATATTTACTGAATTTTGCGAATATGTTAGTATGTTTTTACCATTACATTCTGTTAATTGTAGAAAAGTGTCCTAGATTAAGCCTAAATAATTATCTTGAAAATAAACTAATTAATATAGATGATATAATATATAAAAAGACGCCTGTATTGGTTTGAAAATTTAACACTATATTATTTTTGTGTTCTTAAAATGTATTAATGTTGTTAACATATTTAATTTATTTACAAATTGATTTTATTAGTCCAATGCACTATCTCTGTTTAGCATAACAGTTGACTGGTAGAGAATGCCATCAGACATATATCCGCGCTGTATACATATTTTGATGTATGTAAAAGAATACCAAACTAGTTAAATAAATAAATAAATATACAGACATAGTTAAAAATTAATATTAGTATTAAAAACCTTTTTTTTCTCGAATTGTACTCTTTTATATTTATTTTCCCACCATGGCCTTAAAGTAGATAACCAAGGTCTGTAAAGACCTATGGATCCCGGTCTCAGTTTCGGATTCAGTAAGGAAAGGAAGCCCTTTCCTTACATAATTTCTTGGATTATCCACTTTCATAACTAGTTTCATACATACGCTAATTCCGAATACTATTAATTCTATACACTATGTCTCTTTACATTAAATAGAATGTTCTACAATGTGTAGCTCTGCTTTTAAACTATAATAAGCAAAGATGTTCATTGCAGTGTTTGTTCTAGGGAAGACGTATCAGAATGTTGTCTTGGCTTATGAACACCACTCTTTCTTTACTTCCCAGTCTCAAAAACTAAATTCCTAACAATAACATTATTTAAGCCACTTCCAAGAGGAATTAAGTATGCTTCACCATCATTTCAGCCATTAACTGTTCACTGCTTAACATAAGCCTTTCCCCTAAAAGGAGTTTTGCCAATAGTTGCCACGCTTGGCAGATGGGTTGGAAACTGCAGTTAGGCTGTTAGAAATATTTTAAAAGGAATGCTGTAGCCCTTCCCTCTACCTTTAAGCTCCCTTAGTCACCTCTCACGACACCCACAAAAAAGGAAGTGATGGCCTATTCTATGCCGGGACGACATAGCGAGATTTATATATGCTTATGTTACATAAATAACAATATACTCACCAATAACTCTGATAAAACAAGCATCTGTCCGATTGGCGACAGCCCTAGCACAGAGCGTCTTACCAGTACCAGGGGGGCCAAACAGCAGCACACCTTTGGGAGGCTCAATACCAAGTTTCACAAATTTTTCGGGCTGTAATAATAAAATTAAAATTTGTTCAATTCGAGTAAATACTTATTTATGAAAACTAACACCTACAAATCTATTTTAACTACTATACTATTTTGTCTTTTTTTTTCAAATTAAGAATTTAACTCAAAAGAAATAGACAAAACCGAAGACAGAACAAATAGCTAAAATAGGTTTATGATAGGTTTGACGTTTTCTATGAATAAAAGGATTAACCTTTTACTTAGCTTTAGGGTTGCCAAATCTATATAAATACATTATGCCACATTACTTCTCGAAAGCTTTTATTTTTATAATTTATTCGGAGCTTTCCATAAATTACGCGCGCCGCGGGAATTTACTGATACTTCTAAATTGAGTAAAATTACACTTTCTTAAAAAATAAATAAGTTATTTAAAATAGGTACTAGTTAAAAAGTTACATACCCATTTTTATAACATCTACTGCGTTTTTGATACCTTAAAAGTAAATGTACATTCCTTCTCAACTTTTTTTTGACGTTATTGTGACAACCCCTATACTTAGTGATTTGCTACTACTAGTTATACAAGAAACCTTTTAAAAAAACTTACATGCAACAATGGAGTTTCAACAACCTCCCTTAACTTTTCAATCTGTTCCTTGCACCCGCCCACATCACTGTATGTGACGTCAGGTTTCTCCTCCACTTGCATCATTGTAACTGTGGGATCAATCTTTGGGGGGAGTGGTATGTGGATCTGGTATTTATTCCGGTCCACACTGCATGTCAAATATAAACTTTATTATATTTTAGTAATCAAATAAATAAAGAATAATAAATATAATAAGTCCAATTTAGGTCACATTTTGCTCCACAAAAAATTTTGTGACATAATTAGTATGAGACCAACATGTGAGTAAGCCCCACCAATTGTAACAAGCAAGCATAAAAAGTATAAATAAATTACTTAAATGACAATGTAGTTCAAGGTAATAACTCAATGTATAATCTAAATATATTAAGCTGTTAAAACAATGAACAATAATATTGGGGAGTTGTATCAGAAATGTTGCCAACACTAAAAACAACATTCTTTCTTTACTCCCCTAAATTGACAAAACTTCATTTTCACAAATATAGGCATATTTAAAATTATTTTCCAAAGTGTTTAAAAAAAGTGTATATGTATTTTCAAACATGTTTTCTCGAAGTTTCTAGGATCCTGGCGTGGGCACTAAACAATATTGGGGTACGCATGAATGATATGTCTATCTCCACAAACATTAAATATCTTACTATGGACTTATGTCTAACTACACATGTCAATTGTCAAAAACAATAAATTTCTAATATTTCTGGAATTATTTACTTTATTTAAACAGTATTTTGACATCATAACCCGATAATCCATTCAATTACATCCTTATTACTTAAGCTATCCTGAAAATTTCAATTCTGATAGCCAAAAATACTTGAAAACTTAAGAAGCCAAAATATAATGCAAGTGCAAAACTCATAATTTTAATTTCATGTATTTTTTATTTTATGCAACTTTGCAATAGCAAACAAGCTGACGGCCCACCTGATGGAAAGTTGTTACTGTCACCTATAGACATGAACAGTACCATGGACATAACAGAGTATACTGTTTCACCCATGATACCTCCCATGTAACCATATCCCTCTGTACCCTGTTAATTCACTGCCATTCAAATTCATGCCTTCAAACTGAAACACAGCCATGCAAACACAACTGGTTCACAGAAAAATGCAAATTTGTCTATAAATAACACTTCAGTTTGCTATTAGAACAATTTTTAAATATTTAATTAGAAATATTGAAAATTGTCCAATTATTTTGAAAACTGACAGTTTGATTTAGAGGATGCCACACTTATGGTGACTTCTTATTTCTTTCAATTCTAATAATCACAATTTTGTATAAATACTCACCCAACCCGCATTCCTTCTTCAATATCAGTAGGTGCTACGGAATCAGCAAGGTCCACAACAAACTTAGCAAACTGCTTCACATTGATTATGTATTTAGGATCATTGGAATCTGCATTAATGATTTTAGTGCATCTTGCAACCTGCGTAATAAAAATCATCATGATATAAGAATTTCTTCATTGTTATAGCTGAGGAAGAGAAGCAGCTGGTCAGCTGGTGCTGGTCCTGTCATACTACATATTTCTTATAAAGACAAGCAATTTACCAATGAAAATGGTAAGAATAAAGTATTTTCATCACAAGCTCTATAATATGCAACATAATAATTATGAGTTAATCTGTCATTTTTTATATAAAAGTTTATTATACTCATACAATTTTATATTAACAATAGAGAGATTTTTATATTTTCCCTTTCATTCCTCCCCATATTTGTATGATTTAATACCATTTTAAAAAACAACTTTTCTCTGCTGTAGAATGACCTTACTGATATTACTCCTTCAGCACCCTCATCACCCATCTTGAACATAATGATACAAGAGTCCTAATGATGATATATGTAATAAAATATATATACCTGTAAGGGTTGCTCATTTTGTAATGTCTGTTTATCTGCAGCAAGATCCCACAGAGCTGGAGGTGCCAAGCCTGTATCGGATTCTTTGATGCCAGTTAGTTCATTGACTCTCTTCATTACAGTTTGTATACCTTCTTCGACCTCTTTAATTATTTTTGTATATTGTCCTTGGCCCTACAATATAAAAATAATACAAAATACAAAATATTGCCAGTCATGGTACATTTAAAACTAATTGTTTTTTTATATGTTTAATTTTACTCACATAAGACTTTAGAAGTGCTATATCCCCTTCATCGAGCGCTGAAATATAATAAATATTGTAAAATAAGTCACAAAACAAAAAATAAGGTACATAAACGGGTTAACAATAGGTGGCCAAAGTTAAATATACCAACATTTAATTTCTTTTTCTGGTTCTTCTTTATCATCCTTGACTTTTCGCATATCATCCCCTAAATGGTCAGGCATTTTGAATTAATGAATGAATATATACACCAGTTTGGAAAATAGTTGCAAGTTTCAATTACAATTTATTCAATAACCAACTATACCATCCGTCGTTGTCACGGCTTAAGATCCGTTTCACAGAATTAGTGACGACACATTTATTATTAATCTGAAATTATTAAGATTTGCGCTATTAAATATATACAGTTTGATATATTGTCCATTTATTTTATAAAATTAGAGTTTTTCAAACCATAAAAATTTTAACGAAATATAAAATTTTGCAATTTAGATTTACTGATTCTAAATTATGTAGTTCTTGAAACAGAACGTAACTCAAGCAATGACAAGCAAAACTTTGTGCCGCGTTCATTATAACTTATAATTTAAAAACATCAACTGCTATATTTTTCTATATATCTACTGAACTGTAGAACATTATATATCTACAAAAATATTTTATTAATACATTTTACACTAAATCAAAAATATTTTGCTTTTAATAATGCATGAAATATTATTTATAAACAATGTTTTGTTACATTTATAAATTAATTTTTTTTGTACACATCATTAAGTAGTAACATGAGCGCCACCTAACAACAATCCTTAGTACTAAAATTTTGTATTCGTAGTCCTGAATGGAGAATCACATTTTTTCGTGTTTTTCATGAAAGTATTCTTCTAAGATAGCGAATATTTTATTTTAGGTGAGTTTTAAAAACCATACCTTTAAATCAAGTGCTACCACAACATAATCCATTTGATAACAATGGCTGCTTTAGTTCGTGACTGGTTATGACCCAGAATCTAATGTCAAATCCCGGTTTTGTATTTAATTATCATCATATAACATGCACTTTTAATTCATAATAATCTATATCGTATTCAAATGTTTATTTTGGATAATATCTTCAAGACGCATATAAAATTTTTATCGTAAGTGTTTCGACAAATGTGCGAGGCGCCCGGTCTGCGATCTTGTCACTTCTGCTTGCTTGAAAATGCTTAAATTTATCTCCTTGTTATCTATTATTTTTATCTTTCGATCGCCAACATCTTATTTCCGAATAATGTTTATTGATATGTCTGATACATAAAAGTATCTAGTTGATATTTATGTGCCATGTTTTGCATTCTCAGAAAGGTATGTGATCATTCCTTTGTTAATAAACTTGGAACTAACAGCTCTATAATAATAAAATCCGTTTGTTTACCATACAACACCACATTTGTAATAATTCTCCAAAATTACATGACATCTATTGGTGTTAAAATGAGATAACCTTATTATTGTAACCTTTTCTGATACAATCAGAACCTATAGTTCACTCATGACATCTATAATTATTGAGTTTGATTTGTGTTCTGTGTAAGTATACTTATAATTTAAATTATATATGATTTCTTTTACTTTACATATTTAATAAATAATCTTTAACTTTGTTGAAATTAATAATTTAAACAATATTGTTAATATAATGAATAACAAAAATTATTATATTAAAATTATTTTTATACTTTATTATACACAAAAAGTTATTGAAGTAGAAAAACAAACATAATAGTGCAGAAAGGCAAATTTATCTCTAAAAGAGATTTTTTCCATCAAACTCAATATGAGAATAATTGACAATTTATTAATAGTTACAGTTCTACATGTGTACCAATCAACTTAAATGTTATATTTAAAAATAAATAAAATGTATTTAATGTAGTTATTTACTTATTTTATACACTATTATTTGATTAGATAATAGTATTTAATATATTTTATTATTTACTATTTGATAAAAGCACTTAGTTACACAGATTGATTACTAAATATGTGAAGTATAAAAAGAAAAACAGATTCCATAATGCTTTAAAATTGTATTGAAAATATATATGTATATTTTTTATTTATTTTTCATATAAACCTTTTATAACAACACTTAAATTAATAAATAAATGTATCAAAATTCATTGCATGGTGAAGAAATAATAGTAATTGTGAACATTTTGTTTTATACTATTTAAAGATGTGTTTGGTATATTACCTAATAAATGTATGGATTTATAAAACATCTTTTAATTTGATGCAATGTTGTGATATGTAAAAATATCATTTGACAAAATAAAATTCCTATACTTATTCTATTAATAATGTGAAATTTATTAATATGTGTGTTCAGATCATATTTCACTTTCAGATTACTGAAAGTGCATTGAACCTGAATTACAAATGCTCTTTCATCCCAATGTTATTTTTTTTTTATTATAGTATTTTATTTGAATACATTAATATAAGCATGTCTCGTTGTATTTCACTGTGATGAATTGTGAAGTGAAAATAGATCTATTTATTTATTATTATTTTCCAAGCACTTTAAAGGTGTTTAAAAATACTAAATAATTTTATTTATAGTTATTTCTAACTCCATTTTTAATATGTACTTGCTAAATATTGAATTACAAATTACTTAATTTACAAACTGTTAGAAATTGCTGCTGATATTTTAATTAATTCAATGAGTTCAACATTGTGTCTTTATTGGGCTGTTAACTATTTTTCATTGCATTATTTCAATTATTCATTCTATCACCTTATTTTATTCGTATAAGTTTGTAGATCTATTATATCTATTGCTTATGTTCACACATTCGTCAATATCATATGTAATCTGTCATGGGTGCCTTGGTAACATATGTGATGATATATATCTGTGTGTGATATATAGGTTGTTTTATCTTTCATTTATTTGAAAATTGCTTAATCATTAAATAATTTAATGGGTTATTTTTGCTTGTCAATAAAATAATACCAGAAATTTCCACTATCACTATACGCCTGATATTTTTTTTTTAATTATCCCTTCCTTGTGGTGATCTTTATTGAGAATTAATAAAATTCAATTAACAGTAATAAAAAATAAATACATAAATAGATACATGCTTTATAAATGAATTTATTTAATGAACATTGATATGAATTGTAAAACAAATCAGATTCTACCTGGTATTTAATTGTTACTGTCTAACTGTACTGACTCTTATTTAAACTTTTGTTTTTTTTTGAGTTAATTTATTCTTTAGAGGTTTGTTTGAATCGAAGCATTTGGTGTTCCATTGTTTCTGCTTACCCTAATGGGAGACAGGCGTGACAGATATGTATGTATGTATTTATTCTTTAGTTGCAAGTTGGTGATTAGTTAGTATAAGGTGAAATTAGCAATTAATGGACTCATTTATTTAAAAACTTAATTACTAAGAACAAGGTTAATATATGAGTATGCTTTAATATTTATATTACACTTTACACTGTCTCAATTTAGAATTTTTGTAACAAAATATTAATATGTATATTATTGGTACTCCATTTTCCCTATTTTAAAATTATAATGAGCATAATAATAAAATTTATATGAGTATTAGCTTTTACCCGTGACTTTGTTTGTGTGACCGAGATAAAAATAACCTATACCTTCTCCCTTCCATATAGTATGTGTATACCAAGTAATAATGGTGACTTTAATATAAGTACATGAATAAAAAAGGATACTCATTTATAAATATCAAGGCTTCTATGTCCATTGGTTTATATATTTGTAACATAGTCGGATTCCTGACTGACTTTACAAAAGGATCTACTTAATTACAATTTACTTAGTTTCTTATTAAATAGTGTACTGATAAAATGGATACATAAATTTGTAGCGCTGTATCCCATTATCTATACTAATATTATAAATTTGTAAGTTTGGATATTTTGGGGTAATCTTCGGTACTACCGATCCAATTTTAAAAATTCTTTCACTGTTAGAAAGGTACATTATTTCTGAGTTCCTAATTTCTATAATTTATCACCATAAATATAGTTTAAGTCGGCAAAATTCCATAATATGACGTACGCTGCCTACACGGTTTGAAATTAAGGAATAAAATCTAAAGCAAAAAATATTAATAACTTTTAGCTGTACAAAAAGGTCCACGACACCATAAATCTAAGTTTAATATCTCAGCAAAAAAAAAATTGTTTTTATGATAAAAGTGAAATACATTTTATAAGATTAAATTTGTATACAAGTTTGACATGTACTTTATAAATCCTTATAAAAACAAATAACGGAATAAAAATGCAAATTTTTTGGAGATAAAATTTACTTTTTACAACATGTTAATTGATGCAGTTGTTCAGAAAATAATGCGAAATAAAATTCAGTAAAATTATTGCATTGTCGCTGGCGCTGGCTGTGCAAGAATAGTAGGCGGGGCGCATAGGTGAGGGCGGTAGGAGGAACTATAATATAAACACATCAAATTGCTTAATAGGCCGTTCATTTTAAAATCTTACAAAATATTAATGTAGTACTTTTACACACGTCTAAATACCAACACCACTAAAATATGTTGATTAATTTAAAAGTTACACAAACATATATTGCACCCGTGCAAAGCTGGGGCGGGTCGCTAGTTTATAAAAACATAAATCTCATAATGTGTATAAGTCACACATCGAGAATAGACACAAAATTGTAAAAATTATATAAGAAAGTTACACATAAATACTTTCGCGCGGCTCTATAATCGTGCGTATTTACATTTTCCCGCCAAATTCTATTTAAAATAGTTTTTATATCAAAATTTCATAATCATCATGACTTCACTCATTCATTGTCTACCGCTGAACAGTAAGCCTTAAATTTCTGTGATCTGTTACAGTAAGAAAGGTATACAGCCCTAGAGGTTGGTCAGCGCAGCATGAGGGGTAATTCTGCCCTGGCCAGCCTCTAGGTCTTTGTTTAAAGTTTTGTTCTCTTTTAATACTGTATTGTGTTTTGTTCCCTTAGTCGCCTCTTACGACGCCCTTGTAATGACATTCCTAAAATGAAAACGAGTGTTTAGTGACACATCTTACCTACTCCATCTCTATCAATTTAATCAACTGACATTTATAGATTTAAAAGTCTACAATTGTCATTTATAGTTTTCTTACACCTGTGACGAGTCGAACAATTAGAAAGCCATTCTGCACTTGGCCAATGTTTGTATATATATTTACTCTTCATGTGTGGGATGTTTGCTATAAATAACGCACAGTCTTGGACTAAACTACGCGTTTCGTTTCACCATGATGTACGTTTTATTCATACTATCATTACGTGTAATATCGTATTTTCATACGGAAATGTCTTTTTGACTGACAACAGTTCTGTTGTTGTTTGTGTGTGTGAGTGTTGTTGTATAGTGTTGTTAACGGATGACTTTTGATTTCTGTCAGTGAAGATGTCCAGTACTAGCGGTGGTGAAAACTGTTTGTCTAAGCTATCTTTGTGTTGTGATGTTTAGTATTAAAGATTTATTATTTAAGGTACCGTCATATATTTTATATCTAGTACTTATACGGATAAATTACTTCATATTATATCAACGTATTTCTTTTTTTTTGTTTTTTGTTATTATTATTATTATATTCAAAATCTAATTCAGCATTTGTTTGTTTAATAAGTCATATAATCTACAACAGATATACTGACAATAAATAAATAACACCAAATGTGGATAAATCGAGAGAGATCCATTTAAATCGATATTTAATGTTCTATTGTTGCTACCTACCCCCATGATAGGCGTAATGTAAATATGGATATAAGTTAAAAATTTAAACAAAATCAATTTTTATTTCTTGATCTATCTATCTGTCTTAAACATGACTTGCTTTAATATTTGTTCCTTAAAATTATAGGAAATATAAAATCTTGTCGCGACCATACGTGAGAGTCTGATTCAATGACATGCTAACTTTAATTGTAACTTTTACTTTAATTTTACACTTTAAAATATAATAAATGAGTAATGATATAAAGCATCTTATTATCACAATAAAGTTAATAGTATGTAAAAATTATTAATTTTTTACTGCATCACGCTTAAAGGAGTTTTTATTTTTTGTGGATGACAATGGAATGGTAATCCCCATCTGCGCTATCAGTATACGCTGGCGGGGCACCAGTAAGGGATGATAGGTGAGATGAAAAGACAGATCAGCTAGCCCATCGTGTTGGGCCACCTGACCAGGAATTCAGCACGATGGTTTCCAGGGGGGACCACGTGAAGGTCGACCTGACGGGGTATATTGCTAGCAATAGTACTGGTAGTCCGTATTACTAACAATCCCTTCCCTCACGCTTTAAGGGTAGAAAGGATTCGAATTAATGTTAGTGCTTAAAGAATTTCCTACCTTTAATAAATTATTCACGAGGGTAGAATCACAGGTTAAACCTATTAAGTATAAGATTTTTTTGTTTCATTCTTAAAGGAAATTAATCTCTTTTTATTTCGAAAAATTCTGTCAAACTAATATAATAATAAATTATAGTTTATTTCGGTATAATATAAAAGAGATTTTATACTAATTTCTTTTTTTTTTTGTACCCTCATATAATTTTTTCTTAAATATCTTCCATGTATACGGGCAACGTTAGAGGAACAGTGCAAGTGTTTTGTACATACTATTCTAATTAATCCAGATTGTCTGTAAGAGATTGCTTTTAACGATAAGGCCACATTCTGTATAAATACTCCTTGTATACATACATCTCTATTGTGCACAATAAAGAGTTTATTATTATTTCTTATTTATTTTTATTACTTACTCTTCGTATAAGGTGAAAAGGAATTGTTAATAATAGAATCTAAAAATTCCAATAATAGCCATATATGTATATAATTGCTTAATTTGTTTCTGATAACCCTGTCAAGTTGACCTTACGGTCCCCCCTAGAAACAATCGTGGTTGTTTCTTATTAATTTTTTTACGATCGGCCAACTGACCCGTTTTCATCATCATCCTTATCATCACTCGCTGGTACCCCGCCAGCGTATACCGATAACGTAGGCGGGGTTACCATACCATTTTAACCCATTAAAAAAGCTCTTATAAATAAACATCAAATCTGAACTCTCTTCAATTCTCCCTCAATAAATTTACATAAATATATAATTTTCAAGTAAACCGCTTCTAATATTATTAATATTGACTTGTAATGAGTAACAGTAAGCGCAGCAAATTTTAACTAAGAATTTGTTACGCCTAGAAATTGCTTTCAAGCGAGTCATCCTGCCTGCACTTTTACCATAAAATAAGTATGCCAATTGCAAATATGTAGACACGGCTAATATATATTAGTTACACTAAATTACCTACGTTTGTATTGTTATTTGTCTACGTATTGTGTCAACAATGCAATGTAAAACATTAAAATTGTAAACGCTTTCCAAGTGGACCCTCAACTTGTTTGACATTTGACAGTCATATAAATTATTTTAATAAGTACATATGTTTTTTACAGTGATAGTAGTCGATTAGTGCCTACGACATAACTACCTCATTAGGGGTTACAATTATAGGCCATATTTTTTCTTCCTTTTTTTATCCTTTCTAATATTATAAATGTTAAACTAAGTTTGCTTGCTTGTTACTCACTATGAAAATTGGTATATACGTCTTATATGGGGTGGAGGATTTACTACTTTAAATAGGATAGGCTACTTTTAAAAAAATTTAGAGCCTACCTAAACATACTAACTTAACAGTTAGACACGCTGTAATGTTAGTATGGGAGGTACTAAATTTGTCAGTTTACAACCCATGTTTCTTTCGTGAAAATATTCGGTTTCCAAATTTAAAACAAGCACTTTTAAATAGTCTTTTTTTTATGAATGCAAGATTCGGAAAGTTGTTATCTGTTGAGAAGAGCCCACAAGATACTCAATAGTTATTTATTTAAATATTTGTATGGTGTCTCTATAGGTCTCTGTAACATTAGGTAAATAAATACATTTGAATGTGTTAAGTCTAAAATTACATGGTCTTCAAAAAGCCCGTCCCTGAAATTTCGGGCTCAATTTCATGTTTTCATTCATACCGAAATCGGCTCAGTAAATGGAGCTTAACATTTCATTCGTCATAAATCCTACCAAAAAATATCAAAGCAATGATATTTTAAGACTTAATTTTAATTTTAAATTTTTGTATCGTTCGGCTCCAAAATTTCGGAAAACATTTCATGGTAGGCCTTCTGGTTGTTTCTTTATTGTACATTTACTTTAAAATAATAATTGAGAAAAAAAACTTTATGTGCAGTGCTGCTGGCGAGTTGGCGAGATGCACACAGCCACTGCAGACGGGCAGTACCGCGGCGCCAACGGTTCCTCGCACGGCCGCGACAAACTCGCCATATTGGATGCTGGCTCGCAATATGGAAAGGTAATTTTAATCAATTGTCGTTAATGCAAACATATATTCACGATAGAGAACACAGTCCGATGGTAAGTCCGCCATATGTACATAGTTTCACTGTGCATTAAAGTTTAAATAAATAAATATGCAATGTCCGATCTAGCTTTCTGCCGTTCCAGGCAATAGTGAATATTTGCCGTCAAATCTATCTATATATAAATTGAATCGGTAATGTGTTGCTAAGCGCAAAATTCGAGTATTTGTTGAAGTTCGTATTGTAAAGAAAAATTCGATAAATTACCTACGTAAACCCCTATTTTTTTTTCATACAAATTTTTCTAATGAACTGACACAGTCCAATAGCTTTTAATGAAACGACGTCTGACGAATCAGCTTGTGTATAATAAAAATTATCATGTCAACATCCTGCACCGAGCATATTTACTCTTGGCATCATTAGAATTTCACTCATTTATTACTGCATAAACAAAAATGGCTACTATGAGAGAAATGATTATTAGTTTTTTTTAATGGATGACAATGGAATGGTAACCCCCGTCTGCGCTAAAGGTATACGCTGGCGAGACACCAGTGAGAGACAGGTGAGATAAAAAGGGATGTCAGTTAGCCTATCATAATGGGTCACCTGACCAAGAATACAGCACGATGGTTTCCAAGGGAAACCACGTGAAGATCGACCTGATAGGGTATATTGTTAACAATGGGATTGATAGTCCGCATTACTAACAATCCCTTCTGCCTTCCCCCAGGAAACCATCTTAGTTAATACATCATATCATCTCTCACTAATTCATGGTTACCATTCCATTAATACCTATTTAAAAACAGGCTACTCTAACCTCTTAATTAAATAGTTTGTATTCTTGTTTGCCTCTAAAAAAATAATGTATTTTTTTATTTGGTTGTTGATTTTAAGACTAGTGCATAAAATCAACTCTTTTTTTTTATTATCAATAAAAATACAAAGTTACAAAAATTATGTTACATTAGCATCAGTCCGTTGTATGAGAGTGACTCTGTCTAACATTTCCTACTAAAGATGTTACTAGGTATTCCATTTACAATGATGTTGCGGATGTCACTATGGGTGCCGGTACTTACCATTAACTGAGCCGCTCGTTTGCCCCTATGTTATAAAATAATCCATCAATTTTTTTTTTGCAGGTCATAGACCGAAGGGTCCGAGAATTATGCGTGGAGTCGGACATCCTGCCGCTGGACACGCCAGCCTACCACCTCAAGGAGGCCGGCTACCGAGCCATCATCATATCCGGTGGCCCCAACTCGGTCTACGCCGAAGACGCGCCTAGATACGACGCGGACATATTCAAAATTGGATTACCAGTATTAGGTAAGTAATAAGTTTCTTAAGAAACATACTTGAAATTATTTTAGGTATATTTTCATCAAGGATGTACAACAAAGAGTCTGGGATGATACTTTTGACTTGCTGATTTTTTTTCAAATATCTATAAGTACAAAAGTCGATTGCTTGGGTACCTCTCTCCCAGTCGTGTTTCAACCGTAAAGCAGTTGTGTTTGCATAGCTGTGTTTCGGTTTGAAGGGTGGGATATGGCGTGAATTTACTGGGTACGGAGGAGTAACACCTGAGTCCTCAGGAATGGCAACGCATGGGGGGTATCATGGGCGAAACGGTATACTCTGTTATGTCCATGATACTGCTCATGTCTATAGGCGACGGTTACCACTTTCCATCAGGTGGGCCGTCAGCTTGTTTGCCATTCTAAGTTGTATAAAAAAAAATGCGCGTACCCGGTTTACAGGGTATCATTTGACACTGAAATGACTTGTGACTCGAGATCTTCAGGTTACAAGGATTGGCAACGTGCACTTGGACTCTTAGTATATGCAGGTATCCATAAACTGTGGTAACCATTTATTGTTAGTCTAGTGTAAGCTTGTTATCCATATTAATTATTTAAGGCTGTATACTTGTTGGCAACTATCTAATAAATGTTCGTAATATTTATGTATTGCAACTTTCTATCAAGTTTACAATAAAAAGCACTAATCTAGACATACTACAGTGTAATTTTATATATTTGAGAATATGTATCAACTAAACAAAACAGGTTGATGATGAGGATGATGATACAGCCATCAACTGTCTATTGGTGAACATAGGCCTTCCCTTTGGAAGGATTTGCCTGTAGTTGTCACGCTTTGGCAGGCGGTTAGCAATCACAGTTAGGTTTTGATGATATTTTAAGAGGGACGCAGCTGCTCGTTTGAGATCTATTATCTCACTGGATATGCATCTTCTAGCACTTACAATTTTTATATAAGAGGTCTGATTTTTGCTGAAAAAGGCTGAATACAGATAGAAAAAAAATGGGGGACCCATGTCTAGAGATGCAATATTAATAAATTGTTATAATTATATATATATATATATATATATATATATATATATATATATATATATATATATATATATATATATATATATGTTTAATAGGGACTGCCAATAACTGAAACTAGCATATTTCTTCCGCAGGTATTTGTTATGGTATGCAAATGCTCAACAAAGAGTTTGGCGGTTCAGTGCTACGCAAAGAGGCTCGCGAAGATGGCCAGTTCGAGGTAGAAGTGGAGACGACATGCCCGCTCTTCAAGTAATTACTGCATTTTCATAATACTTGTAACAGCAAACTGCTGAGAACTACTGTGTTTTGCCTCCATGCCCTGAAATTTCATCACTCGTCAAACCGAAACACAAGCATGGTGCTGTTTACACAATATTGTATGCTTCAACATATTTAAATCACATTTTTAGTTCAATTACATACATACATACATATATATCTGTCAGGGTAGGCAGAAACAATGGAACGCCAAATGTTTTAGTTCAATTAATCATAAATTATTTCTAATAGGCAAGATTTTACTTTTTTGTAGTCTATGTTCTAGTCAAAAATTTAAGTAGATATTGTCTATGATTTGTCCCTCTTCCATTGGCGCTCGAAGAAGCAAGCGTGTCTCAGCGATATCGTTTAGTAAAATATAAAGATAAAATGCATTTCGATATTTGTAAGTTTTCAGTGCATTCATGAAAGAAATCAGAAAGTGAATTCAGTAATTTTCAAGTTTATTTACTAAGCCATCAAACCACGTGTGCACCCGCATTCATACACTATTTACGTGGACATTTGCTTTACGACTGAAATACAAGTGACAATACATACATCATACATTATATGTCTGTCACGTCTGGCTCTCATCACCCTCATACCCTAGACAGAACAAACCTCTTTCGTTTCCTCCACATTCATCAATCTTTTCATACACATTCGCCGATTATGGGTAATTTTAATTTGGCCTTCCTTTAGCATGTCGCCTATTTAGTCTACATATGAGAAAACATGTTATACATAACTGAATTAATATTAGGGGTATCCTTTCAATGATATAATAAGTATTATCACAACATGTTTTATTTTCTTATTTCCATTACAGTCTACAGTACAGCACACCACCATAGAGTAATTACCGATACAGAGTACCTCCACAGACTATATCTAAACATAACATAAATAATCTGTTACAATAACAGATTTGGTTGTATATTAGCTTAACATACTACTTCACCATCCTATGGTTTAGATTCGAACCCTGAACAATAAATTTTGTATTCATGTGTATGGTTGTTTGTATTGATCAAAGTGTTTTCTATGCCTGTGTATTTTCAAAAAAATATATGTATTAATACTCATAATACAAATTCTTCATTTGCTACTAGATACCGCTGTGCCAATATTACTAGAGATAAGTAATATTTATTCTCTATTTTCACCTTAAGAAAAGATATAATTGAAACAGGCAATAATAGACGGCCTTATCACTAAATAAGCTCATCTAGATAATCTTAGCATAGAGAAGAGTGACTAAACCAGTATCTGATGAAGGTATAATAATAATATAATTTAAAAAAAAACATAACTACAATACATATATACAATATCAGGTGGACTCTTTACTCTTTTGCCTCCCTAACAATGAAAAAAAAAACTAGACAGTCAGTTCATTAATTTTTTATTTTCGCAGCCGATTAGAAAAATTACAACCTGTACTGTTGACACACGGCGACAGCGTACAGAAGGTGGGCGAGAGGTTCCGCGTCGGCGCGCAGTCGTCCAACCACCTCATCGCAGCTATATACAACGAGCAAATGAGGCTTTACGGCGTGCAATTCCACCCGGAGGTACGTTGGAATATTTTAAACAAAGCACTAATAGAAATACTAACGATTCGCCCTGGCTTCGCATTTATAGGTAGATAGATAGATTAATAAAAATACTCAAGAATTTTGAAATATACATATTATATATAAAATTCTCGTGTCACGGTGTTTGTTACCAAACTCCTCCGAAACGGCTTTACCGATTTTTATAAAATTTCGTGTGCATATTGGGTAGGTCTGAGAATCGGCCAACATCTATTTTTCATACCCCTCAATGATAAGGGTGACCTACCCTTAAATATATATTTTTTTTTTTTGACATTTATTTTTATTTTATTATGACTAAGCATAGAAAATTACATACAGCTTCAAATTTTTACCCTTTTACGATCAACCCCTGTTTTTTAATCGCGATTTTTATATTCCGAAAAAGGGTTGCAAGATGACGATCAAATATAATCGATACGATACGAAATACGATAAATTTTCATGAAATAATGTATATGGTAAAACAACGTTTGCCGAGTCAGCTAGTATTCAATATAAAAATATTAATTATACAAAGCTCTTGATACTTTAGGTTACGTTATTGAAATTTTCATGGGCAGTTCTAATTATTTTTTTAATAATATCTAGCTTATCTTACTCAATGATAATGTAGTTTTATGATCAGTGAAAAAATTTTAACAGTTTTTCAACAAAAAAAAAAACAGTTCAGTTGTTTTCTTATTAGAAACAACTAGTTTACAAAAATATCTTTTTATAGTATTGGTTTAGATTAATATACACAATTACTGTAATATGACATTCATATTATTACCAGAGGGAGACTTTGTACAAAAGTCGATTGCTTGGTTACCTCTGTCCCATTCGTGTTTCTACCGTGAAGTAGTTGTTTGCATGGCTGTTTCGGTTTGAAGGGTGGGATATGGCGTGAATTTACAGGGTACAGAGGAATAACATTTGAATCCTCAGGAATGGCAACGCATGGGGGTATCATGGGCGAAACAGTAGGTATACTCTGTTATGTCCATGGTACTGCTCATGTCTATAGGCGACGGTTATCACTTTCCATCAGGTGGGCCGTCAGCTTGTTTGCCATTCTAAGTTGTATAAAAAAAATATATAATTAATAAATGAATATACCTAGAAATGTCGAATAAATAAATTAAAAACAACAATAATTTTTCTAACAAATTTAAAAGAAGTTTCTCAATTCAGCCGGTCTTATTGTATGTGTGTGTTAATGTAATTGATTTGTAATAAATGTACATATATATTCTGAAGTTTACAAGGTGGAGAACATTATTCGAGTGCATCGAACTTCACCCAATTATCCACTACAAAGTTGCATAATGGGCATCACTCACCCTTGGCGAAATTAAAAAAAAAAAGTGTGTTCCACAAAAAACATCTACATATTTCAATTGTGGCAATTTTTATATAAAAACTAAAGTGGTGAACCAAATTTGTAAAAATTTCTATGGGGCCGATCTGTAAAAATATATCTGATAAAAAAATAATTTCAAATCATTTCATAACTGATGACGGTAACAAACACAAAGAAACGAAACCGAATTGAAAACCTTCTTTTTGAAGTCGGTTGAAAATGTGTTTGTTTGTTTTAAATAGGATCTCGGATAAACTGTTACATTATGAAATTAACAATATTATATGATCGTAAATGAACATGTCTCTAGTTACTAATATTTATGTTGGCAGTATACCGAGCGTATGAAAGCGGTCGTTTCATTGCATACCTATATACTGTTGAATTCAGTGTTCACTACGTACTGTAGTGTATTGGCACGAATATCGAGGCCAACACATTGATGACACAGATGTCACGTTAGGGCACAGTATAAATAATAGTATTACTTTAATATCGCTTTTATTTATTCAAAATTGATAGATAAATAAAATGTATGAAAGGCGGACTTAATGTGTTCTCTTCTCTACCAACTTTAGGCGTGTGCAGAGCATTATATAAAAATAATTTGATTATTTCTAAACATCAATAATTCAATTTAAAAATTTACATACATTATTGATAATTTAAAATTATTTCATAGAATAACAAAAAAAAAATGGATATTTGAAAAAAATGGATATACTGATTGTTACACACAATTTGGTTTCGATATTTTTGATGTATTTAAAAAATAAATAAATTATTACCCATTTTATTATTATGTGCACAATGAATTACGTAAACACACTTAAACACCATTTTCGAACAACATGCACACTCTGTATTTCGTACATTTCACTTCGACACAAAATTTTTATTTATTAAAAATAAAGCATTTATTATAATTTTTACAAAGTATGGAAAAATGATGCTTCCTGACACAGGCATTACTCAGATAATGAAGCAGATACCAGCTACTCGATAGAAGATTTTATTCATGAACGTAATTCATGATAGCTATTTTTTTTTTTTATTTTTCTTTGCCAGGGAATTTCTGCGGCTGTCTTTTGGCCTCAACATAAAATCAGTAATTTGCTCTTTTCAAAACAAAACAATAAATTGAATTGTGACGATTTTGTGTTATTGTGTGTTAAAATATATAATACTTCTTTTATGCATCTTACTTTTATTTATTTATGTATATAAAAGTTTGTTGTTATAAATATATTAATAAAATATAAAAATCATATTCTGATACATTATTTTTATTAAAATAATGAAGTCGATTCTAGAATTATTAAAAGTTGTAATTATTCACAGGTGGACCTAACTCCAAAAGGGAAGCAAATGCTCTCCAACTTCCTGTTTGACATCGCGGGTCTGTCACGCTCGTTCACGCTACGCTCGCGACGCGAGGCCTGCATACAATACATAAGAGAAACTGTTGGAGAGAACAAAGTGCTTGTATGTACATAAAAATAAATATTTTCAGGAATAGCTTTCCTAATGAGGTGGACAGAGGCATTGTTGAATGTTGCTGCTATGACGAACATATCACTTGGTAGTTCAAGATAATGGGATCTCCCTGAAAAGTTCTTGTGTCTATACGTATATAAGTTTCTGATAATTGTTTTTACTTCATGCGGAAGTCTTCTTCAAGGTTTTTTTTTACTGGGGGGTAATGGAATAGTAACCTTGCCTGCGCTATCGGGATAGGCTAGCGGGATACCAGTGAGAGATAATAGCTGAGAATGAAAAGGCAAGCCAGTTAGCCCATCGTGATGAATACACCTAGTATTCAGCACAATTGTTTCTAAGGGGAACCACGTGGAGGTCGACCTTACAGGGTTATATTGCTAGCAATGGGACTAGTACGCTTTACTAACAATCCCTATAAATTTTTATCATCGAAATATAAAAATAAATATTATATTGATGCAAAACAAAATTTTATCAATAGATGTATTATTATACTATTGTTTTACTAGGTGTTAGTGAGCGGCGGTGTGGACTCTACAGTATGTGCAGCCCTGCTGCGCACCGCTTTACGCGAGGACCAAGTTATCGCCCTACACATTGACAATGGTATGTAAATGTGTAATTCGATTTACAAAATTTGTATTTCCCATTCGTGTTTCTACCGTGTAGCAGTTGTGTTTGTATGGCTGTGTTTCAGTGTGAAGGGTGGGATATGGCGTGAATTTACTGGGTACAGAGGAATAACATCTGAGTCCTCAGGAATGGCAACGCATGGGGATATCATGGGTTAAACAGTATACTCTGTTATGTCCATAGTACTAGTCCATAGTAGCTCATGTCTATAGGCGACGATTACCACTTTCCATCAGGTGGGAAGGCCGTCAGCTTGTTTGACATTCTAAGTTGTATAAAAAAAAAAAACACACACACACACACACATATTTGACGATTATGAAAAAGAGGCTGCGCGAGAGGAAAGTTGTTCTGTTTAATAAATACTATATATATTGTTGGAAATGTTTTGTTATACTGTTTCTTTAACATTCTCTATATGATAAGTTTTTTATTATACATATTTAGTAAACAATTTTGTTATGTATACTTTTATAGAATTATCAATGCTTAAAATAAATAGAATAAAATTATAGATAGATAGATAAACTATTTATGTCAAGAGATACACAAAAATTGTGACAATAGTAATAGAAACAAAAAAAAACATAACAAAAAGGCGGTATATACAAAAAAATTTACATAACATAATATATGAAAATGTAATATGTGTACCACAGCGATGCAAGAAGGCAACATGTCAGTGAGTTGTTTGTTTAATAAGCAAACCAATAATTTTTAGTTACTTCTACCGCCTGAAAAGTTCCCAAAGGAACGTGCAACAAATACCGCTGTTGGTTTTAATTTTAACTGATTGTATTATTATTTTTATGGGTCTTCTTTTTAAATGTACTTACCATGTTTCTTGTAAATAAATAAATAAAGTAAATGACCAATATCGAATGTTAATGCTAAGTACTTTTGTTAATTGCAGGTTTCATGCGCAAAAATGAAAGTACTAAAGTGGAAAGAAGCCTTCGTGATCTTGGCGTGCGTTTACACGTTATCAATGCAGCTCATCAGGTATATTTTTTATATTATTAGATAAGTAATACATTGGAAATTATATAATGGTTATATTATTTACTTGAAATTATATTAGAATTACCATTCTCATTATTTCCTGTTACTAGCAATCATTTCCCCATCAAATAACACTATGTTTTGGTCCCCAGTTCCGGCAAGGCAGCACAGTGATCCGCGAGGCGGCGGTTGGCTGTGCCGGCGGCGCGGCAGGGGCGGGGGGAGGCGTGGGCGGAGGGGGGCGGGCGCGGCACACCCCTCTGCTATGCCACGCCACCTCGCCAGAGGATAAACGGAAAATTATCGGCGACGTTTTCATACGCATTGCCGAGCAGGCCGTGCACGACCTACAGCTGCAGTCAGTACACACCTTTACTTTCTACCGATAGTCTAGCGCCACTTTTTGCGCATCTTCGGTTGTGGTTCTTTGACAATCGAAGATCGGCAGCGGAACGTAGCAGCCACGTTCAACATGTCTCTGGCCACATGAATACTAACTAAAGCGAGTAGACAACGCTAATTGTTCACTAAGTCTAGTGCGTCATATAAGAAATACGTGCAATATAGCGTTACCGGTCGTATATCAGGGAGTCGGCATCTAAGCAAACGAAGGCGACGGAAAATACGCTGAATGTGGTGCTAGCTTAGCTACATTCACATATCTTCTGTCGCTGAAGATACGCAACAAAACACCAGTACATCAAGTTAAATATTTGAAATATTCAATCATTACATCTAGGTAAAGTCACGAAACACATGTACCCGGCGTCTGTTCAGTCATTGGCGCGCAGTCATCCAGTCGAAGATACGCTGAATGTGGCGCTGGGCTGCCTTTACACTTATAACTACTTCAATAATTACCTAATATACTTAAGTACATAAGTAAATCTTTTAGATTCAAAGGTGGCCTTACGATAAACATATGCTTTGGAGGAAACAACGCAAATGTTGTTCCTACACGGAAGTTATCAATTATTAATAAGTATACCAATTGTATGAGTACTTGTCAAAGTTGATTCAGAATTTGCCAGAATATTTCATAACATATTCATAAATTTATATATTTTATTATAATTTATATAGTTCCTTAATTAATAATTGATATATCTGTATCAGAACTTTCCCTTGCCTGTTATTTCTTAAAAAAAAAAACCTAAAAATCGTATATAGTGCGTGTGGTACACAGGGAGGATCAAGTGCTGCTGGGGCAGGGCACGCTGCGGCCGGACCTGATCGAGTCGGCGTCGTCGATGTGCTCCACCAACGCGGCCACCATCAAGACGCACCACAACGACACCGAGCTCGTGCGCCTGCTGCGACAGCGCGGTCGCGTCGTCGAGCCGCTCCGGGACTTCCACAAGGACGAGGTCACTATATTGAATACGTTAATATCGAATCCCAATCAAAAATCCCAAGAAATTAATGCTGAAATAAAATTACAGAATTGTCATAAAAAAAAATACTCTAAATTATATAAATCATCATCATTTCATATAATCCTCACTTAAGCCTCCCCCATAGACTGCCGTAAAGAACGGTCCTGGGCCACCTGCATCCACTGACTCCCTAAACTGAAATTGTATACATTTTGTGACGTGTGGTAATGTAAAAATTCATGATAAACTGAAATCTCTGGACTGACTTAAATGAAATTGTGTAAATATTCATAACCATCAAGGAAAGAGCATATTCCTGTTTAAAAGGCCGGCATCACACCTGCAATGCCTCTGGTGTTACTGGTGACCATGGGCAGCGGTAGTCACTTGCCATCAAGTTAGCCATATGCTCGTTTGCCCTCTGTATTATAAAAAAAAAAAGTAGGGACCAAAATAGTAGTTGCCAAGTCAGCTAGCTATGTTGTAGATCTAAAAAGTAACCCTTTTCTAATAGTTTCAAAACAAATAACATGTTTCCTATCTAAGGTAGAACCATAAAAAACGTGACGATTTGAAAGAGCTTCTGTTCAGAATTTTTGTTGTTTTTTTTTTTTTTTTTTATTAATGTGTTGTGGTGGCATGTACACGCAGGTCCGTGCACTGGGCGTGGAGCTGGGGCTGCCGGCGGCGCTGGTGGAGCGCCACCCGTTCCCCGGGCCCGGGCTCGCCGTGCGCGTGCTCTGCCAGGACGAGCCCTACACCGACCGTGACTTCGCAGAGACGCAGGTACGACGCTAGCCACTAACATCGCTTACCCAGAACGCATACCCTGGCCATTACGTATACCACACTCACCAATCAACCAAGACAATCGGAACACCCAAACATTGTGGTCCCCAGAGACAACCAGCGCAATGAGAATTTCTTGAAGCTTCTACCTGCTCTCTCCTGTGAGCGAAAAAATCTTATCATCTGCGAGACCCGTTCAAGCGGATGATAAATTTACGGTAAAATGTGCTTTGAACACACCACTTCTTAAAACACAAACTCTGTAAGGTTTTCTCCGATAGACACACATCAATATCCGCTCGTCTTCTGCAGAACAAATGGAATAATGAATTCTCCCACATTAAAAAAAAAGTTGCCATCAGTGTATTTGATAAATATTTTTATTTATTTTGTGGCAGAAAACAAGCGAAAATTACAAAAAATATATTATTTTAAATTAACTTTTTTATATATGTAAATTGACTAAATCCTGAATGTACATAATCTTGAAATGTGTTTGCTCTACAATATTTATCACGTAATTAATCGCAATATTGGTGTGTGCAGGTAATAGTGAAGATAATGGTGGAATATGCGTCGATGTGTGTGAAATCGCACGCGCTGCTGGGCCGCGTATCGAACGCGTGCAGCGCCGCCGACCAGGCCGAGCTCAAGCGGATCTCGTCCAAGACGCCCGTCGCCGCCACGCTGCTGCCGCTGCGCTCCGTCGGGGTGCAAGGTGCGGTCGATCACACGCCCGGTCACATATCCATCCAATCATCTCACTCACACATCCGGTCACTTACTTATCCAATCACCTCACTTGCCTTCAATCACCCCACTAATCCCTCCAATCACTCATTTTCCCACCCAATCACCTAACTCACTCGCCACCCAGTCACCCACTCACTTATTCGATCACGTCACACTTCCACATAATTCTCTTACTCACCCACACAAATACCACTCGCATCCACACAATTATTTATTCTTGAAAACATAAAATAAAACAATTTGGATGTTAGTAAAATAAAAAAGAAAACAAAATTTTGGAAATGATAAAAAATGTGAATAAAATTTCGTGTTTGTATCAGACAATCTATAAACTACTGTATTGACCACAATATGATTTTGTTTAAATGTATTTTTATATATATATATATATATATTATTTATTTAATAATTATTGCAGGTGACGGGCGGACATACAGCTACGCGGTAGCGTTATCAACGGAGCGCTACCCTCCCGACTGGAAAGACATGTTCTACCTCGCCAAAATGATCCCACGCGTCTGTCACAATGTTAACAGGTCTGTTGAACGTTCAATGTATACACAAAAATTCCGTATGGTCCCGGCATAGAATAGGCCACCCCTTACTTTGCTGTGGGTATCGTAAGACGCGACTAAGGTAATGCGAGGGATGGGCAGCAGCGTTCCTCTTAAAACGTCTTCAAAGCTTAACTTCGGTTGCCAATCCGCCTGTCTAGCGTGGCAACTACTAGCAAACCCCAAAGGGTAGGCTTATATTCAGCAGTTAGACAGTTAAAGTCTTATATACTGATGATACAATAAAGTAAATAAATACATAAATAAACTCAAGACTAGAATTCCTGATAGTCAGATTTTATTTTTTATACAACTTAGAATGGCAAACAAGCTGACGGGCCACCTGATGGAAAGTGGTAGCAGTCGGCTATAGACATGAGCAGTACCATGGACATAACAGAGTATACTGTTTCGCCCATGATACCCCCTATGCATTGCCATTCCTGAGGACTTAGGTGTTATTCCTCTGTACCTAGTAAATTCACGCCATATCCCATCCTTCAAACCGAAACGCAGCCATGCAGACACAACTGTTTCACGGTCGAAACACGAATGGGACAGAGGTACTCAAGCAATCGACTTTTGTACAAAGTCTCCCTCTGGTATATCAGATACATTTATTGACTTACTATTGCTGTGAACATAACATTTGATGTGCCTACATTTCACTGAACTTATTAGAATCCAGTATTGTCATTATCTACTATTGTAACTCGGATTAATTTGGTTTATTTATCAGTTTTTTTTTCCATCATCTGAATCAATACAATACACATAAACAGTGTTTAGAGATTTGAAAAATCTGGATATTATCATCAACTTGGCCACTAACTGTACAATATTTATTGCTAACACATCTACAGATTATATTAATAATACTTATCATAATCTCAACAATTATCTGTCCACTGCTGAACATAAAAATAAAAAAATAAGAAAATTAATACTTGTGATTCTTTATTAAATAAAAAATAAAAAATTATATAAAAAAGAAATTTCTAACAACAGACCAAAATATTATTTACACAGTGTCGTCATATGCCATTTTATCTCGGCATATTATTAACATTCATTTTTATTTTCAGGGTTTGTTACGCGTTCGGCGGTATAATTAAAGAACTAGTGACAGACATAACGCCAACTTTCTTAACACAACAAGTTATATCAACTTTACGTCAGGCCGATGACATCGCTATGCAGGTGAGTTGAATATATCTTATATTTGTGGCGAATCAAAAAAAGAATAAAAACATTAAACGAAAAATTTTAATACATATTGGTGTGTTCACCATTGAAATTGCAATTTTTTACGTATAAGTCTTATGTGCTGAATTCGGCTGTTTTATTATTTTTTACGAAAAACTAAAGCTAAACTAGTTCTAACTAGTTTTCACAAAATGCCCTCAAATTTATATAATTTACATAAATAGTCTATGAATCAGATAGTGGTTGATAATGATTTTTCGCTGATATTATTACAGAATAACTCGATATTAAAAGTATTAAAAAAGGTATAATGAGTTGCCACAATTAAGTAATGCAGCATCGGAATTATCTATCAATTTTCAACCGAGTTCAAAAGAAAAATTTTCTCAATGAAGAGGGATTTTCAGAATAATATATATATATATATATATATATATATATATATATATATTTGATGGGTGAAAATGGTATGGTAACCCCGCCTGCGCTAACGAGATACGCTGGCGGAGCACCAGTGAAGGGTGATAGATGAGAATGAAAACAGATCAGTTAGCCCATCATGATGAATTCATCAGGAATTAACCATGATAGTTTCCAGGGGGAACCGCAAGGAGGTCGACCTGGTATACCCAATATTGCTAGCAATGTGATTCTCAGTCTCCATTACTAACAATCCCTTTCCTCCCAATGAATATTATATTGTTGTGGCGCGGGGTGAACAGGTGCTGGTGTCGAGCGGCACGGTGTCGCGCGTGGCGCAGATGCCGGTGGTGCTGGCGCCGCTGCACTTCGACCGCGACGCGGCCGTGCGCGCGCCCTCGTGCCAGCGCTCGCTCGTGCTGCGCCCCTTCCTCACGGCCGACTTCATGACCGGCGTGCCCGCGCTGCCCGGCTCCGACGCCATGCCGCAGGACGTCAGTACCCGCTCGCCTTGTCTGCTACTACCTATCATCACAATATCACCTTATCTGTCTACTGCTAAACATAGGCCTCTATCATAGACTGCCATAAGGAACGGTCCAGAGCCACCTGCATCCACTAACTCCGTGCAATGCATTTGAGGTTTTTACTCCATCTAGTAGGGGTTATCCTACACTGTTTGCCTGTACAGGGTCTCCACTCAATCTTCAATCTTCTTTCTTTGAATTTAAAAGAATAAACACTCCAGACAAATTAATTTCAAGTGTATGTATGTATGTGCGTATATATATAAAGAGAAAGCAGCGTACAGTCTAGTACAGAAAAAGTACAAAAAAAAGGAACTTTTGCAGTGACTATTTTATAATGTACATAAATTGTCCACAGGTATTAGACAGGATGCGTAAGGAATTAATGAGCGTGCCAGGCATATCCCGCGTACTGTACGACCTGACTCCAAAACCTCCAGGCACCACCGAGTGGGAATGATCGCGCCAATCGCCTTCCTTTTATATATTTTTTTACTAAAAGAACGCACCCTTGGGGCAGTGACTCTAGTTTCTTAGTACTGCACCAAATGCCAGTTTTGATCTAAAAATTCAACAGAATATGAAACTCATATTTATATCAGTTGTTTTTAAGATGTTTTTGATAGAGTGAAAGTTAGCCAAGAACGATGAAATCTGTCTATAGTTACATGAACATATTATTGTTGATTTACCCAATGACGTCGTTGATTTAATTGCTTTTTATTGTTTGTTAGTTTATGAAAAAATCAGGCTTGTTACATATTTATATGCAATAATAAAGTGCCTAATTATCAAACACGTTGAAAGTGTGCAACTACTCTTTTTATTATAACTCTTTGTATAAATATCTATACAGGTCCAAATGACTTTCATTATACACGATTAATGAATTTTCTGTTACTTTATAATGGTTTTATTTTATATGTTTTATTAGTATGTAATCCTGTATAGATTTATATTACACATGATCCTAGTTGTTGATATCATAACGGTATTACAAGAATGTATAGAATAATTAAATAATTGTAGATTGAGAAATTTGACGACCTGACTGAATTTAGAACCTAATATGTCAGTGATCAAGGCTGACTGTCTCTCGGTTAGTCTGTAGAAGATATGATATCGGTTATCAAATTATTTAATAAAATAACCAACGCTGACGAGAGACTTATAGGTGGGGGACAATATTCTCTAATATCATTATGATGTACTTGCCACGCACCCATGTTATATAATTAACGCAGATGTACATTATATTTTGACTGACAAAAGGTACCCCGAATGTTGTTCCTCGTAATATCTATCTCAGAACATGTTCTTGTATCTTTAATATGTATATGTTGCAACAACTAGAGCACTGCCCAGTATTTGAAGTTATGTAAATACATTGGTGTAACACAAGATACATTCGCGTAACATGTTATTGTTAGCTCCACTGATCAGTCACATTTGTAACGTGTAGTAATTTATTGTCCAAGGCTGTGTAAAAATTTATATAAAGCCTGCAATTTAGTCCGCTGACAAGGTTAATGTAACAAATCTTGTATTAAATCGAAGACACATTGTGTTTATGGAATGGTTCAGTGTTCTTGACTGGAAGTTTCATAATAAAAATTATATTATGCTTTATTTTTATAATGTATTTTATTTCGATATACCCCTTCATGCATCTCTATTAATATTACTAATAACGCAATCAATTTTTTTTTAAAGGATGATGATGGAATTGTAGCCCCCCGTCTGCACTATCGGTATGCACTGACGGATCACCAGTGAAAGCCATTGGTGAGAATATAAGCAGATCATTTTTTTTATGGGTGAAAATGTTATGGCAACCCCGCCCGCGCTAACGGTATACGCTTGCGCAACACCAGTGAAGGGTGATAGATGAGAATGAAAACAGGCCAGTTAGCCCATCATGATGAATTCATCAGGAATTAACCATGATAGTTTCCAGGGAGAACCGCGAGGAGGTCGACCTGGTTGGGTATATTGCTAGCAAAGGAATTCTCAGTCTCCATTACTAACAATCCCTTTCCCCCCAAGCAGATCAGTTAGCCCATCATTACGAATTTAAAAATTTACTATGGTGGTTTCTAGGGAGAACAGCGTGGAATGATGCTATTAAACTCCTTTTATAACAATCCCTAATCTCTACACAGTATTATTAAGGCAGTGTTGCGCGGAAGTGATTTATTTTAACCCTTAATCAGGCATAGTATGATTTTTTTATTGTTAGGGAGGCAAATGAGCAGACAGTCCACTTGATAAAAAGTAGCTACCATTTCGCATGAACACCTGCAATACAAGATGAAATGATTGTGCGTTGATGGCCTTTCCCACTAATATAACACATAATTATTAAAACAAATATATATTCTTAATAATTTATTAATACATAGTCGAAAATAAAAACATAATATTACAACATTCATCAATAGATAAAAATGTCATTCATCTGGTACAAGTAAATTTATATTTTTGCCTGTTACTTGGCCACCTATAAATGTTTCCTCTTCACCTCTTATTGATAGACCCTCTAACGTAGTCAGCTTTTTCTCTCTTAACATAGGCGCTTTCACCCATCGAGAACTGCTACAGTTACTACACGAGTGTAAAGGTATAAGTTCCAAAGATACAGTTCTATTACTACAATCTGCACATTTGAAAAATCTTTTAAATGTATCCAATACTTTGAGAGGGTGCCTCTCATCTTTGCAAAGTTGCGCTGCAGAAAACGCAGTATACTTGCATTTGACACACCTGACTGCTTTGCATGCAAGCTTGAATGTATTCAACATTTTTTCTTCCATAGCTTCTTTCTTCTCGAGTTTATTGAAGTACATCTCTTGTTCATTATCCTCATGCTGTTTAATCAAATTTTGATGTGCCGATGTTGCTTCTAGTATCTTTTTGAATCTTTCTGACATAACACCCTTTGTTATCTTATTATCTTCTCCATTAGGCTTAAATTTTTTACTTTTATTCTCCTCATTACCAGAATCATTCAACTTATCTATAGCCCGCTTCTTACCAGCTTCTGTACCTTTTATATTGTTAGGGTCTGATTTTTTTATACCACCACTTTGCTGAATCAACTTTATAGCATTCTCTTTCCTCTTTTCAGCTGCTTTTTGCCCATAAGATACATTTAAATCAATCACACCACTGCCTTTTAATCCAAATCCTTTACCCAACATTGGGGAATTAGCAACTTTTTCAGCTAAACTTTGTGACACAAGCCTTGAAGTTTGTGGACTAGATGTTGGACTTGATAATTTGCTTAATCTTTCTGAATCAGTAACCCTTTGAACTGTAGGGCTATGTAAAATGTCAGTTTTGCTTTTAAATGGACCTGACCCATATGGGACTTTGTTTATCATCATATTGTCTCTATCTAACTTATGATAATCACTTAAACTCATTAGTCTATTTTGATCTCTCTCTTTGACTTTCTTACTATTGCCACTTGGCAAAGCAGAATAGGCCCTACCACCATATATGACAGTACTTTTACCTAAAACTTTGTTCTGTAAATTAACAAGACCTTTCCCCATAGTTGAGGACTGCAGTTCTTGACGTCTCGAATACTTTTGATACTCCTGCTTCACATGATAAATACAATGTTCACATTGGCTCAAATTAACAAATGCTGTACATGGCTCCCCATTTTTCTTTTTGCTCTTACAAGTCCCGAAGTCTTTTGATTGCCCTAGAATCATAACTCTGTCTGGACTCTCTACACTGAGACATGCCTGGTCTTGACTATTTTGAGATTTATCTAAGACATTTGGATTTAACACAGCTACCACAGTACCGTCACTTGTTTTCCACAAATCATTGTAAGCTTTTCTAAATAAAAACATAGAAACAGTCTTCATATTATCCTTGAGATCACTCAATGTCCAAATAATGAATTGGTTACCTTTTTGTGACTTTTTAGCTGCACTTTTCCTCACTATAACACCAGCAATCACCCAGTCTTTGGACAAATCCTCATTCTCCACATGCCTCTTCACTCTTAACATACTTACAGCTTCTCTTCCCTGCATGCGATCTAAAAGTGCTAAACTGGAAATTTGTGGTTTTATTATTCTGATTCCAAATACTGGATCAGTATACACATCTCCTTGTTGTTTCGGTTTCACTTCTGGAGCACAGAATTGGTTTTTTGTATTTTGTTCTAGAATGGGTTCCACATTCTTTTTGAAAGAACTATTACGGACAGCTTTCGTGTCTTCATTAGTTTTTCGTAATCTAATTTCAAAATCTAATCGTTTATCATGCTGCTCATGTTCGCTGTTGTCCAATATCTTTTTCACTTCGGTACCATAATCGTTATATTTTCTTTCGGTATAATTTCTTCTCTCTTCGTCATCTGAGGAATCTGTATCTCCATTGTGTACTGCAGACGACGAAGTTTTGGTACATATATTATTATCTTCCGAAATATCATTGTTTGTTTGAAAAATATCAATTTCACGTGCATTTTTATTTACATGCTTTTCACTATCTTCAGCCAAGTCTGCACATAACAATTCTTCTAATTGCGATAGTTCGTCTTTTTCTTCCACCATTTTTTTCTTTGCTTCTATTGATTCGTTACTAAAATGAATTCTATAAAGTTTATAACACAAAGTTAAAGGAAAAAAGCGCCAAAATATATATTATGATAAAATATTGATGTCGTTATAATTTTTTTTTTTTTTTTTTAGTACGTTTGTTCCGTTTGGAACAGGCTAAGGTCGGAGACCATGCTGCCTGTCTTCAAAAAGATAATTTGTCTGGAATTTTATTTTTCTAATGTCGCTTCAATTATTGTCATAATCTTCAATATTTCATTTGTCAAATCCGGTAAGTACATTTTCATAAATATCTTTTCTTGAGTTTTCTTAAACCAGTGGATTTATCAAATTAAAAATAAATAATTATAAAAAATCATTGTCTTGCAATTCAATAAAAGTATTCTTATAGCTCCTTGAATGTTGTAGTAATATAAGTGAAAATAGCTTTGAAACAAGAAGGAAATCTTAAGAGAAGCGGGATTGAGTGCGGGATATTTTCGGGTTTTTTGAAGATAATCCTGAGTTCGTCAAACATAATGTGTCTTTGAATGACAAATTCAGAGCAATCAAAAAAAAGGTGATGTAGAGATTGGGCTGTATTTGAGTTACACCATGTGCATGATGGGGAAGCGATCATGCCCATTCGGTGCAGGTGTTCGTTGAAATGTCCGTGGCCGATTCGTAATCTACAAATATTGGTGTAAAATTTTCTGTTTGTGTCCTTTCCTTTGCAGAACCACGGTTTTCCAATACGCCAATTAATTTTGCGGTACCATTTGCCTTTAGTCTGTAATATTTGAGTCCAATGCTCCTCCCATTTAGTTGTAACGATTTTATGTATTCCAATACTACAATCTGAGTAACAAAGGGGTAAATCTTGAACACGAGCAGCACTTGAATTAATAATTTTAGCCAAAGTGTCTACTTGTTCATTCCCAAACACTCCAATATGTGAAGGGGTCCAGATGAAGATAATATCTTTTCCATATATAGTACAGAGATGATAATATTTATTACGAATTTCTTGAATTAAGTAGTTTGATGATGAAATGAATGTGTTATTTTTTAATGCCATAAGAACACTCATACTATCTGTAATTATAATCCATTTCGAATATAGTACCTGTTTTTCTATGTATTCTAATGCTAAAAATATAGCTTTTGCTTCTGCTGTGTAAATACTAGCCAAAGTTGAAATTTTATAACCGTGACCAAATCTATTTGACAAATCGTAAAAAGCCACTGAAGTGCTAAGTGCATTTTTGGAACCATCTATATATATCTGCCTGTAGTCAATAAATTCTGATAAAGTCTCATACATATCGTGCTTTTCTTTTATGTCTTTACGTATAACAATTTTGATCTTACAGAACTTACTCTCATAAAGGCCATTATAACAAGGAAGTATCTTACTACTATAGATGTTATATTCATCTCGTAAATTCAAATCATTGACAATAGTTTTATTCAAAAACATAGAAATGGGGCAATTTAATAATTTGAGTATGAGTGGGTTATTGGAAACTGAAAAAACTTTGAAGAGAAATTTGAGTTTTAGGTATTCGAAACGAAGAAGGATAGGAGGCAAATTACATTCTACTTGCATTGAGATAATTGGAGAAGTATACATAGCACCTAAAATAAGTCTTAAATTCATATTTTGAATTTTTTCGAGTTTTTCTACTAATTTATGTTCTGAGGCATAACAAAAGAAAGCGTAATCAAAATTACTTCTAACAAGAGATTTGTAAAGTAAAAGGATAATTTTAGGATCAGCTCCCCAGTTACGACCAATTACAGATCTTATTATATTAGTGGCTCTTAAAGCACGATCTACTAAGCAATCAACGTATAGATCCCATTTTAAATTTTGATGAAAAATTACCCCAGAAATTTAACGCTACAGTCTGTTGGAAGAGTTTGATTATTATATATAATATTCATTAATGGAACATATTTATGAACTTGATGAAAAACAACTACTTTACTTTTGGTTAAACTAATATCGAGGGAAAGAAGAGAAAAATATTTCTCAAGTCTTTTTAATGACTCATTTAACACTAATTGCATATCAATAATATTCTTTCCTTTTATATAAATTAATAAATCATCGGCAAATTGCAAGTTGTTCACACTGTTTCCTAAAATTGAATTAAGTTTATAGATATATAAAATATATAGTAGCGGGCTTAGAATACCACCTTGACATACTCCTTTAGAGCTTAACCTAGGTCCTATTAATTTACTATTTACTTTAACATACACTTCTCTATTACTAAGAAAATTATAAATCCATTCGATAAGTTTCATTGGAAGAAATGAGGATAAAATCGAAGATAGAACTGTTAAATTTACATTGTTAAAAGCTCCTACGACATCTAAAAAAACAGATAGAACATATTCATCGTTATTCAAAGCAGTACTAAGGTCGACATAGAAGTTCTCTAAACTTTCGCGCGCTGAATATCCACGGCGAAAACCAAATTGATTCGATGGTAATATACTATTACTTTCAATAAAGAACTCTAAACGCTGTTTAATTAATTGTTCGAATAATTTGCCTGCACAGGACGTCAATGTTATAGGTCTATAGGAGTCGAAATTTGTAGGATCTTTACCGGGTTTAATTACTGGAATCAAACAATCCATTTTCCATTCTGGTGGGATAATACAGTCCTTCCATAAATCGTTAAAAATATGTAAGAGTTTAGTAAGGTTTATTTTATTCAGCAATCGAAACATATTGTATGTTAAGCGATCAAGGCCACTAGCTGTATCTTTTCTAGATTTTACTGCACTGGATATTTCATCAATTGAGAATGGGTCAGTGAGAAATTTTGGGCATGAATTAACAGAATTAAACTGTTTGTCATCAAAAGGTGAGTGTACAAAATCAGGAGTATATTTGCGTAAAAAATCATTGACCCATGATATATCTTTAAAATGATTTTGACGATGTTTTGAATTTAGTTTTCTCATATTTTGCCAAACAGTGGAAATTGGTGTTAATCTATTAAATTTGGAACAAAATTCCTGCCACCCCTGTTGTCTTACTTGCTTAATTACTAACTTTTTAACAGCTTGAACTCTTTTAAAATTTATGTAATTATCGAGAGTTGGATTTTGTTTAAACCTAAGGTAAGCCGCTTTACTATCATTGACAGCTGTCGCACACCTGTTATTCCACCAAGGTACTGCAATATGTTTGTGCCTCTTTGAAGTATTTGCACCGCTATTTGATAAGTTCCTACGTGGAACGGAACGTTCCACAGCTGTCAAAATAATTTTACAGAACCTATTGTAATTGTTTAAGGGTTCATTGACATCATACTCGAAATCCAAAAGTAATCGATTAACAGTTTCAGAATAAAGATCCCAATTAACGAGACGTAGGTTTATACGATTTAACAAAAGTTTATTAACTTCATCTATAGGAGCATGTTGTTCACCTGACGGAGTTGATGAAGAGTTCTTTGTGTTTATTTTAGTAAAAGTCGGCAGGTGATAACTTCCTAACGGATCATCATGAACCGACCACTCGCATTTTAATGATATGGATGGGGATACCATAGTTAAATCAAGGCCATTGGGTCTCCAAATATGAGAGCCAACAGTAGTAACTTGCTTATCATTTAATAGTACCAAATTACATTCATCTAAACAATCAAGAATGTCTTTACCTCTTGTATTAGTGGAGGTACAACCCCACATAGTATGATGTGCATTTAAATCTCCAGATATGATAGTGGGTTTAGGAAGAGACTCCAAAAAGAACTTAAATTTGGCTTTAGTAAAACTAGGTGTACTATTGGTAGGACAGTAAATACTGGCAACTGAATACCAAGAATTATTAACTTCAATACTAATAGCTATAGTTTGCAAAGAATTGTCGAAAAAAGAGTGAAGTTTTTTATATCTAATACTATTATGTATAATAATCGCTACTCCATTGTGGTTATTACCACAATCATTTCGTTCTATACAATAATCTTTAATTTTTAATTTGTAATGTGGTTTTAGCCAAGTTTCTGAGATGAGAGCAATGTGAATATGATGTTCATTTAAAAATTGTGTAAAAATATGTCGATTGCTCAGTAGGCTCTGAGCGTTCCACTGTATGATAGTTAATTGGTCTCGATTGAATTTTGTGAAATAGGTCTATTACCAAAAGTATCATATAACACATTCAAAACACTTTTAGTGTTAATAGATGTGTTCTTTGTGTTATGTAGTGAAATAAGTTTGATTATGCTTTCTATTAAAAGTGATAAACTCTTGTTATCAGAATTTAGAATTGAAATTAGGTCTACATTTTTTTTAGGTTTGTTACCCAGTTTAGGAAATATTTCAGTGCTAAGTATATCTCCAAAAGAAGCAGGTCTGAATTTAGATCTATTTTCAGCAATTTTCTTTTGTTTAACAGGGCATTGCGGTGATACACTTGTGTGATTTCCATTGCAGTGTACACAAATAGCGTTTTCCATTCCAGTTGTACAAGTTTTATAATTATGCTCACCTTTGCAGATGCTGCAACGCTCAGAATTCTTACAGAATTTAGCTAAATGTCCATACCTCAAGCACCGGTAGCATTGTTTAACTGGTGGTATATATGGAGAGACATTGTGGCGCCAACCTCCAATATCCAGATATTCAGGTAATACAGATGCAGCAAAAGTAATTGTCACGGTTAGAGTTGGCTGTAACACATATCCATGAGTCAAGGTATTTTTTTAAAATTCTTTTAATAGCAATAATTTTCTTAGAACTCGATATCATAGTATATATTTTTTTATTAGATATATTTGTAGGTACATTTCTAATAACGCCTGTAACTTCTGTTGAAGAAGCAGGAATACTGGCCTTAAAATGGTAGTCATTTAAAAAAGTTTTATTATTTAAAAAAGCATTGGCTAAGTCTGGCTTTTGAAAGTATACTCCGATTTTGAATTTATTTATAGATCTAAGATAAGTTACCCCTTTATTAAATCGTTTTAAACAGGAGGAGAGTGAGAGCAAGTCTCTGGATCCAATGGTTTTCTGACTATCTGAGGATTCTACAAAGACAACAAATTCTGTCCCAGGGGATTCCTCGGGATATCTTCTAATATAATCTGTGACGTAGTAAGGTTTATACTTATCGGCCTTATCAATTTCAGATTCTGAGTCAGTAGAAGTATCTTCCGAATATATATCCTTGTCATTACAAGGTTCATGGTCTACATCACCTGAATCGTCATCTTTTTTTTTTCCTTTTTCTACAACTGCGCTTCCCCATGAATGCTAATTATATTACTGTCGCTGAATTTAGTGAAAATATAATATTTTATTCAATAATAAGAATTGATAGAGATAGTTTTAATAAATTAATAAAAAAAATTTAAAAAACCCGCTTGTTCTTATTCGAGTTTCCCGCCTTTTTTTTCGTCATTGATATCGTTATAATTAAAAACTCACAGCTGACACTGACTGACTGACGTTGACAGCTATTACCAATGACAACAAATTTTTTTTTAGTACGTTTGTTCCGTTGTGGAACATGCTAAGGTCGGAGACTATGCTGCCTCCAATAATAACTAAGAAATCCGAAATCTTTAAATGATAACATTACCGAAGATAAAAAATTGTATTACTCGTTTACTTTCTTTTAACCACAAATTTTCTTCCTATGTATACATAATAATCACAGACATAATTATGAAGTAGCAAAGCATAAGTTAAAAGTACAAAGAAAATTTTATAATTTTCATCACTAAAAGTATAGAAACACGAACATAGAAATTGTAAAGTGCATTTTGTTTGTTGTGATAATGTAATTTAAAACATCTTATTTTAATGCCAATCTATCATAAATTACAAAAATATGAAAAAAGTACCTACACGTTGCTAAAGTGTACATTTGCAAATAATCTTTTATTTGCAAACGTATTTATATCTTCGATATTTTATAGTATTTGACGATGATAATTTAAAAAAAAATAATCGTTCTAAATTTGCATAGAACAAATATTATGTAGCAAGATTAATGTTTTAGTTTGTAAGCGGAGTATTTTTTATTTGCGACGTTGTCACATTTCGTCAAGCTAAAAATATGAACGCTCTTAAAAAATGTACTTATTAATGTAATCAGATACCTTAAGTCCCTGCATTTATAGTAAGTAGTATGTATGTGTAAATAAATGAGTGAATTTTTGCGTGCCTTTTAGTCCCTTCTGTTTAGTCTGTTTCATTATAATGTCTGTGTACATAATCTATATTATTTACTTACTTACTCTATACCTGTTTGTTTGACATTGACAATTTTGAAACACTTTTCTATTTCCCTACACAGTTCAATGATTCTTCCTTCATTTTTAATTATTGACTAAATAAAACATTTCCTAATACTTTCTAAAACTGTTACTAGTAAAATAATATCTGTAATTATAATAAATTCAACATAAAATAACGAAAAATTAAAGTAGCATGGCTGGTACGATTTTTATTCCCATTTGAATACTGTATCAAAAAGTTCAATTTTCTTCCGTTTTTTATTATCCTTATGCTTTCAGACAATCAAGATACGCCTATGACTAATAATGAGTCAGATGAAGTACCTAAGCGTGCTTCTGTTACTCTGAATGAAGATCATAAAAGAGAACAGAGTGGTACTCCGCCACCGCCTGTTACACCTCCGCCGGGCCAAGAAGACACACAAGAACTAATAGTTGTTAATGAGAACACAGAAGAACTTGATTTGAATCACGGCAGAATCGGAAAAATTGAAAATCTAGAGCCTTTGAAGAGACTAGAAAGGTATTTAAATACTGTATTCTATTCATGTTAGGCAGAAAAATAATATTAAATTAGTTTTTTTTTTTTTTTATTATAGATACATTTTTATTTTTTCATAAAATTTAGTAGAGATATTTTAATTTCTTTTTACAAAATTAAAACACTTAAAGCAATGTGTTACAACATAACACATTATAAATTATATAATTATTTTATTTTGTGACATATTGTATAGAAATTGTTTACATGGGTACTTGTTTCTTGTTTCTACCACCTAGTTCGCATTGTATTTGTCTGAAAAGTGAGATATAGATTACAATGAAATTACAGCATATGAAGTTGTAATCTTACCATGCCTTGTCATCAGTGATGGCAATTCATGAGTTGTACAACGGTATATACTATGATAGTTTATGAAGCTATTATTAACTCATTAAATGAGGTATCAATATGTTTACCATATAACTTGCATAAAAAATATATTTGTTTTTAATACTTAATTGAAATATAATTATTAAATGCATATCTATTGAGAAAATGCGACTTTTTTATGTTTTAAATTTTTAGATTGTACCTGAGATGGAACTTAATAAAGAAAATAGAGGGTTTGGATACACTGAGCACATTGGTTGAACTGGAGCTGTATGATAACCAGATTGTTGTTATAGAGAATTTAAATAATCTTGTTAATCTTGAGTAAGTTTCTAATTTTTGTAATATTTTTTTTTATCACTGTGTGTGCCCCGGCAGAATGAACCACATCCTTTCCCACAGGTGTCATAAGTGGTAACTAAGAGAGGGTAAGAGATGGGCAGCAGAATCCCTCTTAAAACATTTCTAAAACCCTTACTACGATTGTCAACCTGCCTACCAAGCATGGCAACTACTGGCAAAATTCTCCTTATGAGCTTATGTCCAACAGTGGACTCTAATCATGTTGCCCTATACTTCATAATAAAGACATATGTTAAGCAGTAGACAATACTTGGCTGAAATAATCATTGTAATAATGTTATTATATAAAGAAAGAATACCTTCAGGTATCACCCATGTCTCCTGCTTCCCAAAAGGTGCTACTAAACTAAACTAAATTTGGAAAAACAAATCTAAGTACTCAATTAATTTTATATTATTTTTCAGAATTTTAGATTTATCCTTTAACAGGATCAAAGAGATAACAGGTCTGGAAAAGCTACAGAATCTAAGAAGACTGTTCCTAAGTTCTAATAAAATTACAGAAATCAAGAATGTTAATCATTTGCCCAAACTAGAAGTACTCGAGTTAGGAGACAATCGTATAAGAGTAAGTAATGTTTTAATTTGTATAATACATGTATATATAGGCCTTGTTTTTATTTCTTTGCACAATATATTATATTGTATGTACATATGTATGTATGTATATGTTATATGTACAATAACCCAAATGAGATGATTTGTGTGGAAAAAAAAAAGAATCCAATTTATGTTAAGTCCTGTTCCAATTTTAGTGTATGTACTGCGGAAGCAAGTACTAGTCCTCAATTCATATTATTGATGAGATGATTCAATAGCAACATGTCCTATGTTGCTATTGAATTATATTTATAGATTACAATTGACAATAAATAACAACAAAAATATATAATCTTATGTAATAAATAACAATTAAAAAACATAAATCTAAAGATGAGGTATTAAACTTGTTATGTTTAAGTGTTACATTAGCAGTTAATACTTATGCAAACTGTTATTGTATTGCTCATACTAATATAAATGTTATTCTATAATATCTATGCTCACAAAAAAGTATAAGAAAAAATAAAATTTAGTGCAGTTAATTATTACGATTTTCAATCAGGTTAGCTGTCAACTTTTTTGCTATTTGAATATAAAAAAACACCACATATATGTCATCTTTCCACAGGAAATAAAGAATTTGGAAGGCTTGAAGACACTTAAGCAGCTGTATCTAGGGAAAAATAAAATCACAAAGATACAAAATTTGGAGGATCTGTCAAATCTAGAAATCCTTGTACTACAGTGTAATAGATTAACCAAGATTGAAAACCTTGAACAACTTGTCAACTTGGAACAGCTTTACATATCAGAGAATGGACTAACTGCTATTGAGAACATGGACAACCAGGTCAAACTTCAGACTTTGGACTTGGCCATGAACAGGATCACGGTGATTGAAAATGTTAGACACATGAGTGATTTAGAGGAGTTATGGGTATGTAATCATTATATATTTACTTATATGTTTTTTTGCAGAGAAAGTATAATACCTATTTGTTTTTAAACTTTATGCTTTTAATTTAAAGTTGCAAGTTCTGGGACATATGCAAAACTGTGTAAAGCTTTCCACAAACACACACACACTCTTATATCTATTTTAATAATTCTTGTTTAGTGAAATTCTAGAGTATTATTTTTTCCTTTGGCATATACAGTAAATAAATGAATTAATGAACACTTTATTGTTCCCTTCAAAGAATGATACAGATTATAAAAATTATGTACACAAACAAAATTAATAATTAATTAAATTAACTTAATTATATAAAAGCAAAGCAGTGTAAAAAAGTAATAATGGATTGCTTTATCAAATAGTAAAACAATATAATATTTCATTTGAAAATTTAAAAAAATAAGAAATTTATGTTCTAACACCGCATAAACAAGCTAGAAAATAGCTTTTCTGTTTCATCCTTAATACTATATATATATTCCAAGCTTGAAAAAAGTAGAAGGTTCACAATTCGGTTGTATTTTTTTTATGTTTATTACTTCATATCTCCATCAGTTATAAATCAATTTGAAAATTTAATTTCTTTGTATCTGAAAGATTTACATATTAATCTCATAGAAATTTTATCAAAATCGATTCAGTAGTTTAGTTTTGAAATCTTTTGATTTCAAAGTAAGTTTGAAAAATAAGTGGTTTTGCATTTATAGTATTAGTTCAAATATTGTATTTAATTGTTATTCATGCTATGTCCCGATAGTGTGTTTCAATATGTGTAATCAATGTGAAAGTTTAAAATTAACTATGTATTTAAACACCTGTTTCTTTATAGCTAAATGACAACCAAGTATCAGAGTGGTCCTCAGTGGAATATCTGGTGCAGAACAAAAAGCTGGCCACCATATACTTGGAGAGGAATCCACTGGCGTCCGACCCGGCATACAGGCGGAAACTAAAATTGACGCTTCCATCACTGCAGCAGATTGACGCCACTTTGTGTAGATAAGAAATCATTTGTACATTATCAGATATAGTAGAATCTCAGACCAACAAAAAAGGGTATACAGATCTCTACACACGATAATAGTCTTCTCTTCAACATACCTGTTCCTGTTCCGCATTGATTTCCCTGCTTTTTAATTAAACTTGAAAATGGCTAATGGCAACCCTAAAAAGCTGAAATCAAAAGAAAAATAAAACAGTGAAGGAGGCAAACAAACCACATTTGTTTATATACACATTCACACCAAAACTGTGTTCTTTGCTTGTCAAAATATTTTTTTAATGCTAATATACTGTGAAAAAGAAGTTAAAATTAAATAATTAAATACAGAAACATTATTAATATATTCATAATTATATTTAATATAATTTTTTCATTTTCATAATTCGTTATGTAATCAAGTTTGTCAAAATAAAAAAAAAATATATTACTCTGTTGTACTTCTCTAGACAGTGCTAAATGTTATGTTGACATGTTCAATCAATTGACCACAGGTTCGGTTCAGATTGTATGACCGTTTATTTACCTCACTTATCTAGATATTAAAATGTGGCAACACTAACTCACATAACCCCAAAAGAATTTGAATAAAATTAATTACTTATTAAATCTACTTTTTTTTGTTGATCTGAGCGTAGAGTAAATATTACATGTCATTGGATGGATCAATTTGTTGTATAGACTGGTGTAATATAACGTTGTTAAGTATTATTACTATTTATTTACTGACTTCTTTCCTCTTAGAGTTGGCTGTGCTGACTATACGATGCAGCTTATAAATTATTTGATGTAGTAAAAGAAAAAATATTAAATAGCCATAGTATATAGTACGTAATTTAAACATACTTTGTCATTAGAAATTGCAGATACAGGTTATTGTAAAAAACAATATAATAACACGCATTTAATAGTCGATGGTTTATTCAATGATTCAAGAAGACAGAATTGCATTAGATAACGCACGTGAGTCCATACAAGTCCGTGGTTAAAATGAGGAATTGAAACCACTACGAACAAAAAATCCTTTGTCTACACAAGCGCTTATCGTTTAGTAGGCTTTGATATAGGTTTAGTCTTTGTGACACATCTTGGCCATTGAGAATAATGCATCATGTATGTATCTGAAGTCAAAATGCCATAGATTAATTATATTTATTTACTTTTTAACTTTTCCCAAAGAGGGTTGACGTCAGGCAGGCATATTACGCCGACCCCAAATAATAATTTGGATAGGGTTAGGAAGATGATGATTTACTTTTTAACTTGTAAACTGTACTTTGTAATTCTGTATTCTTTTTTCGAAATAAAATAGTTTTTTTTTTTTCTTTCTATTTAGATATGAGTATTTTACGTAGTGTTATCTGTTGTGTGGAGTCTGAAGTCTGTGCGCGTGCATCCGGCCATCCATTATCTGTTAATGTTAATAATAAGAAATTTATTCACTAACAATAATTGAGAATAGATTATAATAATGGGAAGTAATAAGATGTATTGGAAAAGATATAACAATCTGAAAAAATGTTATATTTTGGGTCCAGCCATTGTACACTATTTCAAAATATTGGGTAAAGTTCGAGGCTTATCGCTAAAATGGAATAGTATTTATTTACTAAATAGTTTAATAGCATAAAAATATTTTCAGTTATTTAATAGTAATCTTATATACCATACATCTCTCAGACATCCATTTGAATATTTGTAAAAGCAAAAAAATGGATGGATGTTCTCAAGGGATATATTTCCGATTGTTATATCCTCTTTTACACCTTATACAGGGTGAAGTCGAAATCAATAACATCTTTTTAAGAATGTATCCTACTTACCAAATATCGTTTCCCTAACTAATTGAAAAAAATAAAAAGTTAGTGTGAAATACTTAAAATTTTTCAATCCATATTACATTGGGAAAAGTGTTCAGTTTCGCTGGTGCAATACTCTTAAAAATGCAATTGATTACGACATAATCTTGTATACATAAAATAATATTTAAGTGCCTATATTCAATTTGTCCATAGAGTATCGTGTATATGGGATGTACTAACATAGATTTTGTACAATTCGTAGTTGGTATTGTATCTGTTGTGTAGTTTGGACTATGGCGATTAACACACGGAGCGGTGTATCCGCAATAACATGGCGGTTTACATACGCCCACGATCCACATCTGAGCGCTAATGAGCCAAAATTTCTACTACTCTCGTGTATATACAAAGTAATAATAATAATAATAAAAAAAAAGATTTACCATCCTCGAACAAAAGTTAGTTTCTCAACATAGAGTGAAGTTGTAAGTTTATAAAAATCAATTCCTGTATTTGAGATAGGTAATGCATGCGTAGAATTAGAGTCCATTATTATGATATATTACATATAAAATAAATATGCATTTATGTATTTAAAGAATGTACAACGGTGAAGAGTATAACAGTATTAAATATAGTAATACAGTACAGTCAATTACATATTTTTACGCTTAAGATATATAACATAATGACTACGTGGTAAGTACAATAAAACTAAATACAAGTAGGTACAATGATCTTCAGTTACATACAACAATAACATTTATCATGCACCGAAGCATCGGTCATTGAAGAATTAATTGCTCGGTAGTCGCTTGGTAACAGTCTTTTATGAGGTATATTTACCGAAAATATGAAACTTTTTAGTTATAGACGTTATAAAAAGAAGTTTTTGAAGAACAAAAAAAAAAAAGAATCGGTACTTAGTTTAATTGTACATCATTATATTTTTATGTATCGAGGATTTGGCGTATTTCAGGATTTTCTTGTAGACCTTTAATAACGGCTTCGAAACGGCGCCCCCCCAATCCTCATACGCATATCGTACCGCTCCGTGTGTTAATCGCCTGCTTAATGTTGTATTCGACGTATATGTGTAAACAGTATTTTGTGTTTCTCGCAAAACAACTACATGTAAAACTATGAAATATAATTGTCTCTTATGTTGTAAAATTACTTTTATTTGAAAACAAAACATTAGTCATACACTTTCTGGGGGCAAAAAGCCCGCTGTATACGATTTTTTGTTATGGGTGAAAATGGAATGGTAACCCCGCCTGCGCTAACGGGATACGCTGGCGGAGCACCAGTGAAGGGTGATAGATGAGAATGAAAACAGGCCAGTTACCCCATCATGATGAATTTATCAGGAATTAACCATGATAGTTTCCAGGGGGAACCGCGAGTAGGTCGACCTGGTTGGGTATATTGCTAGCAATGGGATTCTCAGTCTCCATTACTAACAATCCCTTTCCCCCCCAGCTGTATACGATTAGAAGAGAATTCGTTTTGTATAACCCGCCGATGTGAACGTGCTAGCACAATCATAATAACGCCCTGAGCGTGAGAGGTCTGTTGAACTCGGCGGGTTACGTAAAGTTAATTCTATAATGACTCGTATAAGATGGCCGTTTTACTCTCAGATCTATACAGTATTAATTGGATATAGTATGAAATCATACTAGTATTCATAAAACAACAACTTATCCCAAGGAACATTTTTTTTATACAACTTAGAATGGCAAACAAGCTGACGGCCCACCTGATGGATAGTGGTAACCGTCGCCTATAGACATGAGCAGTACCATGGACATAACAGAGTATACTGTTTCGCCCATGATACTCCCCATGCGTTGCCATTCCTGAGGACTCAGGTGTTATTCCTCTGTACCCAGTAAATTCACGCCATATCCCACCCTTCAACCATTAAAACATCATATGAACATCGAAATATGAAAATATTTTTGTACCCTTTCATACAAGTTTCGCGGTTGACTGATCTGATATTTAGACAAACGCATAATGAGGCTTCAGAGTAGCTCCGTCTTTTTACTTTCATCCCTGTTTTTTCTTGTCTAGTTTTGCCTAGAAAAAGTTTCTTTAGTTCGTAGTTGAAAAAGACGCACGTGAATCAGGATTGAAAAGTTGCTGTTTTTGCTTCTAGAGCTGCAGGCAGCCCTAGAATGTAATAACCGCTTATATGTATCTAAGCTGCTCGAATACTTTATTGTATAAATAGAAGGAAAAATACATATTTATAATTTTAAAGCCATGTTCTAATTACGTGATTAAAAAATAGGCTGAGTTTAAATCTGCATTTTGCCATATCGTGACATGACATGACAGACAGGCTCGAGCGATAGCTCAATTAAACATAATAGCAGTGCCCCACCTCCTCCAATTTTTTTTTTAACTGGAATTTACAATGCCCACTTCTACTCCCACGTATTTCAGGCATTCTATATTAGGCTACGGTAACCGCTTACCACCATTTGCAGGTGGTAGAGCCACGCTGTAATACCATATGGTATTGCAGCATGAATGGGCCGGCTCGACCGGGGAAGTACCACACCCTCACAGAATACCGACGCTAAGTGGCCGCACTTTTAGTGCGACCACATTCCGTATGGTGAGTGAGGGAGTCCGGAGGCCCATCCTATACCCATCCCCTTCCTTATCCTAAAATCCTCCCCCAACTCCGTCCCCCCATCTTTCAATACCATGGCAGTGGAATTTAAAAAAAATAACGTACCCCAGGGAGGTACCAGCAGCCATGTTGCTGGAGAATCCTCCCTCGAGCAACCACGCTCGGGCTGCCCTGCGTATTCTGGGGGGAGCAAAATTCCGCTCTATGGGACCAAGGGCAAACAGAGCAAGACTTCTGCGGCATCCCCTTTGCTCAATGTGAGCCTCTGTAATATTAGGGAATTCATTCAAACCTGAACGCTGTCCACCACCACCTAGAAACGGCGCGGCCGGCATTGCTCTTCCTCACGGAGACACAGATATCCCCTCCTAACGAAACATCATACCTGACCTACCCGGGGTATAAGCTTGAACATTGTTTTGTTTCGCGTGCCGGTGTATGTGCGTATGTCAGAGAGGATATCTGCTGTCGACGCCTTGGGACTCTTGAAGGTACGGACCTGTCCATTCTATGGCTGCGCGTAGATTGCAATGACCATCCCCGCATCTATGCGTGCCTATACAGGTCCCACAGCGGTAACACTGAAACCGACCAACTAATTGAGCACGTCCAAATGGCTACAGATTCCCTGCTTGAGCAGATTCCTTCCGCTGAAGTCGTGATTGTTGGCGACTTTAATGCCCACCATGCCGAATGGCTTGGTTCGCGTACAACCGACTATGCGGGAAGATCTGTTCATGACTTTGCTTTAGCTTATGGTCTGACACAGCTTGTTTCCTCGCCTACGCGAATCCCTGATGTGTTGGACCATTCACCTTCACTGCTGGACCTTCTGCTGACCACCCACCCAGACAACTATGTGATCTCCGTCGAAGCCCCGCTTGGATCGTTGGATCACTGTTTGGTGCGGAGCGAAGTGCCTCTTACGAGTCCGACTCCACCTCGTTCTACGGGTAGACGTCGCATTTGGCACTACAGGTCGGCAGATTGGGATGAGATGCGGATTTTTTTCGCATCTTACCCATGGAGGCAGGTTTGCTTCACACTGGATGATCCCGACGCCATTGCCGATTCCATTGCTGATGTGGTGCTTCAGGGAATGGAATTATTTATTCCTAACTCTGTGGTGCCCGTCGGCGGGAAATCCCAGCCCTGGTATGGAGCCTCCTGTAGAACAGCATCTCGTCTGAAACAGGAGTGCTTCCTAACCTGGGCTAAAGGTGTGGCGTCGCGAGATCCTAACACCAGTGCTCTTAAAAAGAAGTATAACTCTGCCTCTAGGTCTTTCAAAAGAGTTATAGCCACAGCGAAGTCAGAGCATATTAGTAGAATTGGCAAGAGACTGGCTAGTTTGCCCTCTGGGACTCGAGCTTTCTGGTCTCTTGCCAAAGCTGCACAAGGGAATTTCTGTAAGTCATCCTTTCCACCTTTGCGCAGGGAGGATGACTCGTTGGCCCAGAACGCTAAAGAAAAGGCCGATCTTCTTGGATCCATCTTTGCGTCAAACTCGACATTGGATGACGGGGAGAAACCACCACCGACCATCACGTGTTGTAGGAGCTCTATGCCTGACATTAAATTCACGCATAGCTCAGTGCGTAGAGCACTTTTCTCCCTCGAAATCCATAAGTCGAGTGGGCCTGATGGTATTCCTCCAATTGTGCTTAGGACGTGCGCACCAGAATTGGCTCCGGTTCTTACGCGTCTTTTTCGGCTTAGCTACTCATCGGGCATTGTCCCAAAGTTTTGGAAGACTGCTCTGGTGCATCCGATCCCTAAAAGGAGATCGCTCAGATCCAGCTAACTATAGGCCCATAGCTATCACTTCCTTATTCTCGAAGGTTATGGAATCCATCATTAACCGTCAACTGCTCCGGTACCTAGAAGAGCACCGGCTGATCTGTGATCGCCAGTATGGCTTTCGACAGGGACGTTCGGCCGGTGATCTTTTAGCTTACTTAACACACCGATGGGCAGTGGCAATCGAGAGTAAGGGAGAGGCCTTAGCAGTTAGTCTGGATATTGCGAAGGCCTTTGATCGGGTGTGGCATAGAGCGCTGCTTTCAAAGTTACCTTCATTTGGGTTGCCTGCGAGACTGTGCATTTGGGTCGCCAGTTTTCTCAAGGAACGTAGCATTAAGGTCGTAGTCGACGGTGCATGCTCTGATTTAAAACCTTTGAATGCTGGTGTCCCGCAAGGCTGTGTACTATCTCCGACTCTGTTTCTTCTGCATATCAATGATATGTTACAGATAAGTAATATTCATTGCTATGCGGACGACAGTACAGGAGATACATTATATACCGGTCATGCAAAGATCTCGCGGGCACATACCGATGAGTGCCGGAATAGACTTGTGTCTGAAATCGAAACTTCACTCCATCAAGTTTCGATCTGGGGTGAACAAAATCTTGTCCAATTTAACCCCAAAAAGACACAAGTCTGCGCGTTTACCGCAAAAAAGACGCCGTTTGTCGTATCTCCTCACTTTCAGGGCACTTCCCTTGATAAAAAGTCAAGTCTAGGAATTCTGGGCGTTGATATATCTTGCGACGTCCAGTTTTGCGGTCATCTGGAGGAGAAGGCTAAGATAGCTTCCAAAAAGTTAGGAGTGCTCAATAGGGTGAGACGATATTTCATGCCAGAACACCGCCTGAAATTATATAAAGCCCAAGTCAGGCCGCATATGGAATACTGTTCTCACCTGTGGGCAGGAGCGCCACAGTACCAACTCCTTCCGTTAGACCGCATTCAAAGTCGGGCGGCTCGAATTATCGATAGTCAACGCCTTACTGTCCGACTTGACCCATTGAAACTGCGCAGAGATGTTGCGTCTCTGTGCATCTTCTACCGAATTTATCATGGGGAGTGTTCTGAGGAATTGTTCGGATTGATACCTGCTGCTGATTTTCACCACCGTACAACCCGCCACAAACTAAAGTTTCATCCCAATCATCTGGACGAGTGGCGGTCTTCCACCGTGCGTTTTTCAAGGCATTTTCTTCCACGCACAACCATTCTTTGGAATCAACTTCCAGCAGCAGTATTTCCGAACCGATACGACAACATAACCTTCAAGAAAAGAGTATATTCCTTTTTAAAAGGCCGGCAGCACACCTGCAATGCCGCTGGTGTTGTGGGTGATCATGGGCGGCGGTAGTCACTTACCATCAGGTGAGCCGCATGCTCGTTTGCCCCCTGTGTTGTAAAAAAAAAAAAAAAAAAAAAAACCATCTAACGGGCCGTATCTTATATTCGCATATGGGGTCAGCTAAGCCGTTGCACGTCGACCCATCGGGATCTTTTGTGCTTCCCCCTGACTTATACCATCATTTCATAGATCCTATGTGTTACCTTAACAATATTCTGTGGGCCGTATGCTTATTTGCCACCTCAGTAATGTCGGGGGGGGGGGGGGGAGGAATTGTTAGTAATGCGGCCTACCAGTCCCATTGCTAGCAATATACCCTGTCAGGTCGACCTCCACGTGGTCCCCCTGGAAACTAACGTGCTGAATTCCAGTTGTATTCCTCACGATGGGCTAACTGACCTGCCCTTTCATTCTCACCTATCATCCCTCACTGGTGCCCCACCAGCGTATACCGATAGCGCAGGCGGGGTTATCATTATTATCTATTGAAAAAAAAAGCCTCAGTGATATCAAAAAGTGCCAATAAATATTAGAATTAAAATTTTTATATTTACTACAAGTAGTTTTTCAAAATTTGTAAATTTTTTTATAACATCAAATGTCCATCATCGAACGTACAATTTCCCCTTTATTTATTGACCATATTACATAAAAATGTTTGGTACAAAAGGCGGACTTTATTATATATAACATTCACGCCAAAGCAACCTTTGAATAAACAGAAATGTAATTATGCAATGACAAATATTAAAATGTGTATATTTCAATGTAACTACATAAAATACAGTAACAACCTGTTTCCAGGCAGTCGCGGAGTCTCTCAGGACGCTTGTCCTGAACAGGAGGGCTGTTCGCGTAGCGCCGTGCAACCCCGCCCCCGTACTCAGTAGGGTTAAATTCGATATGTAAATATTTATATAAATACTTTAAACACTAATAGATTTGTCTAATTGTAATAAAATGTTGTTATTGAGTTATAGTGTTATTATTGTACTATATCACTACTAGTCCTGACCTGTGACTTCGTTCACTTGACCAGAGGGCCTACCATGAAATGTTTTCCGAAATTTCGGAGCCAAACGAAACAGAAATTTGATCTTAAAATTACATAATACATGCAGTTTGGAAATATTAAAAATGTTAAAATATTGTTCCTTTTGACTTCTATGATAGGATGTATGACGAACGAAATGTTAAACTCCATTTATTGATCCGATTTTGGTAAAACGATAAACAAAAACACGAAATTGAGTCCAAAATTTCGGAATTTCATTTCATGGTAGACCCGCAGGATATGTTCACTGACTGAAATAAAATATAGGCTGTCCTTCTCCATCTCATAAAATATGTGTATGGGTACCAAATCTCAGAAAGATTGGTTAAGCCCTGATGGCGCTATAGGTAACAAACAAATTCACTGTCTTATTTATAATATTTGTTAAGATTTAGATTAGATAAATTAAAAAAGAAAATTAAAAGGATATTATATATTTTTATAATTTTTTTACTAAATGATGAGGGATGAGCAACGGCGCGGCGTCCTTTTTTAAACATCGCCAAAGCCTAACTGCGGTTGCCAATCTGCCTACCAAGCGTGGCAACTACTGGCAAAACCCTCCAGTAGAGGGAGGTCTATGTTCAACAGTGGATAGTTAAAGGCTGATATTTATAGTGGTATTTATCTTTAAAATTTATGTTCATTTGCGGTTTTTAATATCGTCATAGACGTAGAATACTGACGGATCTGACAAAGGTTAAATATATAGATCCGTCAGTATTCTACGTCTATGACGATATTATAAATGCGAAAATTTGAAAGGATCGATTGCATATTTGTTCTTCTTTCATACAAAAACTACTGAATAGATTTGAATGAAATTTGGTACATAGGTGGATTATATTCTAACTTAGCACATAGGCTACGTAAGGACATAAAGTATCCTACATAAAGATTAAGATATACTTATTGATTCACGCGAGTAAACCCACGGGATACAGTCAGTAAATACTAACACTAAAGTACGTAATAATATAGTTATTGGATAAAGTTGAAGTAATTATTATTTTAGCACACTTAAGAGAATAGTCTAAATTTATTCTGTAATGTGGCATTCCTCAAATTTATATCTAGAATTAATTATATTATTAAGTTTTCTAAATACACATTACACAAATAATGCAATTAAATTAGAGGGTACAGAGGCAAAACACCTTAGTTCTCAGGAATGACCATGTTTGTCGGGTATCATGGGCGACATTATATACCCACTGTTCTCTATGGACGATTGGTCATGTCTGTAGGCGACGTGTAGGCGTGTGGTTACCACAATTGATCAGGTTCATCACATTGTCATTCTAAATTGCATAAAAAAATATGTAAAAACAACCGGATTGATTTATGTATTTTAATCGAGAAACTATTCAAGTATTCACGAATAAAATACACCTAAGTCAATTTAGTTATTCTAAAATTAATGTTGCAAGTTGCCGATAATTAAATGTAAATACAGTTCTAGTTTTGAATAAATTTATATACCTACCTGCCTACTAGGTGCCGGCAAACGTATTTTCCCATTATCGTCACCTAAATAGGTGACTTTTTTTATTCAAATAAAAACTATCTTGCCCCTCAAATTAGAGCAAACAATAGACTTTTACATAAGATTGCGTTTCACAAAAAAAAAAACCGACTATAACCTTTGCAAAATCAATCTTGATAAAACAAAAACATATAAACTACTTAACGATTTTGTTAAAACTTCTATGGACCAATCTGAAGTCATATCCTTTCAGATAAAAAAAAAAAAAAGATAAATAACGGAGTTATGAGATAACAAATATAAAAAAAAAAATACACCAAATTGAGAACCTCCTCCTATGCAGCCGACTTCAAAGAGAGCAAAATGGTTATATTTTTTCTTTGTTTGTTAGATATATATTATTAATAAATATTTATATCATTGCAATATCAAATTCAAATTTTAGTTATAATGACCGAGAGCATACCTTTAGAATCTAACCAATATAACTAATAACTTTCTCAAAAGATAACGAAAGTGAATACCTACCTACCTACTTCAAATAACCTTGACATTATGTATCCAAGCAACAAGCCGCCCGGCGAATGAACCGACAGACTCGAACTCGACGCGTCTCATTTCCATAACAAGAAACATAACCTAAGTATAACCAAGTTTACTAGTTTATAAATGTAATTCCGACCGATACCACATTCTTGTGTGAGCTGGTGAACAGAATTAAACATGAAATCTTTTATAGAATACGGACCTAATTCGGACTTTCCAATTGAAAATCTTCCGTATGGTGTCTTCACTTCACCAAAAAATGTAAGTTTTACTTTCCATACAATTATTTCGATTAAAGCGGGTCATACAATTTTGCGTTATAAATAATTATGAGTGATTAATTTATAACTTCTATATTTATTTTATCTTATAATTTCTGCATTTTTTAATGCATAAATACTCATTTATTAAATAATACGTTAAGACTCATTGTATGCATAAGTACATAGAACACTGATAAAAAAACGAGTCAGCTAATTTGACAATTAGCTGACAAAATGTTTACCCGTTTTTGAAAATTAATACACTATCTATATAATCTAAGATCTTTATTATTTGAATTAAATGTATTGGAATTAAGTTAATAATAATCATAACTAATTTATTATCTTATTTTATTATATTAACTGTTTGTTTAAATTGTTTATTTTAGGATATCAAACATATCGGTGTTGCAATCGGGGACTGGATATTGGATTTAAATGTGATCTCTCATCTGTTCGATGGACCTTTATTGAAAGATAAACAGAATGTTTTTAAGGTAATGCACCTACTCGCCTACATATTTTTTTATTTTTAATTAGTGGAAATGGAATGGTAACCCTTTCTGCACTATTAATTTATGATACAGAATATCAGTGAAGAATGACAAGTAAGAACTCAAGGTAAACATCATGACAAATTCACCAAATAATAACCACGATGCCTACTGGGGTAAAATATGAAATATAACTTAATAGAGTATTTGCTAGACCCCGTTGGGTCTCAAGTCTCCATTACTAACAATCCTTTACTTATCTGTTTATATCTTTAATAAACAAGAGTACTTAACAACAATTAATAGACTTTATTCCGTTGCAAATAGATTCAAAATGCAATGATTTTATTTTACTTGATAACAAGCAAGCCACTCGTAATAACAAAGTTAATAAACGACACGACGACACGGCCGTGTATGCAAATTGTTCAGTTGTTTACGAGTAAAATTAGAATTATTATAACATTCCACAATATTTATTAATTCTATATTTAATTATCACGGCATGGAAATATACTGAACTGGAATAGAAGAACGGTGTTGCCATTTAATGGGTGAAACTCTAACAGGTAGCAATGAGGGGGGGGAGGGGTTGTAATGCGGACTACCAGCCCCATTGCTAGCCATATACCCAGTCTTTTTTTGATGGGTGAAAATGGTATGGTAACCCCGCCTGCGCTAACGGGATACGCTGGCGGAGCACCAGTGAAGGGTGATGGATGAGAATGAAAACAGGCCAGTTAGCCCATCATGATGAATTCATCAGGAATTAACCATGATAGTTTCCAGGGAGAACCGCGATGAGGTCGACCTGGTTGGGTATATTGCTAGTAATAGGATTCTCAGTCTCCATTACTAACAATCCCTTTCCCCCCGCCATATACAGGCGCCAGTCAGGTCGATCTTCACGTGATCTCCCCTGGAAACCATCATGCTAAATGCCAGGTGTATTTATCACGATGGGCTAGCTGACCTGCTCTTTCATTTTCTGCAATGGGGCTGTCCAACTCCATTGCTAACAATCCCTTTCCTCCCACCGTCAGATTGTTTAACCAGTTACATAAAAACAGATTAATCATATCAATATTTTTAGGAGGAGAAATTAAATGCTTTTATGGGATTGACAAAATCACATTGGATTGAAGCGAGAAGTACACTTCAAAACCTTCTAGATGTATCCAATTCTACGTTACAAAATGACAGTGAACTCAAACAAAGGTAATCTGGCTTACAGTTAATTTTACTACACGAAATGTTTATAATGATGAATTTATAATGATGTCCTTATTATGTTTATAATGATGATTATAGCTATAATTTATATTGTATCGATTACGATGCGTATTTTGGCAGTCGATTTAATTCACCGTCTTTATACAACGAAAAATCTTAAATCTACTGAACACGTACATATGTTCCCACTTCTCGTTTTAAAGAAATTATAAAGACATATTTTTTTTAAATATAGTTAAATCGAAACAAATTGACTTCAATGTTATTAAAATTAGTATAGGACCAATACATTTATTAGATTATTTCTATCTATATTGATTACAAATGATTCATCAATATCGAATTTTTATTTGCGCAGCCATATAGGAGTTACATAGAACTTAGTACAACTTACACGAAAAAAGCATTCCTTTTGACCTCAGCAATAAGTCCAGATTATTTAATTATAACTGGTATCGTAATAAAATATTCGCCACTTCAACATGTTACGAGCAACCGCCATTTTTAACGGTTTTTTTTTTTAAATATAATACAGCCCATGTTACTTATTCATAATATATCTATTCTATAGATGGAAGAATTTTTAAAGTCGGTCAAGATTTTTTTAAATATTATATATTTCCTTTCCATTATATAATAGTAGTTTAAATATTTTACTTATTTTCTTTTTTAATTTGTTTAAATTTTTCCAGTGCATTCGTCAAACAGAGCGAAGCAACAATGCACGTTCCAGCTGAAATCGGCGACTACACAGATTTCTATTCGTCTATCCACCATGCTACCAACGTAGGCATCATGTTCAGGAGTAAGGAAAACGCCCTCATGCCGAATTGGTGAGACTAAATTATTAGTAGTACCTAATAAATGTGTTACTTATTATTTATCTATATAATAATAATAATTCCTTTATTACAGATAACTAAAATCCATTTTTCTTAGTAACAATTGACTTAAACTATATTAGTAAAAAAAAAATACACAACAAATCATTTTATGGCCCCTATAATAATTTTAACCCACAATGAGAGGATCGGGCTATCGTATTTATTACATAACGCCCACAGAATGCTGTTACTGTTGCCGCGCAGTCGGTATAACATTAATAAAAAATATGAATAAATATTAAATTCTATTCCTTGTTAAACACTTAAGTAACCTATTTCGCATGAGTAGATAGAATTTTCAAAAATAATATATAATCTATGTTATTCGTTGATAATGTAGCTTTGTATAGGTAAAAGAATTAAAAAAAAATTAAATGAATAATATATATATATATATATATATATATATATATATATATATATATATATATATATATATATATATATAATAAATATTAAAAAAAAATACCTGATACTGTTATTACAGGATGTAACGTAAATATAAAAAATTAAAAACAAGATATATTCTAGTTATATATTTGTTTACTTGAAATTATTATAATATAAAATTTCATTATATGATATTAATTGAAAAACTATGTTTTTACAATTTAGGAAACACCTACCGGTTGGCTACCACGGGCGGTCCAGTTCCATTGTGATATCGGGCACGCCGATACATAGGCCTTATGGTCAAACACTGCCTGTTGAAGGTATTTATACGAATAATGTAATTCATTCATTCATTTGATACTCATTCATTCATTCATTTTACATGTTACTTCATCAATTACAAAAATAATAAATACAGTAAATGTAATAGTAATGTTAGATTAGTACCCTCGGTACTTTTGTTGGCTTCAGTACAATGACACAATACTGAATAAATAAATATTTAATTACAAGAAACATAGTAAATATATAAATGTTAACAATATTTTTTTTTTTTATAAAACTTAGAATGGCAAACAAGCTGACGGTCCACCTGATGGAAAGTGGTAAGCGTCGCCTATAGACATGAGCAGTACCATGGACATAACAGAGTATACTGTTTTGCCCATGATACCCCCCATGCGTTGCCATTCCTGAGGACTCAGGTGTTATTCCTCTGTACCCAGTAAATTCACGCCATATATATCACACACCAACGTAAACCACACACGTAAACCACAAAAACGTAAAAGAATCACATTTAATAATATAATGGCGATATAGCGAAACGATGTCAACAGACAGAGATGCAATTATTGAAAATCAGAGACAGAGCGAGATACGCGAAAGTTAATATGAAACGTGTCTATCGAGTATGTTGGCATCTCACTCTGTCTGTCCGTGATTTCCTCTATCTCTTTCTGCATAGAACATTCAGATAACTTTATAAAAGGATGTTATAAAAAAAATATTATAATGGCTTCGCTTACACCTTCTGTATAATAAATATGATGTATATTTTTACAAATATTTTATGGACAATTATTTTATATGCTTATTAATTTAATCAACTTGATATTTTTATTTAGGTGCCGATCCCCACTTCGGGCCGTGTCGCCTGATGGACTTTGAGTTGGAGGTGGCCTGCTTCGTCGGAGGACCACCTACCGCACTTGGACAGAGAGTCACAGCAAAGCAGGCTGAGGACCATATCTTTGGTTTTGTGCTCATGAACGATTGGAGTGGTACGTAAATTGGCACATTTCTTTTTTCTTTTTATTCTACATGGAATTCCAAACAAGCCGCCTTTTTGTGTACTGATAAAATTTTTTTTATTTAATAAATATATATCTTTCTGTTTTTACTAATATAATAAAATTGTAACTCAAAGATGTCTTTAGGATGTACGAGGAAAAATGTATGTAAGGTGTCTTAATAAGAGCAATATAAAGTCTGTACGTTTGTTTTAATATCATGAAAAAACTACTGTATCGCTTTGAATGTGAGTTTTACAATTATGTTTCTGAATATCCAATTTAATATATAAGGGTCTACCATTAAATGTTTTCCGAAACTTAAGGGCCGAACGAAACTCAAATTTGATATTAAAATTATTCAATACGTATTGTTTATAAATATTAAAATGTTCATTTGGACTTTAGGTAGGATTTATGGCAAACAAAATGTTAAGCTCCATTTACTAGGCCGATTTCAGTATGAACGAAAATACGAAATTGAATCCGAAAATTCGGAATTTCATTTCATGGTAGACCCCCTCGTGTAAGCTTTATTCTGATACCCCATCTAGATGTGAGTACCTATTTCCAAAGTTAGCGTACGATAATGCGGGCAAACGTTAGTAATTAATAGAATTAATAGCAATAATTTGTGGCTAGTTGTGTATAAAACAGCCACATTACCTGAGATGTCTGTAAGAGACTGTTTATTACATAACTTGCTCCTTTATTACATTGAATATCAGTGCCGGCCCTAGTCCCTGATAATAATTTCAAAATTTTAAAAAGTCTTTTTTTTTATACAACTTAGAATGGCAAACAAACTGACGGACCACCTGATGGAAAGTGGTAACCGTCGCCTATAGACATGAGCAGTACCATGGACATAACAGAGTTTACTATTTCGCCCATGATACCCCCCATGCGTTGCCATTCCTGAGGACTCAGGTGTTATTCCTCTGTACCCAGTAAATTCACGCCATATCCCACCCTTCAAACCAAAACACAGCCATGCAAACACAACTGCTTCACGGTTGAAACACGAATGGGACAGAGGTACCCAAGCAATCGACTTTTGTACAAAGTCTCCCTCTGATAAGATTACCTGAGATGTCTGTAAGAGACTGTTTATTACATAACTTGCTCCTTTATTACATTGAATATCAGTGCCGGCTCTAGCCCCTGATAATATTTTATCTTTCCAATTTAATTTAAATATAAAAATGATTAGAAGACTGTCATCATTGTGTTCTCTTGTATTTGATATTTATATGTTGTATTTAACGTGTGTATGTATGTGTGTATATGTATGTGTATGTGTATATGTATATATATGTGTATGTGTATGTATGTATATATGTGAATGCATGTGTGTATATATATATATAATTATTTATAATTTATGTAAATATTTATTTAAATTTCTGTCTTGCACTACTACTGCCCACTCACTACTTCCTATGCCACTGCGTTAGGTTGACTGGAAGAAATCTCTTTTAGAGATAAGTTCGCCTTTGCTAACATTGTTATTAACTTATTGTTGTTACTGTATGTTTTTGTGCAATAAAGAATATATATATATAATAATTTCAAAATTTTAAAAAGTGTTGAGGCAATCTGTGGATTTCTGCAACGTTGTCCTTCGAGTTTTTAAAAACCTGATCTAGCAACCCACAACTCTCAAAAGACATTATTAAAATTGATTTTACGCTGGAAATTGTTTCTGGCATTTGGCTTTTTAGCATCCTTTGCCGTCTGGCGTCTAGAGCGATCGCTATTCTTGCTTTACCCCAGAGTCAACGCTGAGTTTTTTTTTTTTTTTTTTTTTTTTTTTATAAAACGCTGAGTGATTTAAATTTTCTATTAACTTTTACAGCGAGAGACATACAGAAATGGGAGTATGTCCCTCTAGGACCTTTCACAGCCAAGAACCTCGGCACGTCAGTGTCCCCATGGATTGTTACCGTGGAAGCCCTTAAGCCGTTCGCAGTAGACAACTATCCGCAGGATCCCACACCGTTCGAATACTTAAGACATGATGACAAATTCAATTTCGATATCCGATTGGAGGTCGATATACAATGTGAGTCAAAAATTATAACATTTTTTTGTTTCGAATTACAGTCCTTGTTCTTTTATTCATTTTAAAAATAGAATATTCTACTAATATAAAAATAGATTACTAGTCGAAATTATTTCGTCACTATTGGAATATTTTTTTGCGAAATAATACATTAAATATGTAGGTAAGTTTAAAACTGGAGGAATCGTCTAGTAAAATCTTACTAAATCTCATCCACAGGGAAGTAAAAACTCCTATCAATTTTTTATTTCACTAAAATAAGTAAATAAAACAAAATACATAAACGTATTAAATAAATAAAATTGTTTAAATTCTCCACTGATGAGGAGGGGTCCAAATTGGTTTATTTCGAGTATTAGGTACCTATAGATTATTTACGTTAACATAGCACGCTCTTTCATTTTTTTTTATTTTAATGTGTGTGACCGTATATATTGGTGCTTTATTTGTGTTTGTGAGTAAACGACTTCAGTAATGGTTCGGCTAGAGGAGTATTATATTCCTTGATCGAAACCTTGTAAATATTTTTACTCGCATATTTTTAATACTTTGGTTTTTGAAGAGGCGTGCCATGTTATTATAGACAATCTATACGTCTTGTCTTTTATAAATTACAAGTCATAATTTGGATCTTATATATGATAGAACCTAAAGCTGGATAATTTATCTACTCTCCGTTTTTCACTGACAGCTGAAAAGTCTCCCGTTGTAACGACGATATGTCGTTCGAACTACAAGTATCTATATTGGACGGCGAAGCAACAACTAGCTCAGCAGACCGTTACCGGCTGCAACTTGAGACCTGGCGACTTGCTAGGATCAGGCACTATAAGTGGCGATGTAAGTATAATTAGTTTTGGCGAACAGAAGTAGATAAAGACATACTGCGAGGACCTCAATCGCTGTCATTGTGAAAACCACGACCACTCTATCAAGAGTGTACGACTGAAGAGGGAGAGAAGTATAGTTTTTACTAATAATAATAAGTATTTAACTTATAGAGTCAATTAAAATCGATTTATTCAATCAACATAATAAATTTAGTAGGGAAAAATATATCATATTGTGACCTACAATTATTTTTGCGATTTTTTTTTATACCAAAAAGGTGGCAAACAAGCATACGCCTACAGCCACTTTCAACCATCGTACAGCTCGCCATCGACAGGGAGTTCATCCTCATGTCCTACAGCCTCAATGGTCGCGTACTGCGCGGTTTCAAAGATGTTTCCTCCCACGAACACTCAGGTTGTGGAATGAGCTTCCTGCCGAGGTTTTCCCAAGAGACTACAGCATGGGGTTTTTCAAAAGGGGGGGTAAAGAGGTTTCTTCAGGGTCGACAACGCACGCGTAATACCTCTGGTATTACAGGTATTCATAGGCTACGATAACCACTTACCATCAGGTGGGCCGTATGCTTGTTTGCCGCCTCAGTGGTATTAAAAAAAATACGTCTGATAGCAAACTGGTTATTCAATTCTTAAAAATCTACTATCAATAAGTTTTGATTTTGTGTTAATATTGTTATTATTCAGTCCCTAAACAATTGGCAAAGGAATTTAAGCTTAGATACTTCAAAATTGGACCATATAGCAATAATCACAAGGATTATCTCTTATGATTATTGCATATGTCATATCCATATATTATAAATGCGTTTCATATACAAATAATGATTATTTTTTATGTTCAGACTGTTGACTCTTACGGAAGTATGCTGGAGATTTCATGGAAAGGCACCAAGCCTATTCGCCTGCTCAATGGTGAAGAACGGAAATTCCTTCAAGATGGCGACACAGTAATACTCCGTGGATACTGTATCAACGAACATGGTGTCAGAATTGGTTTTGGGAATTGCAGTGGAAAATTACTGCCCGTTGTACCTTTTAATGGATAAATTATATATAAACCGCAAAAATCTATGCAAAGTTGTTATCATAAATATAAACGTATATGTAATCTAAGTATTATAGTAGTTTCATTTAATGATTTAAGGTAAATATAAAACGAACTACTATTCCTCTTCAACGAGAACACTTTATTCCTAATACCAGCAGCGGCCAAAATTACGACGAATCAATAGGTGAGAAATCTCCGCCAGAAAACTGGCTCAAATAAGCAATAAGGAAATATAAGTTTATTGCGTACTATTCAATTTAATGTTAGTAATGAACACTACTACTCGGGCGAGAGATGGGCTTAAACCATCTCTAAAGCCTAACTGCGGTTGCTAATCCGCCTGGCAAGCGTGGCAACTACTGATAAAATCCCGCAATATGGAGGCTTATGTTCAGCAGGATGATATGATGATGATGAATGAACACTACATAAAGTCTGAGTATATTTGATACTAGCTGATGATAAAGTTCCTCTGATAAATTACTGCCGCCATAGATAACGATAGTACATGCGATTTTTTTTCGACATCAAACTGTCAAGTATCTGTCAGTGTCAATGTCAAGTATTTTTTTTTTCTTTTTTTGTGGCGTTCACCCCGATATTAGGGTATTTTGCCAATGTCAAGTATTGTCAAGTTAGAAATTTGTATTGGAATATTTTGTTTGTTGTTTATTTTGTTTTCAATTAAAGTGGAATTAAAAAAAAATCTTTCTTTGCGTGTTAATTTAAATTTAAAAATGGTTTGTTATTGCTGTGTAAAGGGCTGCGGTAACAATAGTAATAATAAAAAGAAAAATCCAAGTAGTAACACTTCTTTTCATGCGTTAGTATTAATTCCCTTAAATTAAATTATTTTTAACAGTTAAATAAATAGAAACGGGTTAAGAGCATATACGTTTAATTTCAATTTACTCCTTTTCGTATGGGGGAGAAACCTTAATTTATTTCCATAAAGAGTGTCTCTTTAGCTATTTGTTGGTGTTTTGGCCCACATAACAGACTTATAGATAAGTCGTTGCAAATATTTGATAATATATAAAATAAATATAATTTAAATTTCAAACTTTTTGTCAACATTTAATTTCTAAATACTGATTCACTTTTAATAGGTTCCCATCCAACCAAGAGCTCCGAATGAAATGGTTGAAAGCAATCGGGCGGCCTAACTGGGATCCTCCAAGTCACGCGCGCATTTGTAGCGCACATTTCAACTACGACCAGATCAACCATGACAGCTGTCGCATCAGGATCAAGGATGATGCATGTCCTGTAAATGCATTGCCTGTGAGTGTTTTATCCACTCGCAAATATATAGAATTATCTTTAATATTTCCATTATTTATGAACTTATTGTAGTATAGTAGTATTTTACTATTTTCATGTATTGTTTTGTAATAGTCTAGTGTAATTCCTTTTCCTTTTATATAATAATAATGTATATTTAGTAACATACTATGTGTTAGTAAGAATTAGAATATTTTTTATTCAAGTAAACTTAACTAAAAGCATTTTTGAATTGTCAGAGTATTTTTTTTTATGATATCTAATGTTTTTTTAAAATAAAATGTTATATCTATAGTTATTTTTAACTACTGACTAAATATATTTGTTACAGCCCAACTCAAACTTTGAAGCTTCATTCATAGAGGTGTGCAGAATCTGCCTGGCAACTGACCTGAAGATGTACAGTTTGGAGAATGGTATACTGAAGAGTTGCATGGAATCAATAGCTGGATTTAATGTAAGTATAAATAGTCTGTAATAAATGGATTAAAAGATCAAAATTTATAGATAATTTCCTTAGTGCAAGAGTAGACATGTTACTTTATGTAAATAGGATCTTAAATTCAATCTAATCCAGGCTAACATAGCAATTAATTTTTTTTTTTAAATTGAATCATATTGGTGTGTTCTAGATTGTGTACACAGACATTTATTCTTTAGTTTCTCATACCACTAAACATTCTAGTTTAACGATAGCATTTAATATCGCTATGTAGCACAGTATTGGGTTTTTATATAGAATACAGCTGAGATATTAAACAACATTTTCATATTTGAACTAAATATGTTTCATGGGGCAAGTTGTTTTTGTAAATAATGTCACTGTCTTTTGAATTGATATATCAATCCTTTTATGCTAACCCTCTATTTTCTTTTTCATAAGAATTTAATATATATATTTTTTTAATTGAAGTTATAATGGATGCTATATTGTTTAAGGAAAACTATAATATAGAAGGACTACCCCAGTTTATTTGTTTTGAGTGTGCCGCTCATCTGATAAAGTGCTATAATCTTATAGAAAAAAGTATGACAGCTCAAGCAACATTGCTGGACATTTTTGCTCTAAATGGCCATGTAAGTTTCATAAAAATACTTCCTATATTTTTTTATTATTGTGCTTTGCTCAATATTAAAATAGAAACATGTTCCAAAAACTATTTACTTAATTTTTTTGTAAAGCTATCAATATTGGTTATTGTCATCAGAAAAATGTCAACCCTTTACTGTTCTGTTCCTTTTCAGATAACGAAAACTCTTATCAAAACTAAAAATAGAGAAAACTTAAATCTTAAATCAAATTTAAAATATAATGGTGTAGTACCAACTTATTTATTCGAATATAAATATGATGATATTAATGAAACATCATTATTAACTAATACTGAATTTTTAGTGGAAGATCACAAATTAAATGATTGTGCAGCTAAAACTAAAAGTCATGTAGACAATGATTTAAAAAAAGGTATGCAATATCACAATATTGAAAATAAAATAAATAAAACAAATGATGAATATTCGATAGAGGATGATTTTGATGGAGGCGATGAAACTCAAAATTATGATAGTGATAATGAAACAATTGAAAATATACAAGTTATGAATATAAAATCAAGTGGTGGTGAAGAATTAGTTGCAAATGTATTGGACACAAATGAGTATACTGACAAAAATGTAAGTTGACATACATTAAAAGTACCCGTAACCGGCGAGTGTGTATGACAAGATTGATGAATGTCCACACAGAAGCGAAAGAGGTTTGTTTGAATCGAAGCATTTGGTGTTCCATTGTTTCTGCCTACCCTAATGGGAGACAGGCGTGACAGATATATTATATTTTTATAATAGTTTTATATTACTTGATGAATTTAATAAGACAGTAACTAATAGCAAAAGAATCAATGTTATTGTTTTTATTTGAGCTGCGTCTAGTTTTTTGTTTCTTAATTAATACTTTTAATTTAGATATTTTAGGGAGTTGGCAATAAGGAATAGGTATTTATTGTACCATAGAAAAAATATGGGTGATACATTATTTAACAATAATTATGTATAGTAACTATACCTACTTAAACATTCTACATTCTATTTGAGATTGTACATATTTTAGATAATTCAAGAGAAATCTTTTAAACGACAGCAGAATAAAGAAGAAGAGAAGTGTAATAGAAAATCCTTAGGTGGCTTTACACCCAATGAAGTCAGCATGCAGAAATATTTCAATATCGTCAAACTAACTGTAAGTTTTAACTTAGATAAGTGGCAAATAAATATATATAGGTAAAGAGAGAATAGACAAAAATAGAAAATAATCTTTATTCATATATAGATTAGAAAATAAATCCAATTGGTCATCAATAAAGCTTTTTTTCTTTATTTCTTTCTTTTATTTATTCCTTTCTTTTATTTATTTCTTTCTTTTTCTCTCTCTTCTTTTCTTCTTTCCTTCTTTTCTTTATTTCTTCCTTTTATTTATTTCTTTCTTTTCTTTTTTCTTTCTTTTCTTTCTTTCTTTCTTTCTTTCTTCCTTTTTTTACTCATTCAAACAGACTCATTTTAATTGATAATAATCACACAGCGACCTCCAGTGCCTTTTTTTTATGCGTGCGCTAACAGAACATATCTATCAGTAAATTCATTGTCTAATTATTTACAGGGTATTTTTAGAGTGAAGGATAATAGGTGTATTGTTATGAATTAGTGGTATTAAGATGTATTTAAGAGGATCGCCGAGTAGGCCGTGCCCACTCCAAAATTGTCTGATACCCACATGAGGATGCTATCTAAGTATTGTAACTATGCGTAGAGATATTATGATATAAAGATACAGTCTGTGCACCTAGGCCACTGTTGAACATAGGTCTCTGTTCAGCAGTGGACAGATAATGGTACTTAATACTTAGATTATATAGATAGATAGTGTCTCCATACAAATGCTTCGTGAAAAACGGGTCAACTTTTTCATACAATTTTGCGTAATAAATAGTTATGAATGATTCCTTTATAACTTCTATATTTATTTTGTCTTATAAATTCTGCAACATTTTAATGCGTAAACACACATTTTGTTTATTAAATAATACGTCAAGATACAGTTTATGCGTAAATAGAATAGAATACTGATAAAAAACAAGTCAACTAATTTGACAAGTAGCTGACAAAAAAATTACCCGTTTATAGAGGCTTAAGGCTCTATCTATATAATCAAGAGCTGATTATGATGAAGTTGACAAATGTTTTTAAATAATATGTGATCTTCAGATATTTAATATATTTGATACACAGATGAATCTTGCAATAACACAGAATACTTTATATATTTTAAATGTTAAAAATTACTTGTTATTTACATTTATCTAAATAAGTAACTTTATTGACCAAATAAAAATTCGTTTAGTAAATTTTTTTATTAGTATTTCATTTTTTTTAGCCACAAGAGCAAATAGAGGAATGGAAGAAAACAATGGAGAATCGACCGTGGAAAAGCAACGCAGTATACAAATGTGAAGTATGCTCGAAAATATTCGCCCACGTCAATACATACCGTTCGCATGTGACACGCCATGACCCAGTAGGTATATATATGTATATTTTTTATTATCAACTAATAGTGAAAAATTATCTTTTGACTTTTGAATCCACATTACTGTTATCCGGGTTGATTTGTATTCCCAATAAATATTTTTAAATATTTTTTTTTTAATTGCGTGATATTTATTTATTAAAATTTTTATCTCACCTCGTTCATATTTTCAGAGTCGTGGCAAAGCCGAATGCCCAGTATGTAAATTACGTTTCAAGAACGACGTTGTGGTCAGATCTCATGCCAATCGTATCCACGGCAAGAAATTCCATTGCAAATCGTGTTCTAAAGTGTTTAGTAACGTGTAAGTACGTTTTATTGTGGGTTTTCTCTGTACAGTATATTTTTGATGTATGTTTAATATTCATTAATTGGGGAATAGGTAAAATAATTATGATGAATAATAATTTAAATAATTGAAAACACACCATCTCTTTTGCGGTGTTCATCACTCTCGTCATCGAAATGAACGAAGCAAGCTATTTCAGCGTACGTTCTCAAGCATACCCAGAGTTTCTTTAGAAAGATCCTGTGGAACATCTCGATCGTCCTGAGTAGTGATGAAGAGCTGTTATCTTCGTAGTGTGTGAAAGATTTCTTAGTTTAATTCTTTCTGCTTGATCATTTATCATGTATATACTGTTGTCGATATTCCAATTTTCGCACTGTCAATTTTTATCACTATTCAATTTATATTAACAGAGGAGTCGCAAAAAAGCATCAGAAATGGCACTCGGGGTACAAGTACGCGTGCAGCCGCTGTCCCTTCCGTAGTGTTCACGAGTCGTCGCTGGGCGTGCACGTGCGGCGCCAGCACCAGCACGGCCTCGCGTGCGCGCGCTGCGGCCGCGCCGCCGCCTCGCGCCGCGCGCTGCGCCTGCACCGCGCCGCCGCGCACGCCGCGCCGCAGGTAGCACGCAGCACGCAGCACGCAGCACGCAGCACGCAGCAGCTGCACCAGCACGGCCTCGCGTGCGCGCGCTGCGGCCGCGCCGCCGCCTCGCGCCGCGCGCTGCGCCTGCACCGCGCCGCCGCGCACGCCGCGCCGCAGGTAGCACGCAGCACGCAGCACGCAGCACGCAGCACGCAGCAGCTGCACCAGCACGGCCTCGCGTGCGCGCGCTGCGGCCGCGCCGCCGCCTCGCGCCGCGCGCTGCGCCTGCACCGCGCCGCCGCGCACGCCGCGCCGCAGGTAGCACGCAGCACGCAGCACGCAGCACGCAGCACGCAGCAGCTGCACCAGCACGGCCTCGCGTGCGCGCGCTGCGGCCGCGCCGCCGCCTCGCGCCGCGCGCTGCGCCTGCACCGCGCCGCCGCGCACGCCGCGCCGCAGGTAGCACGCAGCACGCAGCACGCAGCACGCAGCACGCAGCAGCTGCACCAGCACGGCCTCGCGTGCGCGCGCTGCGGCCGCGCCGCCGCCTCGCGCCGCGCGCTGCGCCTGCACCGCGCCGCCGCGCACGCCGCGCCGCAGGTAGCACGCAGCACGCAGCACGCAGCACGCAGCACGCAGCAGCTGCACCAGCACGGCCTCGCGTGCGCGCGCTGCGGCCGCGCCGCCGCCTCGCGCCGCGCGCTGCGCCTGCACCGCGCCGCCGCGCACGCCGCGCCGCAGGTAGCACGCAGCACGCAGCACGCAGCACGCAGCACGCAGCAGCTGCACCAGCACGGCCTCGCGTGTACGCACTCTTAATGTGCAAACAGCTTCATAGTGCAAACGGCCCTAAATCGACCTTTATACTTGTACAAAATCTTAAGAAAGACAAAGAAAGGCCTAGACTAAGTACGAATTAACCTATTGGTAGAATCGTTATTGCTAGCCAGTCCATGAGATGTCGACATGTGCAATATTGTCTTCTCTAAGTTATTTTATCTATCTATTCGTTTGTACCTTGTCTACATTTTATAATAAACTACGATTATTTTTACAATCACCACAGAAAAGTGAAGACAGTGAAGCTTTTCCATGTGAGGAGTGCAACCTAAGCTTTAATTCTGAAGGCGCACGTCGCGTACACATACTGACGTCGAAACAGCACAGGCGGAAAAATAATTTACAGTAAGTATAGCCATTTTTTACTAACCGATCAATTCGTTCCCTTTCCACAATAAAGCCAGATTGCTTGGACAATGTTTGACTTCGGTCTGGAGATCTTAAGATCGAATCTCAATTTTTGAATTTTTCAAATTCATAACGATTGTCTTGTGCTTCGTGTTTCGAACATAGGCATATTTATGGAGGCGGAGGGCGGCGTTTTAGGTAAATAATTATCCAAATCGGTTTATTATATTTACCAAACAAAAAAAAAATAACCGAATTGAGTACTTCCTCCTTTATTGAAGTCGACTGAAAACAGTCGAAGTAAAGTAACTGCGTTTGTTTTTTTAATTTATAGGTCTGAGTATTTTTTGTTTTTAGTATCCCTAGTCCTCAAGATCTCGTACCTAAAAATACATGCAAATTTTGCGGCGTGGAGTTTTCGACTGCGGCCGAGGTGGTCAGACATATCCGCACTGAACACCGGAGGGTCCAGAAGAAAACCGGCTGGCGGCTACCTGACGACTCGTACCCGACGCAGTGCGAACATGTGAGTGACACTTTTTTTTTATACAAACTGCAACAGTATGTCATGATCCAGTTGTATACTGACCAGAATTATAAATTGAAAGATTAAAAAAGAAAATATAAGATCGCAATTACAATGTTTTAGGTTCAAGTCTGGCCGACGTTAAAAGCTTTGTATCAATTTAAGTTTTTTTACTACGTTCCCATGCTGGAAATATGCATAATAAATTAAATAGGGATAAAAATTGTTTTTGAAATTTTAAATATTTTTCTGCTGTCGGCATCTTAATAAGAATCTTATTTAATTTCCTATTAGAGTCAGAGGACTTTAAATAAGTCATCAGTCACAGATATTAAATTTATTCGATTATTTAAAAAAAAAGATACTAATATGAATATGAAAGTTTATAAAGATATTTGTATTTTTGGATGATTGTTAATTAAGCTTAAACGGCTAGACAGATGTGAGTGAATTTCAATATAGATTTATATCATAGAATACTTTATATACTGATGTACGCGGGCAAAACCCCGTTAAATAATTAGTGACAAATAATAAAGACCTTGCCACACTTCGGTATAAACGTTTAACCGGTCGTTGGTCAGTGTGACGTGTGCGTGGACTCCCGCGGCGAGCACTGGCGGCACGTGCGGCGGCATCACCCGCGGCTCGTGGCTGCATACCGCCGCGTCGTCACCGCTGTATGCCACGCCTGCGGCAAGGGTTTCCAGGTAATACCACTTAGTTTTTTTATGATACTTATGTAGAATCATTCGTGTTTCTGCTGTTGTTTTTACATCAGTGTGTTTCGGTTTTAAGGATGGGATATGGCAATGAAGTTACAGAGTACAAAGGTGTAATACCTTAGTCCTCAAGAATGGCAGTGCATGAAGCGCGTCATGGGCGACACATTTTATTCTGTTATAGTACTGTTCATATTTATAGGCGACGGATACCATTTTCTATGTGTATCGTATGTATGAATGATATGTACAATATAACTTTAATACTGTTTCTAAAACTCTTAATATAGATCTATTTTCGAAAAATATAATATCAGTGAGAGACCAACTGAGTAGGCAATTTTTATATTTATAGTCAGTTTAAAGAACTATTGTATGGATAAGGCCATATTTTAATCAAATATTTGCATTTAATTTTTACTTTGTATTTTATTCATCATTATTTTATTCTTTTTTTTTTTTTTTGTTTTCGTTCCTTTTGTTTGTTCATATTTTTTTTTGTTAGCTCCTATTTTTGTAGCTTTGTGTACAGCGCCTTGTATCTATATTGTTGCTACTTGTAAAAACCTATTAGTGGCTTATTTTGTGAACCTGAACTGTATCTTTTTGCTCTAGTGTAGTGAAGTGCCCTGGTTTTCTTATGAATAAATAAATAGGTCTAACAGAGGGACTTATATTTTAGGGACTTTGTATAAATGCGCAGGTATGGCAACTCATGAGGGGTATCATGGGCGAAACAGTATACTCTGTTATGTCCATGGTACTGCACTGCTTTACCACTTTCCATCAGGTGGGCCGTCAGCTTGTTTGCCATACTAAGTTGCATAAAAAAAATATATAAAGTAGTAAAAAAGCATCAAATTGAAATTATATGTTTTATTGTATACAATATCAGAACAGTACGAAGCTGCAGCTGCACGCGCTGCGGCACGCCGGGCCGACGCTGCGCTGCTCGCAGTGCGAGCGTATGTTCTACGACAAGTACGCGCTCGCGCGCCACGCCGCCGCGCACAGCGCCGCGCGGCCGCACGCCTGCCGCACGTGTGGCCGCGCCTTTAAACTGCGCGCCAACCTGCAGCGACATGCGAGGGTGACCACACTATTTTATAATGCATACAGATTTTGTTAATTTTAGACGAAGACGCCGCTCACTTCAGTCCTGTCGTGACCACGTCGAAACGTCGAAACGGCGGCAATAAAGAAGCAGGTATATAGCCACTATTTACCTGTAAAGGCTTCTACATCGCGTTAAATCTCGATATTATAAGTGTATTTAAATTGCATATAGATTTTTTAGTATTTCATATAAAAAATCACGTCGAATATTCTTTTTTTTTTAATAAGTTTTTTTTTATACCTTTGCAATTTTTTTTTATTCATTATCAGGTACATAGTGGATTGACTCCGTATGAGTGTACAATGTGCGGCAAAAAGTTCAAGTACTCGACGAGTGTAAACCTTCACGTACGCACGGTACACTACAAACTGCCGCATCCGCCCAGAAAGAAGAGAACCAATAAATCTGCTATAAATATAGATGATAATAATATTGTTACGTGAAATTAACTTATGTTTTTTAATAAACAAATTTTAACGCAAATAAATTATAATTCAACTACATTGGTTTATAATAAATATTCCCTCTTACCCTACAAGTCTCTAGTCATTCGAATGGTGTGTGGTTTTTTTACTTACTTAGTAAAAAAACCACACAAGTCTTAGGAGAGATTTTGCTCACTCTGCGTGTTCTACCGCCTGTACAATGGATTATACTCAGAGGAATTGTTCAATATGATGCCCACAGCCACTTTCTACCATCGTACGGCGTGCCATCGACAGGGAATTTATCCTCATGTCCTACAGCCTCAATGGTCGCATACTGCGCGGTTTCAGAGATGTTTCCTCCCACGAACACTCAGGTTTTTTTTTTGATGGCTGGAAATGGAATGGTAACCCCGCCTGCGCTAACGGGATACGCTGGCGAAGCACCAATGAAGGGTGATCGACGAGAATAAAAACAGGCCAGTTAGCCCATCATGATAAATTCATCAGGAATTAACAATGATAGTTTCCAGGGGGAACCGCGAGGAGGTCGACCTGGTTGGGTATATTGCCAAATCCCTTTCCCCGAACACTCAGGTTGTGCAATAAGTTTTTCCTAAGAGACTACAGCATGGGGTTCTTCAAAAGGGGGGTAAAGAGGTTTTTTCAGGGTCGGCAACGCACATGTAATACCTCTGGTATTGCGGTGTTCATAGGCTACGGTAACCACTTACCATTAGGGGGTTTACTAAGAGCTTTTTAAGCAGGCCTTAAATTCAACTGTCCTGCTAAAACGTACTATGACCGCGTTATAGTAGGCCAGCTACAGGATTATTTGACTGGTATTTCTAAACCATTCTCTTTTTTTTGTATGAACAATTCGTACCATGACGCCCACTTTGACAGCAACAAAACGTTTCTTACGCATCTCTATGTCAAATAAAGCAATGTTGAAAAAGTTAGTTCTTGAGTAACTTTTTATAAATTGTTTTAACATTTGTAGTAGTTTTTGTAAGGATTTAAGTTATTACTTGCTCTGTGGGAGACATTCAGAGTTCAAGTGACCCTTCATTTTACGAATTAAGCCAGAATTTATAAATTTCAAATGGTTTTAAGGCAGGTGGGCCATATACTAGTTTGCCACCTCACTGGTATAAAAAAAAAACATTTAATGCCCGTTCCCATAAAAGACCTTAACTGTAACTAATACTACGAATTCTATTATTACAATCACTGAACTAAATCGTGTATACCGTATATTAGAACAAGAATTCTAATATTAGAAGAAGAATTTCGTGATGTTATCTGTGTCATTTTGAGTCTGTTGTCTTTTCTGTCTGTCATTGTTGTCATTACTAGCAGTATTGCCACATTGAGTATTTTTTTCATAATTTTGAGTAAAACTTTCTTATATTTCGAAATTTTGGGGAAATAACACTACTATATACTATTACACTACTACTAGCAAAATCCTTCTTATGGAGAAGACCTATGTTTAGCACTAGACAGTTAATGGCTAATATGATATAATAAAAAGGCGAGGGGAAAATAAAAACGACCTTTTTTCATTGCTCACTTTGTGGCATATGGCAAACCCCAGTTGAAAAACAATACAAGTTTGTGATTTAATAAAAATTCTGGAAACCGTAACGATTTGGAGAAAAAAATATTTGACGTTTGGGTAAAAGTTAAAATTCGGATCTGTCAACCCTGATTACTTGTGTGTCCTTATTTATTTGTCATTTCATTTCGCATGAAATCCGTGCATATTGTTCACAATTTTATTGTTTTTGTCCTCGTGGTGTCAATTTGATGCATTAATCGTGCCTAATTTAACTTTTAATAAAATTAGCACAACATTTTAATGTAAAAATAAGCAATACGCTTATTGTCTATTTTGCTTCCCGTCGCGTATCACGCATCGCTCACCACAATGGAAAACCTTGATCGTAGTAATAATAAAAACGTGTCGCTAAGTTTAATTGCTGGCTACGGTGAATCGGATTCAGATTCAGATTATACGGAGACCCGGTCTAATACCGGCAATGAAGATTCTGACACGGCGGAACTCAGTGAAATGGTGTTGAAAAATAATATCATAAACGCATGTGCTCACGGTCCTCTGTCAAGAACTATCTTGCGAGATGACGAGGAGACCACTAGGCACATGATTATAGACAGTTCGGAGAGTGGAGTGGTGGAATACGAAGTAACAGAGTACAGAGACTCAAGTGATTCAGACTCTAGTGATTCCAGCAATAGTGATGTAGAATCTGTTAAAGATATAGAAGAAATTTCCAGTGGGTAAGTTTTGACTTGGAATTTTAATTTCACCGGCTGTTAAACTGAAACATAAGTAGTATTTTTTGACTGCAGAAGTATAAATAAGATCAGGGTTCCTGTATAGGCGACTGTCAGTCTTATAATTCTTCAGGAATTGTCCCTCTCATTAACCCAGATATTTTATATTCTATCATTCACAAATAAAACTCTGTACTAAAATGAGGGTAGTTTCAAAATGTTATATATATTTTTTTTTAATGGGTGATAATGGTATGGTAACCCCGTCTGCGCTATTGGTATACGCTGGCGGGGCACCAGTGAGAGATGACAGATGAAGATGAAAGTAGGTCAGTTAGCCCATCCTGACGAATTAAACTAGAATTAGTCACGATGGTTTCCAGGGGAACCACGTGGTCGTGGTCGACCTGACAGGGTATATTGCTAGTAATGGGGCTATTTTGACCCCATTATTAACAATCCCTTTCCCCCCTAAAATGTCATATTACTGTGGTTATTTTATACTAGTATGAAACTATAAAAACAGGTTCAATCATTATACTTGTTTTCTGAATCAGTTTTATTTGCTTAATAATAATTCTATTGAGTATGCTGGTTACAAAGAGAACTATAGTCTATTTTTTCTAGTCTGATAATATCTGTCTCTATACTGATGTTATAAAAAGGAAAGATTGGATTTTTTGTTTGTGATGAATGAATAATCAATTTTAAAAGTTCTATTACCTATTGAAAACTACATTATCAGCGAGTAATATAAGCTGTATTTTATGTAATTTTAATAATACATTAATTTATCATTCTACCGACCTACTTGTGCGAAGCAGGTGTGGGTAGTTGTGGAAGCAGTTGTAAGTCATATAATAAAATATTAGAAAAAATAATTGAGATGTGTATAAATTCTGTCATTAATTCATGCTTATCTCTAAAACTACTCAGTCGAGTTTAATGAAATCTTGTAAATATGTATTATTTGCTCATAAGATAGTCTATTTTATGTGTAGAAAAAGAACTCAGTAGGCAATGGGACAAAACACTGTTTATTGGGTTAGCTATATTATAAGTTAATGAAATGAACAACAACGTTGTGTACATTTATAATTTAAGCTTTGTTATGAAATACTAATTTTAGTCATGCCTATTTGTTTCTCTATGTTAGTGTGTCTAAACTACAGAATTTATTAAGAAATAAATGTTTTTTTTTTTGGACATTACTTTCATCCATTTACTGTCTAAAATTGGCATTAAAATTCTTAAATCCAAAAACCTTTAGTTTCTATCAAGAAATTACATTCTAGGACTACAACACTCCACTTCTAAACCACATGGAGGGTTTTAATAGGAGTATCACTATCATTTAGACTTTTTTTTTCACAATGTTATATTTATTTAAAATAAAACTTTATTACACCATTCACAAAGATAATAAATATGGTCAAATTTAGTATGTACAATATATCACAATAAATGTTTGTATAAGTAAAATTAGGATAGGTCACTAATTGCCAGGTATTTGTTGCTTTGTTCCTTATAACACAGGTATCCTAGCTTGATAACCAGGTGATTCGTGTGGCATTTTTTATTATTGTTATATATTAAAATAATTCATTGCAGAGATGAGGATCCAGTCAATCGTAGTGGAAAGTTGGAACCGCCGCGAGTTCTAGGCGAACTCGAGCTGGATGACCTTCCGCCGATCGAAGATCTTGCCATCAGCTTGCCAGAACAGGAAACCACCAAGATCGGCACAATCGCTAGCATCGTTGATCGATTAGGTAACATATTAATCAATTATTTTTGATTCCACATATTTGTACCAAGGACTGCTATTTGTAGCAGATTTTTAACATTTTACGGTAACAAGAGAACACATTTGACTTGCATAACAGAAATACCAGAGAGACTTTGTACAAAAGTCGTTTACTTGGCTACCATGGCTATGTTTCAGTTTGAAGGATGAAGGGTAGTGAATTTGCAGAGTACAGAGGTATAGCACCTAAGTCCTCAGGAATAGCAAAGCATGGGGGTATAATGGGTGAAACAGTATACTTAGTTATGTTCATGTCTATAGGCGACATTTACTATTTTCCATCAGATGGGGCCATCAGCTTGTTTGTCATTCTAAATTGCATAAAAAATTATTTTGACCTATTGTTTGGCAAATTATTTCACTTCTGTCTGTCTCTATTACTTCTCCTCTAAAATAAAAAAAAAAAAAAAAAAATTACAGTGCATGCTAGAAAATAAGCATTATAAGTTTTTTGATACCATTGGGCGGTATTGGAAATATCCATCTGTTAGAAAGTGGAACGTCGCCTATACATATGAATAACTGAACCAAACTAAGTATGGAAATTACAGTATAGATCGTTGTAAATAGATACTTTTTAGTGTTTCCTCCAAGACATTTCGTTAGTAAACTCATTATAGACACACCAACAAGAAAAGATTACATGAGAAAACAATGGGCGGCATTATCGGTAAAAGAGAGCTTTTCCAGGCAACCTTTGGTTGAAGAAGTTTCACCCAAGACACGAAAATGTTCGTTTTATTGTAAATACATATTGAGAAATAATATATATCTATACTGTACTATCTATACCAAGGCAAAAATTATATTGTTATGTCTTTTGTGGTATATAAAAATCAAATTTGTGAATTTAGGTCAATATTTAAAGTTTAAATACATTTATTTTATACTATTATGAAATAAGAAAAAATATTTATCAATCACTATTATAAATATGAGTAGTTTTCATATAATGTTTATGGTTTAATATATATGCTCGAAATTGTCATAAAACTGTCAGTTTATCAAAGTAATGTATTCTTAAATGTCTTAATATTTGGATGTATTCCAACAGATACATGGCAAAGTTAATAGATTGTATTATATGTACAAGGTAAAATGTAGGTATTCCTAAATGAGTGCGTACTCGAAAATAAAGCTTGTGTTCCACAAAAAATACTTCAATTGTGACAAAACCAGCCTTTTTTTTATAATTTTAAAACTAAACTACTGATTTTGATAAAATTTCTATGACACCAATCTGCAATATACTTTCAAATAAAAATAATTTTTAAATCGATTTAGAACTGACGGATTTATCAGGTAATAAACATAAAAAAATACAACTGATGGAGAACCTCCTTCTTAAAGTCGGTTAAAAAGAAATTGGTATTCACTTGCATTGCAGTGTCTATGTGCTTTTTTTATTATGGAATTATAAATAAAACTATTAACGTTGAAGAGATTGTTAACAATGGGGAGGATTATTGCTAACAATTCAAACCCTGTCAGATCCTGATGAATTCATCACAATAAAACAATGTACCGGTTTCCATCAGGTGGCAATCAGCTCGTTTGCCATTCAGTCTCATTAAAAAAGATATTTCAATTATCTATTAAAATACTTCATCGTATATTGGTATGTTTAAAGACTGTTTTTTTTTTTGTGAATCAAAATGCTTTTTATTTCAATAAGAAATAAGTAAAATCTCTGTCTCTTGTATATATCTCATTTCTGTGGTAACTTCTGGAAATTCTCGTAATGTACGCTTGTATAATAACCATTTCAATAAAAGTCACTAATGTACATATAAATTTTTGATTGTCAATTTAGCTTTATTTATGAGTATATCTCTTGCTATCCGTTTTGTTATTGTAATCATATTGAGGCCAGGTTAAATATTTGCGTACTCAACACATCTTTTGTATTAACTCGATGTCTTTTTATGCATATTATTTGTAGCTCTTTGTTAGCCATTAATCATATTTATTGTTTGATATTCTATAATTTCGTACCGAATAGACATTTTTACATTAGCTGTATCTAAACGTCCCTCGTTTATTAGGATAAAAATTTCTATATTTTTTTTGCTTGCTTTTCGTTCTAATTATGTTAATATTTAACACTTTATTGCACCAACATAACAGGATTTGTTGAACAATTTTCAATACGTATAGTGTAGTACAAAAGGCGGTCTTATTGCTACCATCACGTATAGACATGAACAGCACCATGAACTACACAGGAAAAACTGTGGTGCTCAAAATATTATTCGTGCGTTTCCATTCCTATGAACTATGACTCGGTGCCTTGTTATTTCACTGTTAATTTAGAATACCTTTACAAAGTTTAGTAGGATTCATACACTAAATGTAATGCAACTTTAGACATGTATTTTTTTTTCAGTAATTGTCCGTTCCTTTCCTGATACACCTGCAGTGGATCTGGACAGCATTCTCTTCTTGGATAACGGGGCGAAAACGCTAGGAAAAGTGTTCGACGTATTTGGTCCTGTAAGTGTGATTCTTTGTTATATAGAGTGAAAATGAAGCTTATGGTTCGCCTGATGGTAAACGGTTACAGCAGCCCATGATTTGTCTTTGATTTCGACTCTAGAAGAAAAGACGTTATTAGTAATGGAGATGGGGTCTAACAGCCCTATAGCTAGCAATAAACCCTTTCAGGTCAACCTCCTCACGGTTCCTTTTGGAAACCATCGTGGTTGATTCTAGTCGAATTCCTTACGATGGGTTAACTAATTTGCTTTCATTCTCATCTTTATCACTTTTCACTGGTGCCATACCAGCATACACCGATAGCGAAGGTGGAATTAACATTTCATTACCATCTATTAAAAAAAAAATTAATGGAACCGCTGGTATCCACTAGTAACAATCCCCCCTCCTCCTTTCTTTTTTTTTTACAACACAGGGGGCAAACGAGCATGCGGCTCACCTGATGGTAAGTGACTACCGCCGCCCATGATCGCTCACAACACCAACGGCAATGCAGGTGTGCTGCCGGCCTTTTAAAAGAAAATATGCTCTTTTCTTGAAGGTTATGTTGTCGTATCGGTTCGGAAATACTGCTGCTGGAAGTTGATTTTATATGAATATAAAAATATATATTTATATGTTTACCCAATACAAAAAATATTTTGTTGTACACTTTCTCTTATAGTAATCAAATGTTAGTTGGTAATAAATTACATAATATACTATGCCAAATAGATTTATAAATATTAAAGAGGTTATGCGCCAATAAAAGTGAAGGGCACAGCGAATGATTGATTGTGTTGGGTATATGTCCGAATCGAGTACTGAATATTTAACGACATATATAATAATAATAATAAAATAGAGAATATTATGACGATGTGGCATGACAAGTTCTCAACACTTGTTTTTACAAACATACCTAAATAATTCTTTGATAATATTAATAAAATTAAGGTGTGGTTACTTGGAAAAGAATTCGTAGTTAATTCAAAGTGAATTTGCGACGGGGCAATTTACCTGACTTTGTCCTTTCCCATCAATAAATACATCTTAGGAACCTAGAGTAAAAAAATAAAGTTATAACGCCAGGTTCCTTATGGGTAAGGTATAGAGAATTGAATCAATCTCGTTGATAAGTATAATTGCGTTTGCAGGTAACCGAGCCCCACTACTGCGTACGGTTCAATTCCCAGGAGCATGTGAAGGAGCGCGGCATACAAACCGGCCTCGATGTGTACATAGCGCCGCGCTCCCAACACACCAGCTACGTATTCCTCAGCGAGCTCATGAAGTGAGTCTACACGTTGTAATACCACCACAGATTCGCACTACCGGTATATGTATAATTACCAGAGGGGAGTGTATAAAAGTCGTTTGCTTGGGCACCTCTGTCCCATTCGTGTTTCTACCGTGAAGTAGTTGTGTTTGCATAGCTGTGTTTCGGTTTGAAGGGTGGAATGTGACAGTAAATTTACAGGGTACAGAGGAATAACACCCCGAGTCCTCAGGAATGGCTACGCATAGAAGGGAACCATGTGCGAAACAGTATACTCTGTTATGTCCATGGTACTGCTCATGTCTATAGGCGACGGTGTCTATTACCACTTTCCATCAGGTGGACCGTCAGCTTGTTTGCCATTCTAAGTTGTATAAAAAACTAATAATACCACAAGCTTGAATATATTATAATATAATAGATGCCGTTACTTTGCGTGTTGATTTTTGAATGAATAAATGAAAATTTATTTAGTTAATCCACAACTTAGATTGCAGTAATAACAGCTTAGTATAAAATAGTAAAAAGATATATTTGCAATATAACATAGTTAAATTTCGGTCAGTGTCATAGAAATTAAATAGGATGCTATAAAGTTCCTGTAGAAGAAGCAACGCCGATTTTCAAATGGCTTATTTTGCCTTAAACAAATTAGAGTCTAATCAATATGAGAAAACATGTTTGTATAAACAAAATAAATGTTGGTTAATATATAAGTATCAGAAATGTTCATCTTTATTTAACAGCGTCCAATATTATTGTTGCATACATACTCGTACATACATATCTGTCACGCCTGTCTCCCATTAGGGTAGGCAGAAACAATGAAACGCCAAATGCTTCGATTCAAACAAACCTCTTTCGCTTCTTCCACATTCATCAATCTTTTCATACACACTCACCGGTTACGGGTACTTTTAATTTGGCCCTTCTTCAGCACGTCGCCTATTTGGTCTACATACTCCGTCCGTCTAGGGTGACCTCTACCGACATCTCCATTCATTTTTGCTCCATAAATCTCTTTCGTAATTCTTCCTGCCTGCCAAAAGGTTGCCTGGAAGAGATCGCTCTTAGCGATAAGGTCGCCCATTGTTTTCTCATTGTGATTATTTATAATTATTTATATTTATAATAAGTTTACTATTGTAATCTTTTGGAGGAAACAATAAAGAGTATCTATCTATCTTCTTTCATCCATCCTCTCCAAATGGCCAAACCAACGTTTAATTATTGTTGCTATATCATATAATGCAAGTGTATATAGAATGTGTTAAGGTCTTACAAATATCTGTTGAATAAGAGACTGATTTATTAATTAAGGTCATTAATTACAGATTAAAAGGCTCCGACGCATCATGGCGGAATGATATAGAACCTCCGCCGAATCAGATCGACTACTCCGACGACGAAGAAGAGAGGAAGGCAAACAGAGCGAGAAAAGAACAAAACAAATTGAACAAAGAGAGAGGAGAAGAAAATTCCGAGAATGGAGAACCCTCGAAGAATCGGAAGCCTCCCGAGACGAGGCGAAATCAACGACCGTCAGAATCGAGCAGCAGATTCGGTAGCGGACCTAGTAGAGGCCGAAACCCATTCGCTGCTGGTTCCAGGAGAAATAATCCCAACTCTTTCCCGAGATTTGCTCGGCCGTGGCTCGCCAACATGGATATGAGAACGCCCCCACATCCCAATGATCCCGGCGGTCACCCTCCATTCAGCGCGCCACCATTTTCACCCAATATTCCACCAATGTTCCCACCTTTCAACCCAGGTACTCCTCCCCCTCTTATGGGCAACGCATTTCAGTTTGGCGGGAACCCTCGGATGCATGGCCCAATTCCTCCCATGGGAATATCTCCATTCAGGCATGGGGTGCCTGTGTTTGGTGCTAACTTTTGCAACGTCGCCGGTCCACAACCCCAATGGGTGAATAACGGTCTCCCGCCTCCACCAGGGACCTAATTACACGCACATAGTTTAAATTCGTTTTAAGGTTTATCTCCTAATAATAGTCTGTAGAATCGTTTAACTATGCTAAAGTGTGGCCACCCAAAAATATATTTATATTTATATGGATAAATAAAAACTATAGCAGTACTATGTCTTTACTTTTCCCTTCATATCACTGTACCCTAGAAAGAATAATATAAATACCAGTTGCTGTGTAGCAACGCTTTTTTTCCTGTGGGTGTCGTAAGAGGCGACTAAGAGGGGAAAAGGGATTGTTAGTAATGAAGACAGAATCCCATTGCTAGCAATATACCCAACCAGGTCGACCTCCTCGCGGTTCTCCCTGGAAACTATCATGGTCAATTTCTGAAGAATTCATCATGATGAGCCAACTGGCCTGTTTTCATTCTCACCCATTACCCTTCACTGGTACTCCGCCAGCATATCCCGTTAGCTCAGGGGGGGTTACCATATCATTTTCACCCATCAAAAAAAAAAGAGGCGACTAAGGGAGCCATGGTGGAAGGATAGGCAGCAACATCAAAAGCCAAACTGCGGTTGCCAACCCGCCTGCCTAAAATTGACAACAACTGGCAACTCCCTCTCCCCCCATGCGAGACGCTATGTTCAGCAGTGAACAATTGGCAGCTGATACAATACAAAATATCCTATTTACATCAAAATGCCCGAAATTTTGGAAATAAATCCTGATATCTTCACCTATTATATCTTTCGGGGCAAGAGGTAAACGAATCTATCGGTAAACATGAAAAAGAACACTACGATAGTGCTATTTTCTTGGTAAACTTTTGTATTCTATAGAAAAATATTTGGGAATCGGAAAAATTAAAGTCTAATAAAATTTTGTGATTTCTTTATTAAATATTTCATTGTTAGAAATTAACTAACGATCGAAATTGATAAATGTTAAAATAATAAAAAAAAAGTTCATAATAATAAAGATTACATCTAAAAAATACTGCTCTTGGACTATGCAGAACGAAACACTTGATATTATTTCTGCTGCCCTTAAATTGACGATTCGTCAACGAAACTGGATTAAAGATAATTTAAAAAAAAAATAATAATTTTGCACTCACATGATCACAACGTAAAATGATAGACATTTCACAATACAGGAATATAAAACTCGTTCGTTCTTAAAACTAAAAATTAATTTATCGCCAAATATGCATAAAGCTAACCTCAACTACACGACTGTAGAATCTATAAATTTGGGATGCGTCCACAAATAGCCTGGACTTGTAAGCATTCAACATTGGAGATGGCTCTTCACATGTACATATTATATTTTCTATTATATTTTTGTGTGAAAAAGAAAGAATAGTGTAGTAATATATAATATAAAGAGGTCTTGATAGTCGGACACGTATTTGAATTTTCCAATAAGACTATTATTGATAATTTATAAAAAAAAAAAAAAAAATTAACACGTATCAATCGATAGTCCCCAAACTAGGATAAAGCATATCAAAAAAACAGTATAATAACCATTCATGGTCATAATACAAAACATTCAGATCAGAGGCAATTTATGTTGTTAAAACCCATAGAGAATCAATCCTGGGTCTAACTATACGCGTGGCGGTGACCATAACTGGGCTTTATAATCGGCGACTCCAATGTTGAATACTTAAAAGGGTACAGGGTAACGTTTGCTTTATTCTCTCTCAAGTACCCCCTTACTTATAAATATTATATAAATCGCTAATTAATACGTAGTCTTTTTTATATGCAAATAGGTACTCACCGATTACAGAGTAGTCATGATTTTTATAAGTATGGGGATAATGTTCAGCCTAGAGAGGATCGGTACACAAATTCATCACTAACTATATTATTATAAATACCTAAGAAAACAACGTTTTCTATCTAATTAATGTAAGGAAGCATTCTGTGATTTCATCATTAAGTTGTATACATAACCAAATTGATTCGTGGACACTCCCAATAAATATAAATAATAAAATCAACATATTAATAGATACACATACGCTACAGAAACTAAAGTTAAGCCAAGGCTACACAGTGAATATTTGATTACCTAAAATAATAAAACTTATATATAAATTATACTTATATAATCATTAATAAAATCCCGTTTTTTCATATGACACTTGTAGATTTAATACATAATATTGATTTTTGCCTTGGTTTAAAATTTGTTTATGTATGACTGGCACTATGAGAGATTCAACTGCACTATAAAGGCGTGGCCCCACCGCGCACATTCGGAGCGTAAATCTTTTGTTCACAATTGAGATAAAAGTGCAGCCACACTGGCGTTGAGGAAATGTGGGTACAATGTAATGAAATACAACACAATGTATATAAAATATTATAAAAACAAAATTATCATAAGCCTGCGAAATCGCCTTGTCAACTTACTACTCATTGGCTCACGACAAAAGTCACTCATGTGCTTAACAAAATAAAATCCTATATTCCATTTTGATAGACAAAAAACCACGCCGAGATTGTCCTTCTCTCCGCAGACCACTATACATACAAATTTGGTTTTGATCGGTTATAAAATATTAAAAATAGTACGTACTGAAGTTATAATAAGTATAAAATACTCACTTTTTATATTAAATCACAGAAATATATAAGAGTATAAACAGTTTGATGTACTTTATCTCTCATTGCACCGTAGCACCGTTCTGATAATACGACACACCAATAAAAATTTAAATATAAATGCAATATTCCGGCGAGCATTCCTCAAACATGCCTATAAATAATCCAACTTCCATCATATTGCCAAATTGTAAGACAGATCCACGAGTCATCGCATTTTTGTTATATGAATCTACTATACATTTCAAAGCGACACTTGGGTCGATTCTGAAGCACCATTTCTCCCAACTTATGTCTTTACTTAATATATTAATTTGATGGATTCTCGAAGTTACTTTTCTATGGACCATTCGAAACTAAATTTATAATAATTTTGACTAAAATATATTAGAAATTTAGTCCATATCGGTCTTTAGAATAAGAATTTCGATGTGATATCAAATTGAAATTTTAATTTTATAGATAGATTTAAAGAAACTGTGCCTCATAAATGACCCAGGCTATAAGAAGTCATTCTTTCCTAATCACAAAGGAATAAAAAAAAAATCTACACCTTGTCTTTTTTTATTTTACCTATTTATATAGAAAAGTAAAACTGTAGTCTTATTAATAAATGATATTATTAAATTGGCTCACTGAGAAAGTAATAAATTGCTAAAAATTTCCAATTATGGCATATTAGTTAATTTTAAACTTTGGCGTTGTTTACACATATACTATTCACTCGTCCTGTCGTGATCACGACGTGGTGCAATCCACGTCTAAACGTCGGCAATAAAGAAGCAGGTATGTTATACCTGCAAAATTTTTTATCGCTCTAAGTCCCGATAGTGTATTTATATAGCAAACTAATCTATTTTCAGATACATTTACGCTACCACATGCATGTGATAGAACAAGACAGTAATGTCGTCGACGTCTTTTTCTTTCTAATGCATGCGGTGAACGTATTTAAAAATATAAGGTGAAATTTAAATCGTTAGCATCCTTTTGAGCGAGCGTTCTTCTATTAATAACACTAAACATTTTTACCTGGAAACTTAAGTCGAAAAACAGCAATAAAAACTATTTTTCCATACTAATCTGACAGATGGATACATATTATTAGTATGGGTGGTGGACATGAGTAATATTGGCACCGTCCCGATATTTAGATATTAGGATCTTCTGGATATTGATGGCGAAAAAACAAGATCATTACTCATTTCGATATCGCCCAATTACCAGTCGGATATCGATTAATTTCGATTGTGTTCTTTATTTAAATATTATCTATTGGCTAACCAATATTTATTATATCCGTTATTGGGCCAATATACATATATTACATACATATCTTTCACGCCTGTATAGATATTGAAGTACAATATATATTTATTGGGGGGAAAGGGATTGTTAGCAATGGAGTTCGACATTGCTAGCAATATCAGGTCGACCTCCTAATGGTTCCCCCTGGAAACCATCGTGAACAATTCTCGTTGAATTCGTCACGATGGGCTAACTGACCTGCTTCATCCTCATCTATCATCCCTCACTGGTGCCCCGCCAGTGTATACCAATAGCGCGGGTGGGGTTACCATTTCATTATCACCCATTTAAAAAAATATATATATATTTATTGGGGGGAAAGGGATTGGTAATAATGAGATTTAACAACCCCATTGCTAGCAATATACCCTATCAGATCGACCTCCACGCGGTTCCCCTTGGAAACCATAGTGGTTAATTCTTGTTCAATTGATCACTACGGGCCAACTGACCTGTCTTCATCCTCACCTGTCACCCTTCACTGGCAGCCTGCCAGCGTATACCGATAACGCAGGCGGGGCTACCATTTCACCATTCACTTATAAATAAAAAAATATATATTTATTACTATATACTATTCAACTCCAATGTTTGTTTCATGTTTCTTTGAGCAAAGCTTTTTAGTTTCACAGATAGAACACTAGCGATGCTAAGGATCTATTGTAGCCTCGTTTGCCGTTTACCGACAAGGCAAGGTGTAGTTTGAGAACCAAAATATATGTGGAATTTTGCCTCGTGGATCGAGAAACTAAGGGTATATAAACTTAACGTCAACATAGAGCCAATAAGGCTTATAACACAACTAAGTTCAGACGTCTAACACTATGCCAGATTGTATAAATACGACTACGATATAGGGAGTAACTGATCGTGTAATATTTCCATTATAAAAATACAGATTCCTATATTAAATTAATTTCTCAATAAGCTTAGCTTGCCGTCTGAGACTCGTAACTTCTATTGCCTCTACAGGGCTCACACCAGACATACAAAAACACGAAAAAAAAAATCAAATCGCACGTAATAGAAAACGGATCCGAGCAGTCTTCTATTAAAACACGAAAATATCCGTGAACGTAAATTATTTTAAAACGATTCGAAATCATACCAACTAATAGTGAACCACTAAACATAATTTGATCGTATGTAAAATTAAAAACTTAACGCTAAACTATTAAAAGAAAATTAAATTACGCCTCCTCTACTCTAGTATTTGTAGGATTATAATTTTGTATCGATTACAAGTTAGGAACTATTCTACTGTACAGATTATATAAAGAAATTATGTCAAGACTGTTAATACTTTCCAGGCGTCGATATCCCAAAAGCGGAATACATTGCGCGAGTTCACGTCCGACAAAGTTCTGTCAATACATCGAGCGAGGAACTAACGGGGGGTTTTGGATCTATAAAAATATAAGAGAACCTGCCAACTTGGCTGTTTCACAGCCTCCTCGAATGGCTACTAGCTGTCTGACCGTGGGGTTTATATTATATTGCATCATATTATTATAATATATAATTATTATATTATATAAGTACTACGATACGTTAATCATTGCTTTTACAGGCAAAACGATTAAAGAAATATATATGTTAATACACATTATGTTCATACAATATGTTTCTGCTAAAATAAGTAGCTTACATCGTATCACTTGTTAGTGTGGTGTTGCCGAGTTTTAATATTTAGAATATTAAGTTTTATCTAAGACACTACTTTCTACTATCTAGTATTCACAGAGAATGATACAGATAAGAACATAGAAAGGCGAGAAACAGCGTGCGCTCACTACACGACTCATCGTACATACTATAAATTATAATCGAGACTTACAAATTAAATAGACAGCCGGTGAGACGACGCGTAACAAGACAATACACCTCGACGGGTTCAGTACACGTCTCCCGCTACTAAAATATCAGATCCAAGATTGTGGAGAGAGAAACCGAACGGCGAGCGTACACGCCTGCGTGCCGACACTGGAGGCAACCCTCCGAGTGCACACATTAATATAAAACACTGCGTATCTATTATTAGTTTCACTGTAATAACATTGTCGTAAATATGCTGCCTCTATGTAGATTTTCGCAAAATATTACACATCTATAAGTAATCATTTACATAACACGATGTTCTACATGAAGTGCATGTAACATACAGCGAAGTCACGTGAAATGCGTCCACTTGAAATATATAATACTATATTATTTTTTTTTTTATTAAATAAAAATTATTTCGCGTACCATTAAGCAGTCTTCCACAGAATGCATTGTATAAATGCAATTTGCAATGCACACTGATTTGTAATGTATCCCTTATTACGACTATAAAATTATTTATTCTTCTAAAATATATATTTGTATAACTATGGTTTACATTCATGTAAAACATCGTTCTAAGTTGTGACGAATCGATTTGTTATGTCGAGTACGATTTACACCGGACGGCGTCGCGACACGCCTTCGGTGTAAATCGTACTGCCACTATAGTCGATTAAATTGAGTATCACTGTTGAATAAAGTAAAGCTTATGGCATTATGGTACGTTCTCGAATAAATTAATCACCACCAATTAAATGCACATCTCGACAGTCACTTGAATTATTCTCAAATGTTAAAGCGAAGTTTTCACTCATTGTAGTAGCATTACACAATCTTAATTCTTATTAAATATTACATTTAAGACACTATAAGTCATAATTGCGCGGAAAGCCTTATTTACAGACATTCCAATGCAGTTAAAATTAATATATTCGACGTGATTAACATTACTCTATGTATAAAATGTCGATATTGCCGCGGCAATACAACAGCACTTTGAAGAATCGATTTATAGGAAACAGTTATTTCAATGCCTATCTACAAGGCATGAGTTTAATAATAAAATTTATATAAAATATAACAGAAAGAGTACAGAGTTTAGATTTTATTAAACTGAACTTTTCATAAGGAGAAGAGTCGAATAAAAAATTGGCTCTTCATATAAAAGCGCTCATGCAATATACAATTTTATATTTCATGCATTTTTTCCTTACAAGAGTTCAGTTTATTAATATCATTACTTAATACTCTTTCTGTTATACGGTACGTTTATAGTATAAATAAAATTAAATACTTGCGAGCAATGTAGTGATGAACAATCACACGCAAATATCACGTGAATGCTACCACAATAATACTTTTATTACTACATATTATATCTACCCTCCATTTAGGAGAACGCAATACATTACTATCATTTTTATGAAAAAAAAAAACGCTGCCAAAATTCCAGCAGCTGTCTAAAATTAGACTAATAAACTGCCATTTTGCACTTACAAGAGTATGTACACTTTTGCATGCCAGGTACAGACAGAAAATTCATTGAACACTTATAAACCCTACGCTGCAATAAGGCCCGAAATTGGTGAAACGTGTCCAGCTTTTGTTGCTGATCGTACAGTATTTTCCATGGTAATTGTAATACTAAAATATGTTTAATATACCGTTACAAAATAAAAAAAAAAAAACAGTCATCGAACGATGCTCACCTCGGAAGCATGGAATACTCAATTGCGTTCCCTTGACAAAGGATAGACGATGTATAGGCCATATTATGTGTTCTCCACCGGTCTTATGGTGCAGTCCCCGACTGTAGTTATAGGCGTGATGGTGACCGAGCTGGGCGTCGAGGCGGGCACCGAGTTCGTTTCCGCTACCTGCTCCATTTTCTCCTCCTTGTCTTCATTGTTCGGTGGTAGCTTCACAATCTGACAGTCGCCGACAGTCATGATCTGCGTTTCCATGGCAACGGGCGGCACGTTCTCTTCTGGCTCTACTCGTGAGTCGTCATCGTCAGTGGAGGAATCTGAGACGTCAATGGTCCGGTCGTGGGACGACTCCGCGTTCATACCTTGATCGGCGTCGACATTACGATCCGGGTCCACGCTCGTCACGCCGTATCCGAACGCCAGTGGGTTGTATATCATTTCCGTGAGGTACGAGAAATCTCCGAAGGGTAGGTTTGTTGCATTGTAGTTCTCGTTGGGTCGTCCATCTGTAAATAATACAAAGAAAGAAACATTAACATATATTTATTGAACAGAATATTTTTAGTATCTAACTACTTGCTACGACTATGATTATCATATACAATTGTCTACTTAATTATATATACTTGAATACATAATTTAATATAAATATAATGTTATGTAATATAAAGCAAAGCAGGCGTGTTAATAATACGTATCGTATTAAAATATATAATATTGTTAAATAATGTCATCTGAAATAAAACTACAAATAGATCTAAAGATAAAGAGTTGCCAGATGCGAATTTTAATATTTACCTTTACGCCCTATATTTTTTCTCCAAATTGATGCGATTTTAAGGACTTTTACCTCCAATCACACAATGTTTTATCGCTTTTGACTACGAATTGCCATGTGCCATAAAGTAAACTAGAAAAAAATCTTTCTCTCCTTCGCTTATCCCATTCTTTGTTTATTTACCTTCATTAATATTTTACTGTATTTGTATGCCTCTATATAATTTGTAAAATACCAAAATTGTCCAAAAAAATTACCCAAATTTCTCAATACTCATTTCACTTTTCTTCGAGAATTTAATTTTATTTAAAATTTCGCGAACAGAAAAAGATTTAGCCAAAAATATGAAAAAATATACCCAATCTGGCAACACTGCTAAACATACTACGCCTACCCGACACCAAAACAAACTACATTCGATTTTACGGATTTACAAAATTATTATAGTTTTGTTCTAAAATTACACATTCATTACGACTTTGTCTTAATTGTGCATATCATAATCAAAGTGCATTATTTTAGTATCTACTCCTCTGATTCTACTCTCGTTCACTCTCAAAAATACTTGTACATTACTATAATTAAAAAATAAACAATTCGGTCAAATTCACTTCACAGTAGCAGTAACAGTCATTGCAAGCAATATATCTTGTCAGGTCGACGCAGTTCCCCTGGAAATCATCGTAGTTAATTTTTACCAAACAAGTCTGTTTAAAAATCTTTTAAAAAAATAAGCTTTTGTAATGTAAATCCATTATTTTGTGATTGCAACTATTTTAAAATTATGCCCTAAAGGGCATTATAAATAATATCGTTACCAAGGATAAAGTTTCTGCCTTTACTGAAGAGTCTTAGTAATATCCAGCTGAAGATTTTCACAAAAAATCAAAAAAAGTATCAAAAATTATTTTGTATTGTGCTAATATATTTTTTTTTTTGGGGGAAAGGGATTGTTAATAATGGAGACTAAATCCCATTGCTAGCAATATGCCCAACCAGGTCGACTCCCTCGCGGTTCTCCCTGGAAACTATCATGGTTAATTCCTAATGAATTCATCATTATGGGCTAACTGGCCTGTTTTCATTCTCATCGATCATCCTTCACTGGTGCTCCGCCAGCGTATCCCATTAGCGCAGGCGGAGTTACCATTTCATTTTCACCCATAAAAAAAAAAAACTTTTATACAACTTAAAAAAAAAATACAATGAATTTTCAAGAGTGAACCTTGCAAACAAATACCGATTAGTACAGTCGACTGTTCCCAGAATGTTTAATTATCAACAATTTTGTCATGCTACTGTTGTGATTGGTACTAACAAATGTTGTTCAATTCGGCGGCTAGTCCGTACTGCATCGGTATATCCATACCTAGGGACAGACTCGCGGTTAGCACAACACACAAGCGTTCGGCGAATAGACACGTATCTAGAGCGATGACTATAAAAGCATGGTACTATTCTCTTGTTGTCTCAAAATATATACATGTGGGATACTAATGTGTAACGGAATGATCAATAATTGAATATAAATGTTATATGCATAGATTGGAACGTTAATTATAAAAAAAATGGAATGAAAGAAGAATGGTTCGAATTTCAAACGCGACGAGTCAACAGTTCCGATAGAGTAATATACTCCTAAGAATTTAAATGTATCATATCTGGTCATTGACCTATTATACTTTCATATTTTACGTGTCAGACATTTGAGTCGAACAAAATTTGAAACATAAATTATATTTTTTTTACTAATGCACAATTTCTGGGAAATATTAGCAAAAACAAGAGAATATTCCAACGGGCAATGTATATTAGAAGCAATGAGGCGTACAAAAATACGGTATACATTCACACACAAACACACACACTGACTGCAAACAAAAACACATAATAGCAGTGAGTCATATATATACACATATATTATACAAGTTACCATTATTCATCTAACAAAAACGTCTCAGTTGAGTCACTGACTTATTAACAAAATGATGGAGTCAATTAAATGTTCCGTGGATAAATAAATTGGAGAGTAGCGAAACGGTGTGAAGCAAATAAAATACACAAAACAAGTTTGATAAATTATGATTATATACAGATAGAAATCAGAAAAATTATACACTTAAAATTAAATGATGGATGAATTAGATATCGTTCCATATTTAGCTGTATGTAATATATTTATAGTAAATATATAACAAAAAATATCGTGTTATATATTTATTGTTATTGTATATTTGTTTATTGTTATATATTAAAAACAATTTTTTCTATTAATTTAAAATACGCCTACCCTAATGGGAGACAGGCGTGACTGATATGTACGTATATATATAATTCAAAAGCGCCCATAGTCTAGATGCGACCATAGATAGATATCTAGATGATAGATGGGGTAGATTCCGTAACATCGTTCTCTATGTTTATCTCTAAAACAAGAAATTTCTAAAGACTAGACTGAACTAAATTTATAATAGATTTTACAGTTATAATCAACATTCTCGTACATTGAATTTCTTGAGGACATTTTTTACCCTACTCTGTGTAAAGTTATGTTACAGGCTTTCCCTCGATTTATGTCTATCAAGGACTTTTTTAATCCATTTTTATACTATATTACTATTCCCCCTTTTTTGCTCTTTCATACTTTACATTCTCCAGCTTGACATATAGTGAAATCAATTTAAAAATAAAATTTTAGAGACAACTTTAGAAATTGGCATATCAGCCGCAGGACATACCGGGTCTGGGCAGCAGGTAGTTCTTTGGCGGGCGGCCGCGCTTGCGCTTCAGCAGCAGTTGTTGCTGGCCAGCCGACATGTGCGACATGTGCTGCGGGCTGGGGCCCATCACCGACCCACTCGTCAGCACGCACCCCTCCATATCTGTCGAGAAGGGGTGGAGAGATGGAAGATTAAAAAAATAATTTTTAACTCTGCTCAGTAAGAAGTAGCCATAAAAGTTTTTCTGTTGTGTAGCAGCTGTATTTTGGTTTGAAGGGTGGGACATTGAACTGAAATTACAGACAGATGCATACTATCCTAATGTCCTCAGGAAAGGCAACGTATTCATTGTATCATGGCCTTTAAAGTGCACTCTGTAATATCCATGGTGTTGTTCATGACTAAAAGTGACAGTTACCATATTCTATCAGCTGACGGGTGATAGACGAAGGATGGCGACGATCAGGCGATCAGGATGGCGGACCGGTGACTAAAATCTCTCAATTTGGAGAAAACAATATATATCTACAAATTTGACCTTCGTAACATTTCGTTTATTAAAACTTGTTTAACGGTTTCAGAGATTAACGTGAACAAACACAGCTATGTGGAATTTTTTTATATCAAGGTTTATATTGCGTTACCTAGCGAAGTTTTAGGAGGCCGGCCCCTCTTCTTCTTGATCTTCGGCGTGAGAGGCAGCGGGGTCTTCCTGGGTCGCCCCCGGCCTCTCCTCGGGGGGTCCACCAGGTCCCCCGGGTGGATCTCATTCCTGACTGGCTCCAGCGTGGAGTTCAGCACCACCGCGTTGGTGGAGGAGCGCGGCGGGAGCATCACGTCTCCGCTGGGAGTGAACACCAGGTGGCCGGACTCCCGGTGGGTCGTCCGCACCATCCCCGACATCACCTCGGAGCTGTTCTCACGTTTCCCGCCCGACGACTCGTTTGCCATATCCACAGTTGGGTCCTCCTGGAAACGTTGCTACAAATTAATATCCCCCTTGGGGGGTTTTGTCAGTAGTTGCCACGCTTGGCAGGCGAATTGGCAACCGCAGTTAGGCTTTAGATATGTTTTAAGAGGTACGCTGCTGCCCATCCCTCGTCGTCCTTTAGTCGCCTCTTACGACACCCACGGGAAAGAAAGGTTCTCCAGAGGGGGACTTTGTACAAAAGTATTCATGTGTACTGGTGACGGTTACCATATTATCACTTTTCATAATATGCATCACCAACTTATTATTGCAAGTAGTATAAAATAATATTTTCGTCATGCATCGCGCTATGAATAGAGGAAATATAAGGAATAAAGAATATCATATATTTTCTTTATTGCATTCGTAAATTACATGTATAAGACAGTTATAAATATTATGAGCAAACACCCTTGTTCATCTCTTATCTGTAAGTGAGATCACTTCCAGCCGACCCAATACAGTGAGAAAGCTGCAGCTAGCGATCAGTACAGATGCAGTACGAACGACAAACTTGAACGTTTTCAGTGATACTATTAAATATGCGTTTGTGCGTTTATAGAAAATATAATATTGATATAAGAATCGATTTTTGTATTCCGACCTATGCTCTAATTATTTTTTTTTTTTATAAAAACTTCAGATAAGCATCGTATTGATTGAATATCATTGTGAATAAACACACACGCACATACACATACACACACACACCGAATATTAATACATATTATTACTGATATGTCCATTCCCACTCGATAGTGTGTGATATCACTTATTGCGATAAGCATTTTGTCACGATACCATGATGTACCAGGAAAAAAGATGTATCATAATTTTATAATAGATTAATAATCGGGTAAACCTAACGTTGGCGCCACTCGACAGATTAGGTATTTTAATACATACATTTCCTTATCTTGCCAGATAATATTTGCGACTTATTTTTATATGTAGATAGTAAAGCTAATTTATATATAATATCTATCCACCGTTATCCACTATTTATTTTTAAGCTAAAGTACTGCGACTTGATTTTATAAGCGTGGTACAGGGGATCAGATGTTTTGATGTTATGAGAAGTAGGATCGTGACATTACATACAAAATATTTGTACAAAAGTCGATTGCTTAGGGGTACCTCTGTCCCATTCGTGTTTCTACCGTGAAGCAGCTGTTTGCGTGGCTGTGTTTCGGTTTAAAGGGTGGGATATGGCGTGAATTAACTAGGTACAGAGGAATAATATCTGAGTCCTCAGGAATATGCATTAGGGGTATCATGGGCGAAAGAGTATACTCTGTAATGTCCATGGTACTGCTCATGTCTATAGGCGACAGTTATCACTTTCCATCAGGTGGACCGTCCGCTTGTTTGCCATTCTAAGCTGTATAAAAAAAAATACCTTCGTTTCTACTGTTGAAAACATATATATCTAGGTAGACAGAAAGAACTTAATACGAGTACTAAAGGTATCTTTACATAAATTTCTTGTTTCATACACTTTCATAATTCGTGATCTGCAAACACGAAAATTTTGGCTACATGACTCCTCTCTTACACAGCATAATATACCGTATATTTGGGCATTTAGATTTGTCTAGGCCTCCCTCATTGCCTATATATACATATATATTATATATACATAATATATATGTATATATAGGCCTATATATAATATATACATATATATTATACTTTCACTCTCGCATCGACAAATAATAAAATAAAAATGATCAAATTTTAAAAAGACACGTGGAGAAAAGGGATTGTTGGTAATGGGGACTAAAGGCCCCATTGCTAGTAATATACCCTATATGTCTCTGTTACCCTATAACTTAACACCTATACTTATTGTACACCTTAACACCTTAGTCCTCAGGAATGGCAACGCATGGACGGTATCATGGACGAAATAGTTTACTCTGTTATATCCATTGTACTATTCATGTCTATAGGCGACGGTTACCACTTTCTATAAGTGGGTCGTAAGCTTATTTGCCATTCTAAGTTGCATAAAAATAAGCAACTTATTCATCAATCGTGGTATGAAAGGAATAAAGAAAATCATATATTTGCAACTGAGAGACAATATAGCCGCTGCCGTCTTAAATCAGAACCGCATACAAAACAAATATTAATATTTAGTGTGGAACGTTCACGTCCTATTAATGTTTCTAATAAAACTGTCAATAAACGGATGACGTATAAGCCGCGTTTATAGTGTTGGCATAAAAAGTATTTATACAACTTGTATAGATATACCTATTCCGGCTTCGCACGGGTAGATAGAATTTTCAAAAATAATAATAATAATAATAAACTCTTTATTGTGCACAGTAGAGATGTATACAAGGAGTATTAATAAAGAATGAGCATATACAAAAGGCGGCCTTATCGCTAAAAGCAATCTCTTACAGACAACCTGGCATAAAGAAAGGATAAGTACAGAGAGAAAGGTAGATGGCGCAAGTCAGACACAGTAAATACATAAAAGGGAATCAAACAAAATGCAAAATATTCTAAATATAAAAATAAGATTACAATACATAAACATACATATATAATATAAATAAGAATACATAAACATAAATACATTAATATACTAAATAGATCAAGATAAATCACACATAGTAAACGTCAAAGCAAATTAGAGAGATAGGTAATGAGATTTTACCTGCCTCTTGAACGAGGCAAGAGATTGCGCTGATCTAATACCAAGAGGTAAGGAGTTCCAAAGACTGATACTTTGGATAGTGAAAGAATAGGAATAGAATTTAGAAGAATGAATAGGAGTTACTAAACGAAGGGATCTCGCGATGCGCAATGTACGACCCGACGACGACGAAAATAATATACAGCCTATGTTACTAGTTGATAATGTAGCTTTGTATAGGTATTATATATATTTGTAAAAGAATTTTAAAAATCGAATGAGTAGTCTTTGAGTTTATCCATTACAAAAAAAAAAAACAAACAAACAAATATTTCCTATTTATAATATTCTTATTAACATAAGAAATAAAAAATCTTGTTGAAATCATTTCTATATATAAAAACGAAATAAATTTTCACAAAAAGGAAATCTAGCCCATTAGGATTTATCCGACAAACGCATACCCATATTTTCATACCCCTAGCTCAACAAATGCTTTCCATTCCCTACTAAGGACTATAGTCAAGAGATTTTTTTTCTGATGGGTGAAAATGTTATGGTAATCCCGCCTGCGCTAACAGGATACGCTGGCGGAGCACCAGTGAAGGGTGATAGATGAGAATGAAAACAGGCCAGTTAGCCCATCATGATGAATTCATCAGGAATTAATCACGATAGTTTCCAGGGAGAACCGCGAGGAGGTCGACCTGGTTAGGTATATTACTAGCAATGGGATTCTCAGTCTCCATTACTTACAATCCCTTTCCCCCCCAGTCGAGAGAATATTATGTTATATTCTTTTTCTTACGCACTTTATATAATACAGTTATAACAACTAAACAGACTAGAACCGACATTTATATACTTTTAATAAGGCAACATTGTCAAAATATAGGAAGATTTCTCTTCAGACTCCACATAGGGTTGCCCTAATTTTAATTACAATTAAAAAGACATCTATTTTATATAAATAAATAAAGGACGGACTTACGCGACACATGTACGTATGAGCGAGATGCATGTTTCTTTTGAAATAAATCTGTTAACAAAAAAATTCTTTATACATGCACATCTGTATTACTATAAAGAGGAAAGATTTGATTGTTCGTTTGTAAAGGATAAACCCAAAAACTACATAACCAATTTTAAAAATCCTTTCACCTACAAACAGATAGAAGATTTCCCGTGGGTGTCGTAAAAGGCGATTAAGGACGAGGGATAGGCAGCAGCATCCCTTTTAAAACAACTTTAAAGCCTAACTGCGGCTGCCAATCCGCCTGCCAAGCGTGGCAACTACTGACATAATCCCCGAGGGTGTAACGTCCAATGCGGCGTTGCTGATCTTCCGCCGAACAAAGATCGACATGCCCTGTATCGAGTAGACGCCTGCCGGGAGTTCCGCGGCGTTACGTTAATGTACATACTTACGTACTTTTTTTATACAACTTAGAATGGCAAACAAGCTGACGGCCCACCCGATGGAAAATGGTAACCGTCGCCTATAGACATGAGCAGTACCATGGACATAACAGAGTATATTGTTTCGCCCATGATATCCCCCATGCGTTGCCATTCCTGAGGACTCAGGTGTTATTCCTCTGTACCCAGTAAATTCACGCCATATCCCACCCTTCAAACCGAAACACAGTCATGCAAACACAACTGCTTCACAGTTAAAACACGAGTGGGACAGAGGTACCCAAGCAATCGACTTTTGTACAAAGTCTCCCTCTGGTGTCCGAACACCAATAACGTTACTCCGAGTAATATGATCAAGAGCATCTAATTACATGTATTGGCATTCCGTCACCAAAGTATGGCTTGTCGGTTTATAAAAGAGCGCCAAGTCGCTTTTTGAAAAAGAGATTCCCAATTCTGTTGTATTTTTATAGGATAAAAACGGAATGGTAATCCCGCCTAGGCTATTGATATACTGAAGGTACCAGTAAATGATAAGTAAAGTCGAAGCCAGGCCAGTTGGTCTATCGTAACAATTTTACTGGAAATTGACCGCGATGGTTTTCGAGGAGACGCTGCGGAGGTCGGCCTTCTAGCGTACATACTCCTATCACTAACAATTCCATTCCCCTTGGCCTGACAGGATATATATTACTGATGATAGAGCCGCTAGTCCGCATTACTAATAATCCCTCCTCCCACATATTGCATGCTAGACAAGGGATTATAATTTTATACCATAGAGAATAGCTGTGTAGGTCCCGGCCTAGAATAGGTCACCCTTTCTTTTCCCGTATATTTCGTAAGAGGCGACTAAGGAAGAGAGCTTTATAGTGGAGGGATAGGCAGTAGCATCCCTTATGAAACATCACTAAAAGTCAAACTGCGGTTGCTAACTGGCTTGCTACGCGTAGCATCTACTGGCAAAACTTGTATGGGGAAGCAGTGAATGGTTAACGATTGATGCCACAACCATAGGGATTGACAATCTGTCAGAAAGCTAACCGTCGTGTAGGAGGGAAAGGGATTGTTAATAATGGACTAACAATCCTTCAACCCCTACTGTGGCGCCAGACGTACACATGCGGTAGTGTTCGCGCACTAACCCGTTCGCAGATCTTGGTGTGCACGCGCAGCTTGTCGGAGCGCGCGAACGAGCGGCCGCAGCCGCCGCACGTGAACGGCCGCTCGCCCGTGTGCGTCAGCTTGTGCCGCGACAGGTGCGACGAGCGGCTGAACCTGCGGCAATATAGATCAAAATGAGAATACGGCCGACTTTCCGCCATGTTGACACGTCATAAATAATTTTAAATAAGTAATTACACAATTACACTATCAAGTATTAAGCAAGTACACTATCAAATATCTACAGATAAATTATATCAATTTTCAAAACTAGTGCGCACTTTAAATATTAATAAAAAATTACATTGTCTTGTATAGAATTCTTTATTATTACCATGTATTTGTTACTAAGACATCTTTATATAAAAAAAAAAATTATACATCTGCATTATTTGTTGCTTCAACTCGAGGGATGGAATAGTTTACAACAACAACAAGGACATTTCTTGCCCGCCGAATGTGTGGGCGGGCGAGGTAGGGGCCTCGGGGTGTACCCCACTACCCCGGCTTCAACTCCGGAGGCGATAACCTCCGGGTCACTTGGTTTCTTCAGCCGGCATACACTGATGGTCTGTGTATGCCGGCGTGGTGTCTTCATTCTTGTAGGCTTCTTTCTTCGCTCTTAATTGTGTTATATATTGTTTTTTTTTTTAAATAGTTTCTATCAAATAAATGAACCCAATAGGTGGCAGTAGAGGGCAAAACAACGTTTTAGCACGTCAACTACGGATAGTGGCGTATTTAAGATTATCTTCCAGTGAAAGATATTTCGGATTGTGAGACCTTGACTATATAAACATCTATATTCAGGACAATGTCTGTATAGTTTGAGTTTTTATCTATGTCTTTAAAAAGAAAAAAATCTAATCATAGTACAAACTGTTTAGTTCGATACTAGATGGCGCTGTATATTTATATTTTTTATATATATGAAATAAAAAAGTACCTGAGATCACAAACATCGCAAACGTGCGGGCGTCCCTCCTGCGAGTCATTAGCGGCTGAGTCGGACACCGAACCACTGGAGTCTGTTTCCTCATCGTCATCCATTCCTTTGCCTTTCTCTGTAATAGATATACGTTTTATCTATCTATATTTATACTTTATGCTACTGTATTTCTCTTGAATTGTTAATATGTCATTGTTTATTTTTATGTTTGTGGTGCAATAAAGGTTTAAGTAAATAAATATACTATACTATGAACTTCTCAAGGAGAGTTACGTCAAGCAGGCCGGTCTTAAAACCAAAAGCCGAAACCTTATATTATACTAGCGGCCCATCCCGGCGTGGCATGGGTAGACATTTTTAAATTTAAAAAAATGGCCATTAAGGCTGCACACGTGACGGAAGCTTAAAAATGGAGTAACTTCTCTCGTTTTCCCAATATTTCCCTTCCACTGCTCTGCTCCTATATAACTCCTATATAACCTGCCCAGGAGTATGAAGAATAATTGTACCAAGTTTCGTTAAAATCCGTCAAGTAGTTTTTGTTTCTATAACGAACATACAGACAGATACAAAAATTTTACTGATTGCATTTTTGGCATCAGTATCGATCACTAATCACCCCCTGATATTTATTTTGAACATATATTTCATGTACAGAATTGACCTCTCTACAGATTTATTATAAGCATAGATGAATAAAAATATGCTATGCCAACCCGAAGAAATCGGAATAAGGATATGAAGATGATGACTATGAACACGGAAGGGGGTGTCGATGACGAATAATTCTAGCACACTCGAGATTCTGTTGCCAAGCAGTTGCGCTTGCATGGCTGTTTAGACTTGTAGTAATGGAATTGCACATTATGGAGACGTAACACCCTTCCTCAGGAATGACAATACTCGAGGAGTCCATGGGTGTAACAGTGTATTTTGGAATGTCTATACCTGTGTTTCGTTTACTTATATTTTATTTTTTACCAAATTACTATTTAAGTATATAATTATGTATTATTTTAGCTGTTTGTTTGTCTTAAATAAATAAATAAAAATAAATAAATAAAATACCTACAGATCCATTGTCCAACAGGTAAACCGTTATATTTTTAGAACTTCTTTAGAATTACTTACTGGGTTTCGCTTAGTATACTCAATACAATGATAACTGTAATATATTTTTTAATGAAATCCAAGTTAAGATGTATTAAGGTTTCGTTTATAACATGTTCTAATGTTTATACATAACACAGACAACAGAATTTACAATTTCTTAGTTTTACTGTGTACATGAAGAGTCTTACAGTCGCATTTGAAAATATGAATACTTTCCAATATATAGTTTGCGCCTAAACAAAGATTTAATGTACGGAATATATAATAAACAATATATATATATATATATATATATATATATATATATATGAGAATTGACAAAAGAGCTTCCATAATTTATACTTCATGCCGTATTAATTTATAATGGTACGACAGCTAAATTAATATACTAGTGATGAGTAGATATTATTAGTCGTAATTAGGTAACATATTTCAAGATATCGATTCATTTTTATTGTTAAAATAAAAGTAGTGTATATTGTAACTTGAATAAACAGATTTTTTTTTTTAAATCGTTCTGTGTTAAAAAAGTAAAATTATGAGAAAATAAAACGTTAAATTCGAACGTGGTGAGATTAGATTTTTTATAATAATTGTGTAAATCAAAGAGGGTTGACGACAGGCAGGCGACCGGTCGCAAAACTAAAAGCCAAATCTTTTAGTAATATGGATAAAACCATATTACGCCGACCCTAAATAATAATTGGGATAAGGGTAGGAAGATGATGAAGATGATGATGAATAGTGTAAATTGGATGGACCCAGACTCTATACTACATGTTTTTTAAATCTTTTTCTACATTGAAAATATTGTAAATATTTTAAACATGTTAATCCAATTGGATATTTACCATCAGAGTCATCGTGTTCGTTATTGGAAGGTTTCTGTAAAACAGCCAATTGAACAACCTTGATACCGCCTGTCTTCGTCTCCATTTCAGATTTCGACTCATTAATGGCTGGACCTAAAATATAAAAATAAAAAAATAACAACATATATTTATAGCATGGGAAAAATTTTAAAAGGCCTAACAACACTTAACACATTTGCAAGAGCTGTTACAATTAACATCATCATCATTATTCACAAGCCCAAGAACTGAAGCGATTTTGATAATTCCTTTTAAAAGGTTGTATCAAAATCGGTAACAAGAAGCATACTGTTTTTTTTTATTGTTCTATACTAGTTTTGTCACAATTGAATCTGCTGTTTTTTGTGAGGCAAAATGTACTTGTGGACAGAATAACGTCATCTGATTGTACAGTTATAATTACGAGGATATTTTTTATCAAAGCGGTAAATGATACAAGTCCACTTTTTATAGAAAACTTATAATGTCAAAAACCAGTGGCAGAGAATGTTTTTTTTTTCATTGTTTATCAAAGGAAATTTGCAGGTCTGTACAGAAACCACAAAAGTGACTAGCAGCCCCTTTATTCCCCCCCCCCCCCCTACATTTGTTTCTTTTTCTTTTATTAATATAATACAGAAAACATAACTGTTACAATTACTTGTCCAGAGCTACGAATCACCACCTTTGTTACGAAGCCATGTTTACACAAGACGAATGTTTTTTTCTCCCCCTCAATATAATAAAGGTTGAATGCTACGATGATACAATGATCGATGCAGAGTTAAAATAAATAAACACAATGTGGCCCACAAAGTTTTACAGCAATCAAACGTGATTGTGCGAAATTGCCGTGAAAGGAAATTATAGTAAATTATTATCTTGGGATGCATTGTTGTTGGAAAATAGACTGATACTTCCATGATAATGCATTATAATGGATAATTATGTCGATTATTGCTATTACTTTATATGTATATATAATTCATTTTTATTGCTGTACATTGTTAAAAACTGTAAAAACGATCCGTTTAATACTGCAAGATTTTATCTATCAGTGAAACAGAAGCAAAATTATGTACGAGCGGTATACATTTGTTTTAAAGTTTGTATACTTATGCTGCATACACACTGACTGGATGGATTTTATTGCTTATCGTCGTTTCTTTGGTTTAGTATCTTTTGTGCGGACGATTTAGCGAACGCCACAACGAATATTCGTTAACATTTGCCGGTAATGTTGTATAAACGAAATAATGGTTGAAGATAAGTTTTTGTACAGAATATGAATGCAAAATGTCATCAAATATGATTATCATCAGTATTAACATACAAAACAATTGTATTGAATCGACCGAATGCAACTGAAAGGTCACAGAAAGGAAACGCTCATTTGAGGATAAAAAAGAAATGAAACAACGATGAATTATCTCTGTTGTCGATATTTATTTAAATTGTATTTATTTAGAAGTTATAGCATTAAAGTTCGTGTAATTTGACGATTTCATGTCTCAAGGATTATTTGTGGTCGCTTACGATGCCATTTCAAAGGAGTTAGTTACCTTTCGAGAACGCTAAGGTTGTGGCGAAATGACAAGTTCTCAAAAAGCATGTAAAAATGTTTTTTTCAGGGTCATCAACGCGTTTGTGATATTGTAAATCTACTTGACTCAAAAAATTTCGATTGCCATTATCTACTAATTTATATAATATTAGACGGATATTATTTATTACTTTTGTTACGCCGGTGTGTAAACAACATTAAATAATTAGAAGATAGTGCCTAAAGATAATATAATTAATGTAGTTATGTATGTAATTAATATCTATATCTATAATATGTTTAGACGCATTAAGATTATAGTACCGTCCGTGAAGTGACGCGAAAATGATTTTTTCTATAAAGAGAATAATTAAAAATTTATAATTCATTTAGTTGTACATTTTAGGAAAAAAAAGTCGACATATCACACAATATGTTTGCTCTTTACCCATGTAGTAGCTATACTTTGTTGTAAGTTTCGTTTAAAATAAAAATGTAAACTATTAAAAACTGCTATAAAAAAGAAAGAAATTAAACTAACAATCTATGAAAATTGTATATTATACAAGTTACTAACCAAAACCAGTGGGTTTGTCTACAATAATCAGGATAGAAAATCAGAGTGTCTACTTGCAAAATTCAAATGTAAGAAGTTTAACAATCAATCTACATAAATGTATATTTATAATGTTAAAAGGACTATTACAAAACGACAATTCCCAAATTTAGGTTACGCACATTGAGTTGCGCAGCGAAATTTATACTATTTTACATGTTATTACTGTTTATTTTTTTTTTGTACAAATTTACAATTATTTTTTTATTATGTTAATTTACAACTGTATTTATTATTGAAAAAAAAATCTAGTATTCATGAGAAATTTTAAAATTATTCCGGCAAGATTTGTTGTGTTCAATTGAGATGAATTTACTCGAGTATTTGATTGAAAATAAAAAAAAAATTATAGTCTTAATTTAGGGAATAATTACCAAGTTTTAATAATGATACCATACCAACTTTATATTAGTTTTTTAACAAACGACGATCCAAACTTCTACGTCACAACTTTTAATAAACGGTTTTTGAAATTAGAAAGAAATTAGTAAATAATAATGAGCAAAGTAAAAATTAAGAACGTTATCTTTAGGATAAGTTGGCGTTGCTATTCTTACTTTGATGCTATATTTACTTATTATATATAAAGAATATTTTGTTGCTATATATTCATTATCTATAATTCTTTATCTATATTTTTTGGAATATAACTTTCTTAGATTATATAGATAGAGTGTCTCCATACAAATGCTTCGAGAAAATCGGGTCAACTTGTTTATACAATTTTGCGTGATAAATAGATATGAGTGATTCCTTTATAACTTCTATATTTATTTTGTGTTATAATTTTTGCATCTTTTAAATGCGTAAATACTCATTTTATTTATTAAATAATACGTCAAGATACACTGTATACATAAGTATATAGAACACTGATAAAAAAGCGATTCAGTTAATTTCACAATTAGCTGACAAAAATTTCATACGTTTTTGAGGTTCGAGACTCTTCTATATAATCTAAGATTAGTGTAGATTTCTTTTGATCGACGTGTACAGTTAATTTCAGTTTACTACCTACATAAACTTCCACTATTGTATTAAATATGTTTCCGTCCGTCTATTTTTTTTTATAACTATAATGTAACTATATTTTTTAAAGACTGTTTGTGCCAAAATATTTGAAAATAGAAATCCATCTATATAATTCTAATATCAAAATATATACCAAACCCTTAATTGTTTAGAACCAGAACCCCCCAAAAAAGGCCTTTTAAAGGTTTCTTTTTATACATTGATTTATTTATTAATCTAATTACATTGTGCCCTCAGCTAGTATTTTAATCCAACTATGTTTATAGGCGGAATTTAATTATAATTAATTATAAATTACATTTTCCTTTATCATATTAAGTAGACATAGTGTAAAATTCGAATAGAAACCAAAGATTTTATAATTTGTGATTCATAATTGAATTAATTACTAAAAACTGGCATGTAACAAAAAACGTTAATTGGGCTAATATTCTAAAATAAATTTAATTGTAGAATAAGAAATGATTTTTTGTATTTCAATGTATATAATTTCTTTATACATATTTTTTTTAATCGTGCAAAAATTTTATAGGCAAGGACATGCCAGATGACTTTTTATATTGTAAAAATATACTAGTTTAATAGGTATTTGTTTCTTCTCTTGTAGCAGTACTAAATTAGAAATATTTATAAGAACAAATTTATTTTTTAAATCAGACAGGTCCGTTGGCGTTCATAGGCTATCGTTAATGTTTATCATTATCGTGGTAATTTAAGAAAAATCACTTTACAACATAGTTTTTTATTTAACTGATGTTTTTGCCTAACTTATAAATTTTATAACCATTCTCAAATAAGATTCTGTTCTACAAAAAAAACCACTTCAATTATAACAAAACCAGTTATTTACATTTAAAAACTAAACTCTTAAACCAATTGTGAAAAAATTTCTATAGGACTAATCGGAAAGTATATCTTTTCAGATAAAAGAATAATTTTCCAAATCAGTTCATAACTGACAGAGTTATAAAGTAACAAACATAACAAATATACTAATTAATAAACATAATAATAGTGAGAACCTCCTCCTTTTTTGAAGTTGGTTGAAAATAACAACCCATATACCATATATATATGTTATTAATACTCTTTTCTTATCATCACTTTAGCCGTACGCCATATTTATTTTTATTAAGCTTAAAAACAATTGTATTGTAAAACAAAGCTTTCCGTGAATAGTCCGCAATAAAATTATTTCAAGGCCTTCTGCGTACTGCCGCTGCTAAAGCGCCCCATTGAACGATAAAATTTAATAAAAAATAAAATAAACCCGCGCCAAGGCACCGAAGCCATACGGCCATACCTACTTTACGATTGACCGGTTTTTAACTAGACGCTTGAAATTTACTTATACGTTTAATAAGCAATAATAAATAAAATAGAGATATATTAATATTTAATTGAAAACTAGATACATTTACATAACTCATTTACATATTAAATGTATCAAATTTTTGCATATGTTATTCATAATATGCCAACATTAATATGGTTGTAGAACATTTTATTTAAGAATAATAATATCGCGACGTTTGATATTTCGATGGACAATGAGTGTTTTTTTTTTTTTACGAAGATATCTAATTACTTATATAATTGTAGATACATAGCCTTATATATATTTTTCGATGATTAATATTATGTATATTATATATTGGACACAAAAAAAAATAAATTAACGGACCACCCCGATCTTAAACGTACGTTCTAAATAAAAGAAAGAAAAAAAAACGAGTTTCTGAGAATCTTCAAAAGGATTTTTACCTGCACAATTTATAAACACATTAAAAAAAATAATGTAATATTTCTGGCTTGCCATACCATTAATACGGCACATCGAAATAACAAGTTATTTTTATATTTAATAAGTTTATTTTATGGTTAATAATTATTTACGTGAATATTTCGGAATAAAAAAACATA